CATCGAAGTTGCCTCCGCGACCTCCAAGCTCCCAGGCAGCAACTTCCACACCGAAAACCTGGCTGCAAGCTTCACGGTCAAGCACTTCGCTGGAGAAGTCGAGTATCCTGTTAGAGGCTTGATTGAGGAGAACGGCGAGATCATCTCTGGAGATCTCATGAACGTCATGAACAGCACCAAGTCCGACTTCGTGGCGAAGCTCTTTGGCCAAGAAGCTCTGCAGACCGTCACGCATCCTCAGGAGCGGACGACGGTGATGCAGGCAACCATCAGCTCAAAGCCTATGCGCGCCCCTAGTGTCATGGTGCGCAAGGGTGCTCGTCCAAACAGGCCCCGCCAGACGCAGGATAACTTTGACCAGCTCTCGCAGGACAGCGACGCTCGCGAGACCAAGCAGCGAGGAGCGGCGGGCAAGTCAGGGTCGGAACAGGGTGCCTCTGGGCAGTTCCTCGCGTCTCTCGACAACGTGCAGAAGGCCGTCACGGACCCCAACACCAATGCCTACTTCTTCTTCTGTCTCAAGCCCAATGATCGCCGCATCGCCAACCAGTTCGACAGTAAGTGTGTCCGGACGCAGGTACAAACGTTTGGTATCGCCGAGATCAGCCAGCGTCTACGCTCGGCTGACTTCAGTTTGTTTGTGCCCTTCGGAGAGTTCTTGGGCATGGCAAACAGCGAGACCATGCTTGTGGGTAGCGAGCGCGAGCGGGCAGAGGCTGCCATCGAGGAGAGGCACTGGCCCCGTAACGAGGTCTCGGTCGGTGCTACTGGTGTCTTCTTGAGCGAGCGTTGCTGGCTGGAAATTGCCCAGCTGTCCTTCTCCAGCTCGGCGTCTGCCCGCGGGCCAATGTCTGCCTTCGACAGCGAGGGAGGAGACGGCCTCACGCCTGGCGACCACAACGCCTTTGGCGCTTCAAAGGAGCGTCTCCTTTCTGCCGGACACACCCCTCTGGGCTACGGCGAGAAGGGCAAGAGCGGATATTTCGTCGCGGAGGACGCTCGTTCCGAGGCGGGCGCCTCGGCGTTTGGCGCTGGCGACATGTTCAAGAACCTCGAGACCCGTGAGCAGATGGCCGAGAGGGGCAATGAGAAAGCCCTGGTTGAGGTCGAGGAATACAAGGACAGCCCCAGCCGCAGGCGCTGGCTGTTCCTCGTCTACGCCCTCACATGGTTTGTCCCTGACTTCCTCATCAGAGTGCTTGGACGAATGTCCCGTAAGGACGTGCGCATCGCCTGGCGCGAGAAGCTCGCCATCAACTTTCTCATCTGGTTCTTCTGCTTGGTCGCCGCTTTTTTCATCGTGGTCTTCCCCATGCTCATTTGCCCTACCCAGCACGTCTACAGCGCCGCAGAGCTTTCTTCTTTTAACGGCAAAGCGAAGAGCGATGGCGCGTACGTAGCTATTCGTGGTGTTGTGTTCGACTTGGGCGCCTTCATCCCGTCTCACTACCCTTCGTACCTGAAGCAGTCGACTCTTCTGAACTATGCCGGCAAGGACATCACCAGCCTCTTCCCCGTTCAGGTGTCTGCCCTCTGCGATGGCGTCGACGGCTCAATCAACCCAACCGTGACTTTGGATTACAAGTCGACCAACCTTACCGGGTCGCCCAGTCTTCTCAGCTCAACAGACGCGAACAGCAAGTTCCACGACTTCCGATACTTCACCAACGATAGCAGACCCGACTGGTTCTACGAGCAGATGGTGTATCTCAAGTCCAACTTCAAGAAGGGCAACATCGGCTACACCGCCAAATATGTGAAGTCTCTGGGCAAAAAGTCCTCTCAGAACATCGCCATCTTGAACGGCAAGGTCTACGACATGACTACTTATCTTGCTGGAGGCCGCCACTTAAAGGCTCCTGTTGGGCAGAAAGTTCCAACCAACAATTCCATCACCGATTTCATGGACCCAGCTGTCACATCCATCTTCCAGCTGAACCCTGGACAAGACATCTCCAAGTACTGGAACTCTCTCAACCTCGATGCCACCGGCAAAGCGCGGATGCAGCGCTGCTTGGACAACCTGTTTTACGTTGGTGACGTCGATACCAGAAACTCTGTTCGCTGCCAGTTTGCCGAATATCTGGTGCTCGCCATCTCCGTTCTGCTGGCCTCGGTAATTGGATTCAAGTTCTTCGCCGCGCTGCAGTTTGGTGGAAAGAATGCCCCCGAAGACCTCGATAAGTTTATCATGTGTCAAATTCCCGCGTATACAGAAGACGAGGAGTCGCTCCGCCGTGCCATCGATTCCGCCGCCAGAATGAGGTACGATGACAAGCGGAAGTTGCTGGTCATTGTCTGTGACGGCATGATTATTGGTCAAGGCAACGACAGGCCGACGCCGAGAATTGTCCTGGACATTCTCGGCGTGTCCGAATCCGTGGACCCGGAGCCGCTCAGCTTTGAGTCGCTTGGTGAAGGTTTGAAGCAGCACAACATGGGCAAGGTTTACTCCGGCCTCTACGAGGTCCAGGGCCACATTGTTCCCTTCCTGGTTATCGTCAAGATTGGCAAGCCTTCCGAAGTCTCTCGCCCGGGTAACCGTGGTAAGCGAGACTCTCAGATGGTCGTCATGCGCTTCCTCAACCGAGTGCACTACAACCTGCCGATGAGTCCCATGGAGCTCGAAATGTACCACCAGATCCGAAACATCATTGGCGTGAACCCGGCGTTCTACGAGTTCATGTTCCAGATCGATGCCGATACCGTGGTCGCTCCAGATTCCGCCACTCGCATGGTTGCCTCTCTCATCAACGACACTAACATCATCGCTGTGTGTGGTGAAACGGCCCTGACTAACGCCAAGGGGTCTTTCATCACCATGATTCAGGTGTACGAGTACTACATTTCTCACAACCTGTCCAAGGCCTTCGAGAGTCTGTTTGGTTCCGTCACCTGTCTGCCCGGTTGTTTCTCCATGTACCGTATCCGCGCTGCCGAGAGTGGTAAGCCCCTCTTCGTGAGCAAGGAAGTCGTCGACGCGTATTCCACCATCCGAGTCGACACGCTGCACATGAAGAACCTGCTCCATCTGGGTGAGGATCGTTTCTTGACGACGCTGCTGCTTAAGTTCCACTCCAAGTACAAGACCAAGTATATCTTCACCGCCCACGCGTGGACCATTGCCCCCGACTCCTGGGCCGTCTTCCTCTCTCAGCGACGTCGTTGGATCAACTCTACCGTGCACAACCTGATCGAGCTGATTCCCCTGTCTCAGCTGTGTGGTTTCTGCTGCTTCAGCATGCGTTTTGTCGTCTTTGTCGACTTGCTGAGTACCGTCGTCCAGCCCGTCACTGTCGCCTACATCGTGTACCTGATTGTGCGCGTGGTGCAAAACCCCAACGTGGTGCCGGTGACTGCCTTTATTCTGCTGGGTGCCATTTACGGTCTGCAGGCCATCATCTTCATTCTGCGTCGCAAGTGGGAGATGGTTGGCTGGATGATTCTCTACGTCATCGCCATCCCGGTCTTCAGCTTTGGTCTGCCCCTGTATGCTTTCTGGCACATGGACGACTTCGCCTGGGGTAACACCCGTGTGGTTGCCGGTGAAGACGGCAAGAAGGTTCTCATCTCGGACGAAGGCAAATTCGACCCCTCTTCGATCCCGAAGAAGAAGTGGGAAGAGTACCAGGCCGAGCTCTGGGAGACGCAGACTTCGCGAGACGACACGCGCTCCGAAGTCTCTGGCTTCAGCTACGGCACCAAGGCTCACGGTGCCATGTCGGAGTATGCGTATCCCAGCCGGCCCGCCTCGACAACGGGCTTCATCCAGACGGGTCATGGTCAACCATACGAGACACGCAACATGTCGCGCATGTCCATGGCTCCGTCCGAGATGAACCGCATGAGCCAGTATGGCGGGTCGCAGTTCTTCTCCCCAGAGGACATGGTTGGCCTTCCGAGTGACGACGCCATCCTGGCTGAGATCCGCGAGATCCTCAAGACAGCCGATCTCATGACTGTCACCAAGAAGGGTATCAAGCAAGAACTGGAGCGCCGCTTCGACGTTCCGCTGGACGCGAAGAGAGCCTACATCAATAGCGGTATGTCCTTACCCCTCGACCCTCTGACAGGCCCCCCTTTCCATCAATAGCTGTGTTTGTTTGCTAACTTGTTCTTCTGCTGCAGCCACCGAAGCTCTCCTCTCTGGTCAACTCTAGAAGAAGACGGCAGCGGGAAAAACAACAACGTCCAGCCCACTAATAGCTTTGTTTAATCTCAAAGCGGCTTACTACCCCCTTTCTTCCCTCTCAAATTTTGGGTATTATCTTATTAATTTTTGTTTATTCGGCCGCCTGGGCCGCTCCCTATCTGGTTTTACGCGCCTTTACCGACAAGCATGCATTAATCTTGGGAGGAAGAGAGGGGGTTCAAGCGGGACATGATGCCTGATGGTGTTGCCGGAGAGCTGACGGGGTATGGCTTTTGTTATCAAAGTATGAGGAGGACGAGCGTGAATGTACCTAACGGATTTTCATTTTTAATGGCGTGCTCAAGGATAGATGGATGAGGGATGAGTAGTGTATCAGGTATGTTTTTGCATCATTGACTTGGAGTTTTGAGTAAGCGAATACAATTTGTTTCAAGGCCATTCTATGCCCCTTGGCCTCTCATAGTCCTGCTTGTGAAGTGTTGCATGTGTATGATGGGTATATGAGGCAATCCTGCAGTGCCTCAAGTGTTGGGTACTGATGATGCAGCTGGTCTTGACTCAAGAACATGACTCCTCGTGATTCACATGGCTGAGGTTAATCAATCAACATACAAGTAAATAGAAACTATAAGCTATAGACAGTGATCTTGTTTGGCCGTATATACATTGAAGCCTGAGAGACGTAAAAGAGCTTCATTAATTGATTCCGTCAACTCGTACTCTCCACCTCCCCCAGCTTTTCAGGGTATCTTCATCCTATATCTGCATGCTCAAAGCCAAACAGGGAACATATTCTTCTCCCCATGCCCACGTTTCTATATAACGTAACCTTCACACCTTTGGCTTCTCAGTGCGTCTTCTTCTTCGCCAACAGCTTTTCCACCCCGCCCTTGCTCCAGGCCCGGACCCTCGCCTGGTCACAGGTGTTCCACGCGCGCTCCATCAAGGCCTCGTAAAGAGCCGCCTCGTCGGAGCCCCCACATGCGGCCCGCTGGGCATCGAGCCAAGTCAGCAGCCCGAACCTCGTAATGAGCGTCGTACTGCCCGACTCGATACACGTGGCGCGATACACGATCCTCAGGACGCGGAGGCGCAGATTCGTCCGCAGGTAGGGGTTGCTGCCCAGGGCGAGGATCTTCTCGAGCCAGCGCTTCTTGTGGAACACGCCGAGGTCAAAGGGCGTCTGGAGGGCGTCGAGCATGTACGTCAGGAACCAGGCGACTTCGGTGTAGTACTTGTCGTCCTCGGAGGGTTCCCCGTGGAGGATGTCGTGGGCGAGGGGCAGCTTCTCGGGGGACCAGACGGGGCTGCGCGTGAGGAAGCTGTTGACCTTGGGGTAGAGCGGGTGGAGCGGGCTCTTGAGGATGTCGAGGGCGTGGATGGAGAAGGCGACGAAGGCGGAGGGGACGGGGCCGCTGTCTACTTGTGGTCGGGACGATTCGGCGAGCTCGGAGAGGAGGAGCCAGATTTGCTTCTTCTCTTCGTAGGCGGACTCGTCGATTTTCGCAGCCATCTTGAGGAGGTTTGTTAGGGCCTCTTTGCGGATGTTGGTGTGCTCTGAGGCGAGGAGGCGGATGAGGCTTGTGATGAGACCGTCTTCAATGAGGTCCTCGACGGCTTTGTTGTGCCATTTGAGAAGCACGCCCGTGTCTTCCGGGCTCGCAAAGGGAATGTGCAGCGCCTCTTCAAGTTGCTCCTGGTTGAGTGCGGTTTCCTTCTGCTGGGAGCTGCCCTCGTGCTCTTGGCCGTCGTCTTCTTCGCCTTCATGGGCGCCGCTACCTGAGGTTTTGGGCATCTTGCGCGCTCCCAGCTTGGCAAGCTTCACGGAATGAGAAGAGAAGCACTCTTGGACCTTGGCGTAGACGCGCTCGAGCGCTTCGCTTCCCTTTTTCTTGTACAGCGCGCTGAAGTAGAGAGAGATGAAGCTCGATAGCGAGGCGCGTTCATGGGCATCCGCAGATTTGATGACATAGGGCAGCTGTTCTGCCATGGCAACGGCGAGCAGGTTGAAGCTGCGGGCACTGGCCTTTGCTTGTACGTCGCCGTCATCGTCTGCGAAGTAGCTCTCGAGCACATCCAGGTATTTAATGGGCGATGTGGCACAGCGGCTGATGCAGTTGTCTAAGAAGGACCATATCTTCTCCATGTCCTCTGGGCTGTTTTCATCGATGCTCAGTGCAATGGCTTGGAGAAGAGGGTTTAGTCTAGTGGCGGCTGAGACGAGCTGGTTTTCCACAGCAACGTCTGCAAGGACTCGTTTCAGCTGATCAAGAGGTGCAGTTCGGTCGCTGCTGGAGAGCAGTTTGAGGAGTGTGGTGAATGGCGACGACTGGCCCTTGCCGCTGAGAATCTCGATTCTTGCAAACCAGCGCATGCCGGGAGAGTAACTGGCTATCGACACCAGGTTCTCCAGCTCCATCTCGCGGAATCCGTCGTGCTGCTGCTCGTCGGAGCCGTCGCTTTGCAAGCTGCGGAGGACGTTGACGAAGAACGGCGAGACGTCAAAGTTTGCGGCCAGCGCCACTTGTGGGATCATCTCGTAGTACAGGAGAAGCAGCCTGCTGGCCATGGCCTTGTGCAATGTGTTCTCGCTGGCAATGCCCTTGTAGCTTCGCACAATCTCCTTCATATCCGGGATGCGTCTGCAGAAGGCATCGATGAGCCTTCGGGCGGCCTCAGTCCACCGAGTGTCTGTCGCTCGAAAGCCTTCTCTATGCAGCTTGATGGCGACCGACAGCTTCTCGAGCGCTTCGATCAGCATTCTCGTCGCGAAGAAGGACGTGAGGTTCGAGTTGGGTGAAAGGCATCGAACCATGACCTTTTGGTTCAGGGGAAGTGGTAGGATGTTATCCAAGACGATGTTTGTAGGAGGAGGGCCGAGAGCAAAGCGTGTCTTGTCGCCGAATGAAGGGGGGAGCGGGATCCTCATCGTATCAAAGAGAAACGAGGCATATCCAATCCACGTCATTGTCAGTTTGGGCTCAAACGTGAACGACTGGTTGTTGAAGAAGTAGTTTGCTATCAGTTCCGGAGCCGCTTCGAATATCGCCGTCAAGAGCTGGCTGTGCTTCATGCTGGACCAGGGGCGCAGCTTTGATGCAAACTCAGACAAGACAAAGTTGAAGACGGGGACGCCGTCGCGGTAGGAGTCGTCCTTGGACAGATTGCTGTGTGCTGAGCTCTTTTGCTTGGCAAGCTGAACCGAAAACTCTTCGTTTGTCTCCTTGGGGTAAAGGCCGGTGGAGGGATATAGGATGCCGGCAACCGGGTTGGTACAGACGTACATGAGAAACTGATGGGCCTTTTCGATGACCCGGTCGACTTCGCTCTCCGATTCTGTGCTGCTGGAGTAGCTGTAGAGAGCGAGTATCCGCATCAGCGTCTTGGTATTGAAAGACTTGAACTTGATATCTCGTGAGATCTTGTTGTCTGCCAACACATGGGTCCGCAAGCTGTCCAGAATCTCCACGACGAGAGACGGCGGATCACTCTTGATCATAAATGTCAGATGCGACAGCAGCTCCTTCTGAGAGAGCAACTCCTTTCGGCCGTCAGAGTGCAGATACTTGAGACAGCTCAAGAAGAAGCGAACGGCATTTGTTCTCACGGACGCTTTCCGAGAGTCTTCAGGGTTCTCTAGAGTGCCTCCAATTTCCAAGTTTCTACCGAGAGAGGCGAAAGTATACGTCTTGGCGCGCACTATCCGTCTTGCGAAGGCGCCTCCGTCGAGGGACACTGCTTCGCGAAGCAATCGCAGTGTGGGTGATATGATGAAACCCTTTGACTTGTCTGAGGATAAGTTCTTCGATATTGACTTGAGCTGGCGCTCCTGGACAAGCGTTTGGCAAATACCCAGTCCGTGCTTGACGAGCTCCAACGAATCCGAGACGACATTGAGCACGAGGGCGAGGACAACAGCCGCAGAGGACATGACACCGCCTTCGTTCGTCTGGGCAGCAAATGACCACATCTCCATGATGTCGCTCAAATAGACGGCGTCCTCGCCCTCGAGCCTCGGCTTGACCAGTTCGAGATATTCCCGTAGAATGGCGAGACTCGCGGATCGATCGCCCTCGCCGGAGACTATGCTGTCGAGAAGCCTCTTGAAGGACTGCAGGCCTGTTGAAGAGCTATTAGCACCAAAAGAATTGGTCCATGATGAACGTGTAATCTCTTTAACTTGATCCCAACTCACCATGTCTTGCCCGGCGCATGTCCTGGTCGAACGAGAGCAGAGCGCGCAGCTGCTCCCCCGAGCTCACATCCTCGCCGGTGGGAACATCGTGTGTGATTTTCTGGCGCTTGCGGAACGCCGCAGCTCCGTCGGCGTCATTGGAAGCTCGTTTGCCCATTTTGCATGACCTTCGGCAATTCGTCCTGCTGCTGCTGGCGATTTGCATGCAATTGTCGTCGCAGCGTTTAGATATTTTGAGATACTGCCGGGTCTTACCGCCTCAGGTGCTTCCAGGATAGGCAAGCCCAGCAAGCTTATCGCAAGCACCCACTCTCGGCTGTTCTACGGAATTGCTCGCTGCAGTTCTCCGCTAAAGAAGGTACGTACCGGGCTGACACAACCCCACTGCAAACACCTCCGACATGTCAAGCCACTCAAGTCAAGCCACTCTGACTGGCCCGTACGTAAGCCACGACTTTCTATTTCTACCTTACTAGATCATATTTGGACAGGCACAGATCTCACATGCAGCACATGGCATGGCTCTTGGTGGCTGCAATACATACGAGTAGGTATACACACAATCGAGTTATTCTAAGCTCAAGACAAGATCAAGAAAAAAAAGAAGACGAAAAAGAAAGACATCAGAAAAGACAGAAAATCAAGGAAGAAAGAGAGACAGAGACCAAGGCCGTGCATGCATGCATGATACTGACGGCATCACAATCACATCAGGTCAGGCCCTCGCACTGGTGCGGTCCCTCCGGAGAGGGTGGAAGAAACTGAGACATGCATGATGGCTTCGCTCGTATCCTCAGTTCCTGCTGGGTCTCTTCTGCGTCTTCTCTCCACGCCACTGGCCGCAGCAGCACGAAGAGCATCCGGTATTACTGTTGCATGCCGGCCCCTCGTCTATTGGGCGTCAGGTGGCCGCTTCTCGAGTCAAGCCATCGCGACGCTGCCCACACCATAATCTTTGGTGTTGGAGTGTCTGGCTATGGACTCGAGGACAGTACGAGCATGTCATCATGATCACCGCCAGAGCGGTGCTAAAGATAGGAACACCGCCGGACAATGGAGATCTGAGGAAACCGCAGCGACGGACTGTTCCAGGTCAAGTGATTGAGCGACTGCTTGATTGGGCTCCTCTGCTTTGACTGACGGACGGCAGCAAAGCAGAAACGAAGCGAGAGACGAAGCGGGAAATGAGAAACGAGAGAAGCGCGCGCGCCAATCGAGCTGCGACGGCCCAAAGAAGCAAAACGAGGGTCCCGGATGAGGCAAGATTCGGCTGCGTGGCGCTGAGACGGCAGACGAGATGAGGCACTGATCTGATGGGCAGGTTTCGCATCGCACCGCATCGCACCGCATCGAGGGCCTCGCCTGTCTGCTTGCGCCGGAGCCGAAACACGCTCCAGCTTCGAGACGAGACACCTCGACCCGTCAGCCCTCTTCTGGCAGCACATCCTGGACATGGTCGCCAGGCCCAGGGGAACCCGAGGGCATGCCAGCAGCTGGCCAATGCCGGCCGCCCACGCGACCCCTCCTCGGGCCCTCTGGAGCAAAGCCACGAATGAAGCCGTGGCGAATGCAAGACATCGACTCGCTATGCCAGCCCGGCCGTCTGACGCCGTCTGTGGATCCTGCAATCTTGTGGGTAGCGCCAGCCATCCGCATCCATGGCTTCTACGCGCCGACTGGACGGCCGCCTGTGCGGCCCAGCCTATCACCGTGGCGGCCCTGTTGGCTCACCATCGTCGCTGCTCAGCCGCCACTGACTGGGCCGTCTGTCTAGCTCTTTGTCGAGGTGTGTTCATCTCCTCTGGCACTGGCTGCTGAGAAAAGAAACAAGGGCAGACAGACACCAGACACCAGACACACACACCTACGGGCAGACGAGGGCGAACATGGGCGAGCAAGGGCGGACCAAGTGCGGACACTGGCTCCAGTCGAGTGTCTGTCCATGTCCATGTCGAGGTTGGGTGAGCTGCGCTATTGCAGATGCGAAGTAGTATTTACGAGCTCGCCCGGCCCTCCGATTTGAACTTTCCAGTCGATGTTGCCGGATCTGCTCTGATCTTTTTTTGATTCTTATTTTTCCTTTATGTCATACGGGGCTCGCTGGTCGGTCTTTTCATTCGCTTCTCGGTCCCCTCCCTTACCTCGCTTTAAAGACGAATCTGCCGGCCCAGTCGGCATGAGGCTGCTTCTTCTCTCCCCAGCATGAAAGCTTCGACGGGCGTCTTTGGGGAAGCATATGCGTCATGCTTCTCTTGTCTCACGTGCTGGGAACCATTTGCCTTTCGCATCGACGAGAGACCCGAGCGACGTATGTGGTGATTCTATTGTATTTTTATTCGATTCCGTTCAATCTATTTCCCCACCCTCGTTGCCTCCCTCCGGCTGCATCTGCTGTTGGCAGACCAGGCAATGTCTGAGAGCCTCTCACTTACTTATAGGCGCCAGGCGACAACAACCGTCACATCCGCATTATCAGCGACCAGCCGATATCCCATCCGCCCCCAATGGCGGTTCCAGAGGTTGAGCTTCCCCGGCCTAGCTGGAGGCAAAAAGTGCAGCGGACGTTCGCATCCAGCCAGCCGGGCTTTTCTTCGAGGAGCAGGGCGCAGAGGGACGGTACACGGCCTCAGCTGCAAATCTCAGCACCGTTTGAATTCAGACATGTCGACTCCGGCTCTTTCCAGTTCCCGTTTCCTGCCCAGCGCCCGCCTCGGCCCTGGGAGAGTCCTTTGACGCCGGACACGCCCGAGACTCCCTTTGAGCCGTTGCAGCTGAACGTCTTGAGTTCGGGAAAAGAGCTGTCGCCGATGCTCCCCGATTTCAACTTTCCGAGTGAGATGACGCCACCATCTTTGGTCCATCTTCCAGCAAGGCCCTTTCGCGATGACTCTTTACATTCTCACCACCAAAGAGACACTCCATCACCATCGTTTCACATTCCTCGAAAAAATGTTGCGGCTCCTCCGTCATCGCGCAGCCCAGAGGTGTCGCCGTTGCACCTCGCTTCCGACAAGCAGACTCGCACCCGGGCTTACACGCCGTCCGATATGGAGACGATCAAAGAGCGGGTGGCATCTGCGATGAATGAAGTGGAACAGCTGCAGAGAAAGATCAACGACATTATCGAGCGGCAGAGCCTCTACACCGCGAGCAGACCATCAACAGCCCACTCCATGGCTCGCACTATACCCGGTAAGCTTACAGACGCAGCTTTGTCCCCTTTCTGTGCACAGTTCCCTGGCTTATGCGGTAATCATGCAGAAACGGCGGAAGTTCCGGTGATTCCTGCGCTCCCACCAGCGGCGCCGTCATTCGCTGAGCGCCTGAACACAGAGGTGTCACTGCCCAACACGGGGCCCGTGACAGCGTCTGTCCACATTAGCCAGCTGGAGGCGTACGAGGAAACGCTGGACAACATTCGGCAATTTTCACAGTCGATGAGAGGGCAGCGGTCTTCCCCGCCACCTCCGCCCCCGCCATTGCCCCTTGTGCTACGGCCACCGCTACGGAAGAAGAAGTCGTTTTCGCGAGTCTCTACCTGGCTGTTCCCGGAGCCAGACCGTGCCAGAAAGCAGAGCCTGGACTCTGTCACAAACGTTCCGCGTCCTATCAAGGGAAGCGAAGGATTCTACCAGTGTGTAACACCGCCTAGGCGGCCACACAGGCAGAGCACCGAGACATTTGATACGTTGTCTACTTGGTCGACGAACGACGGAGACCGCACTGTGCCATCGGCCTGGTCGCCTCGGAGCACGCCATCCAAGAACCAGCAAGAGGAAGAGGAAGACATTTTCATTGACAGAAGGGCCACCTTCGGGATGAACAACGTCCGGAGCCCGGCTGCGGTGAACGTCGGCGTCGCAATATGACCAGGCGCGGACCTTGTACATATCTGACGGAATGTTGCTACTACTAATGTATATACTACTACACATATCACGCATGTGCTGGATCACATCTTTTAGACGGCGCGGAAACCACTGGAGGGATAATGAACGGGTGGCACGTCTGGCATATTAGGCTGGGCTGGGCTGGACTGGGCTGGGAATAGAATGGGACGGGCCTTGATGCCCCCATGGGTTATACCAATAAAGATGACAAGTGACGGATGCAGCTGAGCGACATCCAGACGATCACTTGGGCGTTACTGAGGGGAAAATCTTCAAATAGAGGAGGGAATCCGAATAGTATAATATTGAGCATAAATCCCCGTGGGTGTGTAGTAGATGCTACTCTGCGGAGATGGCATGTGATGCAGTGTCTGTGTTTGACGTGAGGTGCCAAGTTCTCCGCGGTTTGCCTCCAAATGAAGGTCGACGATAAGACTGAATCAAAGGACCGCCCTGCACTGCAGCCAAGGTGGCATGAAGTTACATTTTCACCAACTCGGTGAATTCATGCGTGTTAGTGCCCAATGTCGAAGAAGTGCCGAGCGGTGCCTTTTGGGCTGGGCAGTGGTGCATTGGCGTTGCACGGGCTAATGCATGGAGTGTCTTTTAGTACAAGTATTCACAGGCTTAGACTAAGTGAGATGCTTTCAATCATTGAGTTCAAATAGTATTTCTTGGTTGATGGCAGTCCTGGGAGAAGCAACGAATGGGGTTGGCTGCAGGTACAGCTCATGTGATTCAGGCACATTTTGCGTGCATCTCTCAGGCTGAATAGAGGTTGTCACTGCTGAGAACCTTGAGGGACCTGGTGCTGAACCGTGTAACCTGATTGGCGGTAGCACATTATCTAATCAGACTTCCCGAACTCACATTCGCTTACTCATCGATTCTCCTAACAACCCGTGGACCGAATCGAGGCTTCAGCCAAGCGCAGCCATTCCCGGCATCTTCAAGCCAAGAACCAAGCGCCGCATTCCGCCTTCACTTTTACTGCTCCTTATCTCGTATTTGAGGACGACGATGAGCTGACTTTGCAAAGGGCAAAAGTAATACTTGTACCTTTACATTGGCCATTGGCGCCGGATCGACCAATCCCCTGCCGCACCTCAGCGCACGTTTCTCTTCCTGCTATACCTCTCGCGGCTTACCAAGGGCTGGCTCTCAACCGCAGAGTAGAGGGAGAGATTGAGGGGGGGAGACCAGGAGCAGCAGGAGGGACTTTACGCTGTCTGTTGCTAAGAAAAGCAAAGCAGAGATTCTAATGTCGTATCCCGACCCCTCGGAATCATGTCCGTGTCCAGAATCGTAGCCGCCATCCGAGGCGCGGCGTCGCGAGACGCATTCAAATACAGCGCTGTGCCGGACGTGGAGTCTGAACGAGAGCCTCAGCAGCGTCGGCAGGTTGATCGGCGTGATTCGAGTCGACGACAGCGCCTCGCAGAACGTGCACACTCTGCTTCGTCGCAGGGACAATTCAGACTGATCAAGATGTCCCTCGGCGGAATGGCACTCTTTGCCATCTTGTTGACCCTGGCCTCACTCGGGTATGCACATGAACTCAGGATCAAGGACGAACATGAATGAGAGACGCTAATTTGGCTGCTTTTCAAAGCCGAGCCAAGCCCTCCTCGACTTGCGAAGCTGTCGGCAACTGCACAGAAGACGTTTCGCAGATCTGGGGCCAATACTCGCCCGTCTTCTCAGTCCCCTCCACCATCGACACTTCCATCCCGGCGGGCTGCAGTGTGACTTTTGCGCAGGTCTTGTCACGCCATGGAGCGCGGTTCCCGACGCAAAAGAAGACAGATGTCTATCGAGAGATGATTGAGCGCATCCAGAGCAGCGTTGAGGATTATGGCAAGGGATTCGAGTTCCTCAAGGACTACGAGTACAACCTTGGCGCCGACGATCTCACCCCCTTTGGCGAGCAGCAGATGGTGGACTCTGGAAAGGCTTTTTTCGAGCGCTACCACAGCCTGGCGTCTGATTTCGACCCTTTTGTGCGAGCATCCGGGTCGGAGCGAGTGGTTCTGTCGGCGCAGAGGTTTCTCGAGGGGTACTATGGAGCTCAGCACCGCGACGCTTCAAACGCAACTAAGGAGATTCTGGTCATTCCAGAGAGCGAAGCGTTTAACAACACGCTGAACCACGGAGCGTGCCCTGCTTTTGAAAAGGGTCCGGCATCCGAGATTGTGAGCAAGAACCAACAGGTCTGGCTTGGCGTCTTCGGGCCGGCGATCAACAGGAGGCTCAACAGCAAGCTGCCTGGCGCCAACCTGACCCTGACCGAGACCGTCTACATGATGGACCTGTGCCCATTTAATGCGGTGGCCAACACGAGTGCGCCCTCGGACTTTTGCAGACTCTTCTCGGCTGACGAGTGGACAAGCTACGACTACTTCCAATCTCTGGACAAGTGGTATGGCTATGGGAGGGGCAATCCCATGGGTCCTTCTCAGGGGGTTGGTTTCGGCAACGAGCTGATTGCCAGACTGACCGGCGAACCTGTGCACGACGCCACCACGACGAATACGACGCTCGACTCTTCGCCCGAGACGTTTCCCCTTGACGACAAGCTGTATGCTGACTTTTCTCACGACAACACCATGTCTTCCATCTTTGCGGCCCTGGGCCTGTTCAATTCGACCATGGACCTGCCGCTCAAGTACAAGCTGTCTCCCAAGAAGCTCCATGGGTTCTCTGCCTCGTGGGCCGTGCCGTTCGGTGCCCGCATGTATCTGGAGAAGATGCAGTGCAGCGGCTCGAACGAGCAGCTGGTGCGCATCATTCTCAACGACCGGGTGGTGCCGATGCGGACGTGCAACTCGGATAGACTGGGGCGGTGCAAGCTGGGTGCTTTCATTGATAGCCTTACGTTTGTGCGCGGTGGAGGGCTGTGGAATCAGTGTCCTTTGAAGGCTGAGGGGTGACTATGATACATGAACTTGATCTTGATCTGAGCGTATAATCACCTGTTAGCATTATCTTATCATTGCGTTTTGAAGCGAATGGCAGGCTAAGGAGGGGCTTGTGCCGTCCATGGGGACGCAGTTATATAGATCCCCGTTGCTCTACTGTTGAGCATCGATAAGGTGAGGCTTACTACTCACTGTTTACACCATGAGTCGCTTCATATTACATTATCATCCAGCTTTGGAGTTTACCTCACAAAGCGAAGAGATACGCAACACATACCAACCTTGTTGAAGCTAAGCTTGCATCGAAAGAGACACCACATGAGTCTAGGCATGGGCTGATGTTTGATGGTTTCCATTGCTCCTTCCTGGTCTTCTGCTTGCAGAACAGATCGTCAGGAAGGTACTTGAGGTATTGATCCAGTAGAAAGAAAGAGCGCCGAATCCAGAGGGCAGCCTGCTGCTGTATATGCGCACATGAACAGATAGTAAGGCAGTCGGTACTGCGAAGAATCGGCAGGAATAGAGGAGGATAAAGTCATGGATACCCTCGGCACACACAACCCAGACACAATCATCGCTCAACAGCATCCATCAACCACTTCACACATCCGAGCAACATACTCCGTACAATGGCACTCTTCTGCGGTGTGGTGTACGGGGTTCATTTTGAACGCCAGCGTATATTTGACCCGAGACACAGTCATGCACACCGCGATGTTCCTGACGACCGACTCATTGTCTACAATTCCGAGAAACGGATCCGACAGCTTCGAGAGATGAATCCAAACACGGATCAGATGAGCCTAAATAGGCACACCGTTGTCGTGTCTATTGACGGAGCTTGTCGTGGCAACGGAACCCCCTCAGCCCGGGCCTCCTGGGGTGTTTATTTCGGACCTCAGTCTCCGCACAATTCAAGTGGAATCTTGGCCGCTGATCTTCCGCAGACGAGTACTCGGGCCGAAATCGAGGCTCTATCTCAGGCGCTGAACATCATTCATAACCACGTGTCTAGGGACTTCTCGCTGCTACACTATCATATCAGAACAGACTCGTCGTATCTCGTCCAGACTTTTTCGACATGGATCCATGACTGGATAGAGAACAATGGATTGACCTCGCAGGGGAAGAGGGCAGCTCATTTTGACACCTTAGTGAATATTCATGAGCGACTAAAGGATATGACTTATCGCGATCGCCGGGGCATGACATTCAAGTTCTGGCAGATCCCACGGGAGGAGAACAAAGAAGCTGATGCGCTCGCAAATGAGGCTCTGAATAAAGCATCTGGAGCCAACGAAATGGCCGTAAAGGCGAAGCTCCGAGTCAACACAATGGCTGGAATTACGAAGCCCAGAATCCTCTCTGTTTCCCTCAATCGCCTCCTATCTTTCGATTCGATGTGCGGTTCGCTCTTTACTAGAATACGAGCGGGCTCATTTTTCCGCGCTGTCTAGGATGGAGAATTTGCTAGATGGATGCTCCTGGAAGGCCCACGACCAGACGCTGTTCTCATCACCGACGAGGCTATCACATTGAGGGAAAACGTCGCCGTTTGGGATGCGGTATTACAGTATATACGGCAGGGTGGCACAGCTGTGCTTATGGGCGACTTTTCATGCTTCGTCGAACCGTTGAGCATCAAATCTTTCTTTGCCAAAGCAGGGTTGGACTGGGACCAAGGCTCATACCACCGGACGACGCTGGTACTCAACCACCAGGTGGTTGGGGCTGACTTGGCTTCAAGACTTCTCTCAGAGTACAGCCAAAAGGCTGTCTTCCTCACACATGCAGACCCTTCAGATGCTTGGTATGTGACGAATGAGTATTCCGTTGTTGAGTCTCTCGATTTCTCGGAAAATGCACACAACCCTGGCGAAAGTGCCGTTTTGTTGGCTCGTGTCGGAAAGGGAAAACTGGGATATCTTGGCGATGTCAAGGGCGAGAAAGGGTCTGAAGCTGTTGTTTTGGTCATGTGTGGTTTGTAATTCCATCTAGAGGGTATGCAGGAGGGATCTGGGACCTCTGGCCTAGGGTATGTTACTAATCCTCTAATACTAATGCTCGTTATCACACCCGCTCTCACCAGCACCGTTTGATGTCGCTTTCATTGTTCCAAAGCGAGCTCGAGTCGATGGGCGGCGGCGTATTACCGTACAGGCTGTGTAAGGGCTTACCCTGGCACTGTCGGCTGATGCTTGAACTGGTCGTTGAAGTTGAATGGACTATTTATAGGGGTGGTGAGAGCACTGCTGACTGATGACTGAAGACTTCAATGAGATTGAGCTTGAGCAAGCACCAACCATCAAAAGTTACGACAACCAGCAATGCCCCTCTGTGTTGCCCAAGGCGAGGGTACCCAGTACATGCGAGCTCGATAAGACACGCAGCGATAAGGCCGCCCCCCGAAGCGGAAGTCGCTCGACGTCAGCAGCAGCAACTCCCAGCGAGTCCGTGCGCGGTTCAAACAAGCCCGCCTGTCCGTCATTGTCAACCGCAGTCAATTGGCAACATAGCCTCGTCACCCAAAAACAACAGCTGCGCATCTTCTTCTGCTTTTCCCCGTCTTCCACTTCCTGCCAAGCGCGCTGCTGCGAGTTATTGAACGGCAACGACGACCCGAACGAATCAGTGGAGGCACATATGCGACTGAGCAACTCGTCGAAGAATTGATCGAGGAACCATCTGCCAGACTGACCGCTCGCCTGCTGGACTACGTCTCAATTTCTTGACGACTCGTAACTCGATTCCTTTCCTTCTTTGGCTTCCAGGGAGTTTGACAGAAAGGCACTACTTCCCAGAGGCGATCAGACGGACGGGCAGCAACACAGACCATGGTCTCGACCGCGGGAGGCATCGTCATTGCGATTGTGGTGATTCTGGTTGTCGCGGCGGCTGGATGGGTTGTATTCACGCAGCTGCGCGCGCGAAGACTGGGAGTGAGATTCCCTCTTTCATCTTGACCTCGACGAGGCTGAGCTAACCATATGCGCTTCAACGCAACCACAGCTCCCACCACCTAGTCTCTCGTCGTATCTGCCCTGGCACAAGGCAGACACGCCGTACGGACCGCCGCGGCCGGCGCGCGGCGGCATCGTTGGCTGGTTCAACGACGTGCTGCGCAAGTTCAAGCACCGCAACGACCGGTCGGCCGCGGGCGCCTACGAGCAGTCGTCGCACGGCCCGCCCGGCAACCGCGGCTTTGGCCCGCTGGACCCGGACGACGCCTGGGACTCGCGCGTCGGCAACGAGGCTGACGGGTACGGCTACTACGAGCAGGAGCTGGGGGGCCACACCGAGTACACGGGCGCCAGCTACGGCGGAGGCGGCGGCCGGCTGGGCGCGGGAGGGGTGGCGGCGACCCATGCGGCCTATGACGAGGACGTTGAGCGGGGGCGGCGGCCGAGCAGAGATGCGGGAGCGGCGACGGCGGCGGGCGTCGGGGCTGGGCGCGTGAACCCTTTCGATGACGATGCGCAGGCGAGCCTCCGGGGCGTCAGCCCGCGGCCCATGGACGCGGCTTCGTACAGGCCGGGGGATCGGCCGGGGAGCTCTGGCAGTAGCCATGCCGACAGGAGGTCCATGTTTAGGGAGAATATCTAAGGAGTGACGGAGTGAGGGACTGGGGAGGGGATTCGAGGAAGGGATGAAGGTCAATATGGGAGAAGAGAACGAAAAGGGGTTGCATGTTGACGGTGGTTTGCTTTGTTACGAAAATGATTGTTTATGATGTATGTCACGATACGTTATTCTGGAGGCTGTCTTATGTTTTTCTTTCCCTCCGTCTCTGTTATGACTGTCGTTTTGTGTTTTCCTTTTGATCACCTGTACATTTGCCGGCTTGGAAAAAGGGAGGTTTACAACTGCACATATAAACGATGAAGAGGGTCTTCTCATATCTTGACCATCAAGAAACCAACGATATACTCTCAAAACCTTTTCAGCCTGGTAAATCATCAACCATGTCGTGGTGCAACTCCTTACTTGTGATTGTTGTCGAGGACAGATCAAAGCATCCCCGTCCAGAACGCGGCCCCACGTCACAGGCGTCATTGGAAAATAAGCTGCTTGCTTGCCCCTCCAGTTCCCACACAAGGCGGCCCCTCCTCCTTTACACTTCTCATGTCATCCCCCACCAGTCATTAATTCCATCTCACGACGGAACGACAAGCAGAGACTCTTCTTCTCTCACTCACTCTCATTCTCACTCTCATTGAGAAATTGAACCGTTGCTTCATTTAGTCATTACATATTGACAAGAAGAGTGAATATATATCAAACACAAAATAGAGCGGTGAAAACAAAGACACGAATCGAAATACCCCCCACAATGGCAGACGTCAACCTCCAAGCAATCCACGACGAAATGGTCCTCGTCGCCTACGAAGCCGGCCGCACCATTCTCTCCGCCAACCCAGCGGACATTGGCACCGGGACAAAGCTCAACTGTGCGTTTCACAGATGCCCTCTCACAATATCTCTCTCTCTACAGCATAAGATACACCCTCACTTTACTACTCCACATCTGCCGTACCTCGACTTGTGTGAAACTGAGACTTGTGCTAAATGATTTGCTCGTTTATATAAACAGCCGTCGACATCGTCACGGAAGTCGACCAGGCAGTCGAGAAAATGGTCTCCTCCCGCCTCAAGGCCGCCTACCCCTCCTTCTCCTTCATGGGCGAGGAGACGTACAAGCCCGGCACCAAGATTGGTCCCGAACCGACCTTTATCGTCGACCCCATCGATGGTACTTGAACTCCCCTTTCCTCCCCCCTTATCCGCATCTTCTCATCTTCATCCATCCATCTCTCACTGATACATAACACCTGCTCATATTTCCCCAAACAGGAACAACAAACTTCGTCCACTCCTTCCCCAACGCATGCATCTCCCTCGGCCTCTCCATCAACCGCAAGCCCGCCATCGGCGTCATCTACAACCCCTACCAAGACCTCCTCTTCACGGCAATCAAGTCCCACGGCGCCCACATGACCCGCGGCAAGGGCACCCCGCCCCAGAGGCTCCCCCTCGCGACGTCCCCCCGGCCCCTGTCGGGCCTGGCCAGCGCCCTCGTCGCCGTCGAATGGGGCTCCTCCCGCGACGGCCCCAACTACGAGCTCAAGACGGACGTCTTCAAGAAGCTCGCCGCCACCAGGGAGACGGGCGGCGCCATGGTCCACTCGCTGCGGTCGCTCGGGTCCGCCGCGCTCAACATCGCGGCCGTCGCGGCGGGGCAGCTGGACGCGTACTGGGAGGGCGGGTGCTGGGCGTGGGACGTGTGCGCCGGCTGGTGCATCCTCGAGGAGGCGGGCGGCATCATGGTGAGCGGGAATCCGGGCGAGTGGAATCCGGCCGTGGATGAGAGGGTCTATCTCGCTGTGAGGGGGGCGCCGGCCGGGCAGAGGGAGCTTGTGGAGGAATTTTGGGGCGTCATTGGCGATAGGAAGATGGATTACTCTGTTTAGGGGCGATTGACGCATGGCCTTGAGGCTCTAGATGTATAGACAGAGGCAGATGCCTTAGATATACAAACTGTTCGACGCTGCTACCTCATCTATCCAAATCACCATCTGTCCAACGTATCGTATATCTGATACTACTGCTTCTAGATTCACTTCTTAAAATCCAAGATCATGTCAAGCACGCTACGTCCAATATCATGCCCAAGTCAAACATCAAACCCAGAGACAAGACACCCAAACCACCACGACCGACTCCCGTCTAGTCAAACACATCCGTGACATACCGCTCGTTGCGCTGCTTGTCCCACCACGCCCTGGCCTTCTCCTCCGTGACCTCGGACCCCCGGGCAGAAGCCCTCTCCTGCACGAGCTGCACGCAAACAGCCTCGACCGCCTTGCCGACATCGCGGCTGCCGCAGACTAGCACCTTTGCGCCCTGATCCCACAGCCTGTACAGGTCCTCGCGGTCGTGCGACATGCGGTGCTGGACGTACTTGCAGCCCTGCGACTTCTCTGGTGTGCGCGAGTAGGCCCTGCGCATCTCGACGGCGCCTAGCTTCTCCCATCGCTCGAACTCGTCGGCGTACAGGTCATCGACGCCGGGCTCCCTGCATCCGTAGAAGAGCAGGGCGGGGGCAACTTTGCGGCCCGCGGCAATCATGGCTGCGCGCTCCTGGACGAAGCCCCTGAACGGAGCCACTCCGGAGCCTGTGCCGATGAAGATGAGGGGCGTGTTCTCGGCGTCGCTGGGGAGGTGGAACGCCTTGGACTGGCGAACGGCCACGTGGAGCTTCTCACCAGCGCTGAGAGAGGCCAGGAAGTGAGTGGCCACTCCAAAGTGAGAGCCCTGGCCCGACAGTGCGGGCTGTTCGAGGACAGAGTAGGTGAGAGTCAATTTGGAGGGATCGGCCAGGGGAGAGGAGGAGATGGAGCTGCGAGATATGTTAGCCAGGTATCTCATGATACTATGCCGAGAGTTTACTCACTACTGGCGGACACGCATGGGTGGCAGCATGGCCAAATACGAGTCCAGAGGCAGGTTCAAAGACGGGAACCTCTCCAGCAAGTCGATGACGGAAACGCGCTTCGCGCCAATCTCCTGCTGGTAATCGTCTCCGGACAGTTTCTCGAGCTGAGCCTTGAGCTGCTCATCCTGAGTTGACTCGGCCAGGACAGAGATATTCTAGGAAACGTCAGCGTCAGTATACATGACGGAGGGTTTGAAAGCCATGTGCTAAACTCACCCTCTTTGTTGCCGGCTGGCTGAGCTCGACATAGGCTCTAAGCACGTCGTTTGCAGAGATAGGCGTCTCCGTCGGAAGGGTAGTCGGCTGATCCGAATGGATAGTCAAGACTGCATCCCAGGAAAGCTGGAAGCGACGGAATACTCGGGCTACTGTGTCTGGCGGGTTGAAAGGGAGCACAGCGAGGTAGTCCCCGGATCGGTAGGTCATGCCCGTGGGCAAGCGGATCTCGATGTGTCTCTTGGCAGGCCCGCTCGTCGTCAGAGTTTTGGCATCGGTGACGAGTGCCTCCTCGACATCCTGGCGCAGCGTTGACTTGCGAGGAAGCGATACGTCGACGATGAAGCCACCGGCCGAGCCCTCAGAAGAGCCTGCCGCGGCTCCATACTTTTCCTTGAGAGCAGGCCAGAGCGCTTCATCCTCCCACGTCTCGAAATCGCTAAACATGTCACTGTCAGCGGCATCCGTGGTGGCCAGGGGAATGAGGCGGGAGGCGCCGTGCTGCTCCAGAGTCGAGTCCACGAGCTTGGGAATGCGGTGGAACGTCTGGACCCAATCGTGGTGGCCACAGCCAAAGACGGCATACGAGACGCCATCGAGCTCGTTGTCCTTGAGGTTCTCGATCCAGTTGACGAAGTGAGTCGCGTTGGAAGGCGGCAGACCCTCATACGAGGCCGTGACGATGACGACCGGACGGTCCTTGGGAAGGTTCTGGTGGGCAGTGTCCAGGGGAGCAAGGTCGGTGACCTTGAATCCGTGGCTGTTTGCATCCGTCGCCACTCGTTGAGCCAGCGCCTCGCAGGTACCGCTGTTGGAGCCGTAGTAAACAGCCAGGGGCTTCTGAGAGCCCTTGCTACTCGCTTCGGCCACCCCCTTCTTGTCCGCACGATGATGCTCCTCAGGGACGCCCTTGCCGACTAGCCTCTGCTCGAGCTCCGTGGCAGTCATTCCATGCCGAAGCTGGGCTCGCATGAAAAAGTCCTTTGGCTTGATCGTCAAGGATGCAGCAACCTCCAGCTGGTAGTTGGGGTCGTCGAGCGTGAAGTTGAAGTTTTGGAAGAGGATAGCCATGGCGATGACGGCCTCGTTCCAAGCAAAGCCTCTTCCTATGCAGCCACGCTTGCCATTGCCGAACGGCTTCCAGCAGTTGGGGAAGTCCCTATTGAGCCGGGCAAACTCTGCATCGAGCATGCGCTCTGGCTTGAACTCATTGGCATCCTCTCCAAAGACGAGAGGGTCAAGGTGTGACTTGGCGAGAACGAGACTGATGGGCTCGCCCTTGTGGACGAGATACTTTCCTCCAATGATGGTGTCTTCGATAGCCTCGACAGAGAAGGCGGGGATTGCGGCGGTGACACGTAGAGTTTCTCTCAGAACCTGCAACATCGTCATGTAAGTATTGCCAGAGGTAGATGGCCAAGTGAGACTGAGAGAGTGTACGTACTGCCTGGATGTATGTGAGCTTGGACACATGGTCGACCTTGGCTGGCCCACGGCCAAGCACTTGATCAACCTCCTCTTGGACTTTTCGATAGGCATCTGGGTTCTTCAAGAGATGGTAAAAGGCAAACGACATCATGCCCGATGTCGTCTCGTGGCCCGCAATCAAAAAGGTAATGAGCTGGTCGGTGATGTTGGCATCGCTCAGCTTCTCGCCGGTCAGGGGGTCTGTGGCGTTGAGCATGGCGCCGAGCAGATCCTTGCGGTCGGACGGGTTCTTCTTGCGAGCCTCCACGACGGCGTTGGCGGTGTCTCGCATGATGGCGATGTCGTTGAAGAACTTTTCGTTGGCAGCACGGTACAGGAAGTTGGGGGCAAAGCCGGGCCGCCTGTTCCGCCTGCTGCACTCGGCCAGGAAGTCGCTCATGGCCTGGACGAAGGGGTGCATCTTCTCCTGGTAGTACGAGTTGAAGCGGTAGTTCATGGAGCACAGGGCAATGGTGTCGAGGGCCAGCTTGGTGAACTCGTCGGACACGTGGATGGGCTCGTGAGGGCCGTGGCGGGCCATCTTGAGGGCCAGCTGGGAGCTGATGTCGTGCATCTCGTCGAACATGTCGCGGATGGGGAGCGGCCCAAAGGCGGGCGTCAGGATACGGTGCGCCTTGCCCCAGTTTGGCTCATCGGAGTGAGCTGTGAACAAGCCATCGTGGACGCCCTCACGCACGATCTAGACAAACAGTGTCAGTCGATATGGTAGTCATCATGTGAAGACGAGAGGGAGCCATTTGCGTACTCGCAGGACAGAGCTCAGAGACTTTTGGAAGCGCTTCTCGTCGCAGCATTCGTTGACGAGGGCCTGAGTGCTGACGAAGACGGCGGGACGGGTGCCCATGTGAAGCCTGTAGATTTCGCCTGTTCAGGGAGAAATGCATGTTAGCATTGCGGGATGGCGATGGAAAAGCATTGTCGTTCTGATGCTGCTGGTGAGTGAGGAGAGAGATAAGGTAGGTGAGGGGGTTCATGAGTACTAAGGGTAGGTATGTAGGTAGGCGAGTGTAGATGAAAGATGAGGCTATCGATAAGGTAGTGAGAGAGAATAAGGCAGTCGTTGGCGTAAGGAAGGTGTGAGCACAGAGAAGGGGCAAGTGCGTGAGTACGTAAGAAGATATACGTGTATAGGGAGGTTGAGGTGGTAGGTGATGGTGATGTACGTGTATCGCAGAGATTCAACCGCCTTACCATATGTGTCCGCAAGGCGTATAATGTCGCTAATGGGATTTTGAGAGAATTCGCCCAGGTTCCCCAGCAGCGGCAGCCCAGGAGGCTCAGGAATAGGAACAGTCTCGGCCATCTCGACGCTCAGGACGAATCCAATTCAAAAGGCTGAAAAGTTGAACAAAACAAAGGAAGGGAGTTGAAGAAAAGAAGCAACAACGAGGGGAGTCAGTCCAATCAGAAACCCTCGAAACGATATGACGCACTCAACAGCCCGGTTGAGCAAAAGAACCAAGACCCAAGGGGAATAAGGGAAAACAAGTCCAAGCTTCCTTTATCAGTGATGTCTGTTCGAGAAAAAGTGCCAACAAGCGCTAATAACAGGCGATGAGGGACCCACGATGATCGATGGTGGGACAAAGGAGTTGTCTTTTCGGATCTCTGATCCTCGCGAGGCAAGGCTGGTGCATTTATCTGCATCCAAGCTGCTTCTTATACGAAACACTGCGGTTCTTGGGGCCCGGGCAATGCTCCAATGCCGTCATTGCCATCCTGACTCTCTTCCACCCTCCATCAGTCCATACATGTATCCTTTCAGCCCCTACATACATCCGCTCTCTCGCTTCACGGCCGCTCGGAAGCTGAACAACGGGCATCGTTACACCCAACTCGACGGCAATCCCGTCCGACCACCTGCCTGTGGATCGCCCTCGCACCCCTGAAGCCATCTCTCGCCGTGGTGGAGCACGCGGACATGGCGCACAACCTGGGATGCCCTGCTTGCCTGCGTTTCGGTCTCGGCAAGCTTAGATCGAGGCTCTAATGCCGCTTACCACATGGGGACACCATCCAACACCACTCTCCTTTACCTACCTGATGTAAGTTCATTCCATTCTCTTTACTTACTACTTGATTTGTTTCTTGATCAGATATCACACTTGAACAGCCTCGGCTCGCTCTCCCCTATCTCGTTCACCAATGCCGTGCACCCTGAACCGGAGTCCTCATGTTTCCCTTCGGCACCCCCTAAGAGACCGAGCATTAACCCCCCCAAAACGGACTCGGTCTCTCAGCAAGACACATCATACAAGTAGATGCATCGCCACAAACAGTAGCAATCCTCCGAAATCTCAACAAACCCTCAAGCCACCTGTCAAGACACAACTCAAAACCGGCCCTACCTCGCCAACTCCGTCCCTCCGTGTCCGTGTCCGTTCCCGTCTCCGTGTCCGTGGGCATCATCACATTCTTCCTGACACGTCCTTCTTTCAGCGCCTCCAGCTATACAACCCTGAACCCACCCCACCCGCTCATGTCCATCAACTCGTACGTGCCTCGGCGCCTCGGCTCACGGCGGTGGGGCCGCTCGTGAATGCAACTCAACCTTGACACTTGCGCCGGAGAATTTCCTTACATTGTAGTTGTAACACGCAGTAAGATTGAACATCTCTTACATGACCGGCGATAAGAAAAACAGCAATATCCACCTCTAAGCCTGTTCAAGAAAGTGTTCCAAATACCTGGTTCTACTAGTAGTAATCCTTCAATCCTCCGACCAGATACTACTATGCCATAGTAATAGCGGCCCGGCCGTAAACAACATATAGCACAACTGCCGACAACTGCCACAACGTTGGCTAACCCCCTGGCCAGCGCGAAAAAGACCCAAAAATCTACATCCCGAATCCCGTTCGCCCCTCTTGCTTAAGCCTCACTTCTGCCACTTCCATGGAGTCTCGAAAACCTCTGCAGGTATTCTCTTTGTTAATCTCATCACTCTCTCTATGAGGTTGAGCCGTGACATTCACTCCGCATCTTCATGTCTATGCCAGATTGTCTATACATATATACACACCTTCTACACCACTCCAAAACAGCCGTTATATATAGTACAAGTACAGATGCAATGCCCAGTCATCTACAAGTAATGACAGATTGCAAGCACCTGGCAGCGCAAAACAGAGTCTTGACACGTAATATACTAGTATACTACAGATGCTATCCGCATACCGACCGGGCGGCAACGGCCTCAGTCCATGGCTTACACTCGCGCAACCACTCTTGGCCAACAGGTCCTTCGCATATACCGCGAACCGCAGCCAACTGCAACTATAATAGGAAACAAAACGACCGTAGTTCAATCCGTGGGCTATGCCCCCCTCTCTGCTTTCCCAATCCTGCCTGATATAGAAACAGGTTTCAGGCAGTGTTCAAATCATCGCGCGAGCTAAATTCCCATTTGTGTGTGTAAAAGCCTTCTATCGTCATGTCGTTAATGGTATGCGCCGCTAACCTCAGTCAATGCGGTTGAAGCTTCATCATAATGCTTCGTTTTGTTCTCTTTTCCGTTTGACCTTCAACCCCTCTAGCTCAGGCATCAGAGGCAACCTATCAAACACATCCCGCTGAGCCACTTTCTGGTTTCAGACCATGCGTGACGACAGGGGATGGACGTCGCCCCTCGTGACAAACATGAGTCCGCTTCTGCTCGGTGACGTGACGACAAGAAGATCAGCGTTCGTCACGGTTGGAATCGTCTCGAGAACCTCCTCCCGAAAACCTATCCCTGAGCCAGCTGAAGGGTCCAGAGCTACTGGTTTGTTGACCAGAGCCGGAGCCAGAGCCAGAGCCGCCGTTGCCATTGCCGTTGCCGTTGGCATTATTGTTCCCCCCATCACGGCGGCTGCTCTGCGTCGGACTGCCTTGCCGCTGGCGCACCCTATAATCCGCAAACGAGGACATTCTAGGGCTCGTAGGAGACGCCGAGGTTCGAGAGGCTCGGCGCTGCATCCGTGAGGTGTCATAGCCCGTGCTGGACGCCACTCCCCATAACCGGTCTCTCTCCCTCTCGCGCTCCTGCTGCCGTTCCCCGCCCCGGTCCAACGGAATTCCCCAGATGCGGTGTCTCTCCTGCTCGCGATCTTGCTGCTGCTGCCGCTCTTGCTGCAACGACGAGATGCTCCGCATGGCCTCGTTCAGCCGGCTCTGGCTCTGGCTCGGGGGGCGAGAGTACTGAGGCCGTGCTGCTGGAATCGGAAGTGGAAAGCTACGGGTGAAGGCGCTCCCTGTAAATGGCTCCCCCGTCTGTGGTGGTGGGTATGCATCGGAGCTGGGTCCCGCGCTTGTCGCTGCGGTCGCGCGTGCATTTGCTTGGTCATTGGTACGGTTGCTGTTGTCGCCGCCAGCCTTCTCGATGGATGCTCGGCAAACCGGGCACGTGTTGTGTTCTTTGAGCCACAGCACGACGCATTCTTCGTGGAACCAGTGCTTGCAAGGCAGAAAGGCAGCTTCATCACCCACTTTCATGTCGTCGATGCAGATGGTGCACTCCGTCTTCGAGTCGCCTTCCAACATGGAGTCCACTACCGGTCGTCGATCCAGGTTGGCAAGAGCCTCGCTCGACGCTGGTGGCGCGGCGTTCGATGTCGGGTGCGCCTCCATGAGGTTCGTAATGATTTGGTCCAGTGCTTCCTGAGAATAGACGGCATCTCCAGAGATGGCGTGTGCCGGGTTGAACAAGTTCAATATCTCCTGCAGCCCCCTCGCAAATCCGGGGGTAGCGCCACCCGCCTCTCGACCTCCTACAGGAGGTGACACGTCCCGAAGAACATTGGAAAAGAAGCTACATAGGCGGCAATAGGAGGTTAGCTACTGAGACAAAAGGCGTATCCGCGGAGCTAGAGGAAGAGAGTCAACTTACGTCTGAAACAGGTCACCGTGGTGATCGTGACCAGGAGACCCAGGCCCGAAAAAGCCAGACGAAGGACCGGAGAAGATGGTGACAGAGGCGCTACCACTACCGTTGACGAATGTAGCACGGTGGATATGAGGATGAGCATGTGCCGGCCGCGGTTCATCTGCTCGCGGTCGAAAGCCGTCGGCCGGCCGTTGCGTGGGGGCGAAATCCTGGATCATGCCGAGAAAGCGTTCTATCACTGGGTCGACGGCGGGATCATGGTGCTCATCACCTGGACGCACCCTAATGCTCCGGCGAAAATGGAATCCGTGCGGCCCAAGATGCTCTTCAATATCAGCTTCGTCGGGGTCCGAATCCATGTCGTGGTGCTGGCCGCGGCCGCGAGTTTGGTGATGGTCGTCATCGTTATCGAAGGCCCCGATCGGATACGACGGTGGTTCGGTAGATGACGTTTCTGAGCCGCCAAAGTCTCGAGGGTCATTATCCGGGCTTACCTGTACGTCAGGTTAGACAAGCCGCCTAAAGTCAGACTGAGAACACAGGGAGAGGAGAAGAGAGATAGAGAGAGGGTCGAGCGAAACGTACGATTTCTGTGATGTCGCTGTCGCAGCTGGGGCACAGCAAGCCCTGCTCGTCGCGGTACCACTCGTGAGAGCAGGCGTGGCAGTAGACGACCTCGCGACCGGCGGTTGCGTCGAGATGTCGATGTTCATGTCTGCCAAAATCCATCTTGTCCCTCCAGTCTGCAGCCTGCGGTTATGCGCAGTCAAGGCGCCGAGTTCGCCCAACGGTAACAGTGCAGCAGGGCGAGCCGCACAGACAGCCAGCAGCCCAGATCGCCAGGCGTTGAATTCCAGCGGCCAAGGGCAGCCGAGCTATAGAACAGACGAAGCTGCGTATTTCCGGATCGTGGTCGGTCAACGAGCGCCGTTAGATACGCTATCGCCCGGTCGAGATTACCAAGTGCCTAGCAGGGGCCGCCTGCACAGGCAAAGAGATTCACGGTCGGAATGATCGTCTCGTGGGAATAGAGCTGAAATATAATCAATGAACAAAAACTCCCGCGATGGCGCTCATCAAGAGGCAAACGAGGGGTGGCAAGCGAACACGCAGCGAGCGCGCACGTTAAAAGGTCGGAGAAAAGCCGCAGATAGGGAAGAAAAAGAGGTGTGTGTGTGCGGAAGATGGCGAGAGGCCGTAGGTGGCACAGTAGAGGTCCTGGAGGATGATGACGTGAAGATGGCCGCAGCCTGGCGGTGACGGCGATGCTGGAGGTCGCAGGATTCTTCAAGAGGACGACGTATGGCTGCACAGGCGATGAAGAGGAGAAGAGAAAGGAAGGAAAAGGAACGAAGAAAGGGACCGGAGGACCAGCAGGCAGATGAACGAGGCGAAGAGTCAGAGTCAGTCTCGAAGCAGCAGCCGAGTGCTGATATGTAATTCTAAGGTAGGTATTTTCAGGTGCAGGTGGTGCAACGCAGGTTGGCGGCCATGATTTGCTGCTAGCGGCGCAGTGACGTTTCGTCAGGGCGGAGCAGCAGCGAGTGCCACTGCCGTTTAGCGCCGGTAGCCGCCTAGAGGTGCCTGTAGGTGCCTGTAGTCCGTTCTTGAGTCCTCCGTACATGTACTCCGTACTGTGCTCCAGATTGCCGGGCGGATTCATGTTTGTTCAGACTCATCTATTCTGGATCGTAGATACAACTGTTTTGAGGCAGTGAATGGGCGACGATGTTTGTTTGATACCATCCGGACAAACACAACAGTCACGCACTGAGAGTTTCGTCAGGCAGTGCCCGCAAAGGCTACAAAGCATCGGATCCCAGATGGCCTCCGAACTGATTTCTAATTAAGGTACCGGTACGACCCAGTAGGCTGAAGTTTGCCTGGCTTGCGCTGTATTCTGTACCACCAGAATAGCCCATCTAATGCCTCCCATGGCGTTTGTTACCTCAACTGGGTCTAGAAGCAGCTTGCAGCATGCAGCCTCGACAAATATCACATATCCATCACAACAAGTTGGGCACATGCAAGCCAAGGCAGACCGAAGCAGCTGAGTTGAGAAGTAAACCTTTATCTATATAAGAATAAGTTAAGACTATGCCTTGGCTTGGTTTACTGCGTCTGATTTGACGCCCTTCCTTGCCGTGCTGCACAAGAGGCTGGCTGGCCACTGCTACATCCCAGGCTACAAAGAGACGTTAAAGTGTCTGGTCCCAATTGGACTTTGGGTGCCAACATGAGCATACATGATCCAATTCGAATCAGCAAATCCTACATCGCTCGCAGGCAACACTTTACAGAAAGGTGGACTCATCTTCAGCCGCAGGGTCCTCAGGTACAGATAGCCCCCCAACATTGGAAGTCAGTTGGAGCCTGATACCAGCCTGCTTTTTAAGACGAACCCCCTTGCAGATCTCCATGCATCTGCAGAATGAAATAGACCCCTCAATCTCGCCCTTTTGGAGGTTTGAATTAGGCTCGCAAGGCTCTGATAAGGCTGGAGTGCGTTTTGCTGCTGCGCCGTTAGCGGGGTGAGATGCTGGAAGGAGCCTCTCGGAATCTATCTGTCTCCTGTCAGCACGGCTCCAGATCCTGCACAGCAAATGCCATAAGCATTTTGGGGGATTTCCTGGAGCCTGATACACGGCGTTCTGAACGTGTTCTGGATTCGGCGCCGTATTCCCGATTGCAAGGCATTCATACGGCCCTCCTATCCACCGTCTCACGACGTGCGTCACTTCTTGCAGATGGCTGGTTTCGCAAGCCCGTCTCTCGCAGAATTGCAAATCCACCAAGATCTTAACGTCCCAGATCGAGTGATTTATGGCCATAAGTGGCAATCGTATTGTCCAGGGTTCGCGGTGGAACAGTCAACGTCTCCCAGATAGAGGTCGCTCAATATCAAATTCGATAATCCATGAGGTTCAAGGTCTGATTTGTTCGTATGGCTTTGTACAATTCCGTCTATTATCATTTCCCGCCCTACTCCTTCGTGCCGTTTGCCTGCTTCAGCTTATCCTCCTTGTCCCACTCAATCAACTGCTTCGACCAGCTTTAAATCACCAAGACGTTAGCAAGACTCCCCTCCAGCGATTCCCCATGTAAACCGCGCGCGTAAGAAACGTACTATCGGCTAGGATGCCACTCCCACGGCTCCGGCTTGTGCGCCCATCGTTCCCTGTCGGCGCTGAACTTCCACGTAATGGCGACGATGCCGAACATGGCGACGCCGGCGATGAGCGTGTTGGCGCGCCAGTTGGCAGGCTGGGCGTACCAACCACCGGCAGGCGACCAGACGTGCTTGGGGTAACTGTTCATTTGATTCCCGGCGATTAGGACGAGTTGTTCTCGCGAGGGTGGTATAATCGAGCTTCGTTCGATTCGACGAGTGTCAACTTACGGGACTTTTCCTCCGCCACCCTGGACATTTAGTTAGCTAGCATTCTCTTGCGCGGGTCAACTGATTCCGCAACTCACCATTTTGAAAGACGTATCAATTGCAGCGGATAACTGGGCAGTTCTGCTATCCAGCGCTTTCAAAGGATCATACAATCAAAGGCCCAAGTTGGAAGACGGAAGTCCCGCCAATAGCTCAGCGAGAGCGAAAAACGCCGGGCCGAAGTAATTCCGCCCGCAAAGTGGGCGCCAAGGGTCGCAAGTTTGCGAAAAAGCAGGTGGGCAATGGCTCACACGACTTTTTTCCGCCGGGCAGCATTAAATCGACGCAACGACGAACTTGTTTGGCTTCTTCTCGACGAGGCAGTTTTCCGGGACAGCGCAGTTGTCTGATTCCCTTTTGCCTCAGCTGCGGTTCCCTCCCAATTTGCCCCGTTTTTTACCTGCTTCTGTGAAGGCCTTGCTTGCGGGTCGTAGCATTGAGGCTGAGGGGCACCGGCTTAGAGGGGGATTTTTTTTTCTTTCATATAATTCTCTTTTTCTTATACTTCAACATCAACCTCCCACATGAAGAGAATACGACCCTCACGATGGAGCGGCCAATTGCTCCAGGCCCGCCGCGGCCCCGGCATCCCAGCCGCTAGGACGCCTCTCTGCCTCGCCATCAGATGCCAATCGACCTCCTCCGTCCCCGCGAGCGACTCCTCCTCCTCCAACAACCTCGACTCTTCTTCCGTCCCTCCTCCTCCTCCTCTGCCCGACCGGGCCCCCCAATCCGCCAAGCTCGCCGCCCTCCACGCCCGCCTCTCCCTCTCGAAGAAGATCCCGCTGCAGACCCTCGCGCGGGCCCTGGTCACGCCCTCCGCGGACGCGAACCCAAACTTCAACAATGCGAACCTGGCCTACCTGGGGAGCACAATCATCAACTTCCACGTCTACGAGTACCTCGTCTGCAAGTGGCCCCGCCTGCCCATGGCCATCCTGTACGAGGCGCTGAGGGCCTACGCCGGCGCCGAGTCGCTGCAGCAGATCGCCAGGAGATGGGGCGTCGAGGCGGCCGCCGCGCCCGGGGAGGAGGTCGACCCGGGACTGCTGCAGTGGAAGGCCGGCGAGGGCCATGGCGTCAACACCCGCTGGGGGTACATCCGCTCCGAGGCCGCCAAGGGAAAGGCCTGGAGGCGAGGGCTGAGCAGCCGCGTCGTCTTGGACAGTGACTTTGGCGACCAGGTCAGCAGCTCCGCCGACCCCGAGCGGCTAGAGTACAACACCCTGCAGGCCGAGGCCTTTGGCTCCGTCGTCCAGGCCGTCATTGGCGCCATCTACACCCACTGCGGCCGCGACGAGGCCAAGGCGTTCGTCAAGTCGCACATCCTGTCGCGGGAGCTCGACCCCTCGAAGCTCTTCCAGTTCAAGCTGCCCACCCGCGAGCTGGCCATGCTGTGCGCCCGCGAGGGCTTCGAGCCCCCCATCGCGCGCCTGGAGAGCGAGACGGGCCGGCTGTCCCGCACGCCCGTCTACGTGGTCGGCATCTACAGCGGCAAGGAGAAGCTGGGAGAGGGCGCCGGCGCCAGCCTGGACGTCGCCCGCCGGAAGGCGTCCATGGCGTCGCTCAAGGCGTGGTACCTGTACAGCCCGGGGAACAAGGTGCGGGTGCCCAGTGACATGTTGGAGCAGGGCGCCAGGCCATGGACGGCGCCGCACATTGATATCGGTGAAATCATCTAAGCGCTGTTTGACTTACCCTGGCATTAACATCTTGCCCACAAAAGTCAATTCGGTTGGGGTCGGATATCTCAGGTATATATATGCGTGTATATACATGTACGAAGTGAATGAAGAAGCAAGAAAAAAAGAGAAGCAAAAAAGGGCAACGGAGCGATGGTCGGGTTCTTGCAAGACGGGGATGGACGGAGAGCATGTATGTTTGGGTTAGAGAAACGTCGCCCTCCACTGTATAATACAAAACATATTGTAAAAATAAGCCGGACAAACTTTTCGTTTTCGCCATAAAGTTGAAATGTACAGGATATAATACAAAATGATATACAGGCTAAAAGCAGGCGGCTTCTCGATCTTCAACCCCCCAACTCCTTTCCGTCGTCGGCTGTTGTGGCCTAGCTAAACTGATCTCCATGATGAAGCAGAGCCGCCTCCCCCGTGTTCACTCGGCGCTGCGCCTCACCTTGCTCGCGCAGCTGCTTCTTGCGCTCGTACACAGCCCGCACAGTGGCTCTGATCTGGTCCTTGCCCTCGTCGTAATTCGCGCGCGCAAGCCGGACGACGCTGTCTATCTGCTCAGGGGTATACACAAAGTTCCACGTGCTCAGGAAATCCGTCGTGCCGGGCGAGATGCCGGGCACCTTTTCGTTGGAGAGGAGCGGGAGGTAGATGACGGCGAGGCCCGCGTCGGGCTCCAGAAGCCGCCACGAGGTGTCGTCCGTGATGGGCTTCGTGATGGGCGGCGAGTCTGTGGATCGCTCTTCCGTCGTCCCGACCCATACGGAGCAGTAGCCGAGCTCCCCTGCGTTTTCACTACCCGGCGCGAACTTGGATTCGACGTCGAGCTTTTTCTGCTCGTCTGCAGCCGCTTTTCGACGGTCTTCTTGTTCGGCCTGGGCCTCTTCCACCTTTCGTTCTGCTTCGGCTGCTGTCGCGGCTTGGGCTTCTTCCAGCTCCTTTCTCGCCTGCTCGGGTGTCTCATCCGGCTTTGGCCATCCGATGCCTACCGGCCATCCCTTGATGCCTCGTTGTCGCGCATAGCCATCCGCAACAGAGAGCCAGTTGTCCGTCTTGATGTCGGCCGAGGCATCAAAGGCAATGAGAATGTCCACGTTCCGGCCGGGCCGCAGCAGCGGATATATGGGCAAGTTGTTCGACATTCCCGCGTCCATGAGCTGGATGTACTCCCCTTCCAGAATACTCCTGGGCGTGGTGCTGGGCAGCTTCCCGTACATTTGATATGCGAAGTTGGGGATAATGGCAGGGTCTATAGGGTGTACTTTACTCAAGTCCTCGTTTCTGCCCGATACTAGGTCGTCTATCGTCTGAAAACCGGTGATGGTCCTGAGAAGGGGTCTAATCTCGCGATAGTAGTGGCTGAGCGTCGCGCAGAACGCGCTTCCAAAGATGCCCATGAGAAGAGGAGTCCTGATCTCTGGGAGATGGAACCCATGATCAGATACGTCGTGTCCGTTGGAAAAGCGTCGACCGAGAGCCCACGTCGGAATTCCAGCCGAAAACTCCTCGCAAAAGAATTCGTAGGGCGTAAGTTCGAACCATTGAAAGTAGGGTTCTTTCTTCATCTGTTCCATAGTGCTCACTGGGGCATCCAGATTCTCAGTGTCCTGCTTCTCTTCAGCGGGAATCTCATGGCGCACAGCTGTGTATATGGGCAGCGGCCACTGTCCCTGCCGCAGATATAGGCGCTGATTTGATAGCTTGAAGTCTCTTGCATCGACGCCCAGTTCGCCCCTAGGTATCAGGTATCTGGCGCCCAGCAGAATGCCGTAGATATCGACGATTCCAAAGTCGGCATGGGTGTCTCCCTTTAGCTTTTCGACCAGTCCACTCAGCAGATATTTGCTTGTCGGCAGTGAGGTGAGGGATTGAAAGGCGACCGGTGGATAGGCTATGTGCGTAGATGCTCTTGCTTTGAGGTGCTGTATAAGAGCGCTGACGCTTCCTCTCGCAATGGACGAGAGGTAAAGCATCTGAAGCCAGCAAGACCCGCTTACGCCAGCGGTATAAGTGACACAGTCGAGGAGTCCATCCTCATCTGTCGCATACATCGACCCAGTCCCTGCTATCAGAGCTCGCATCCCCCCTCCCGATCCGCACATGGCAATTGTTGGCACATCCTCAGGGTGGATATCGTTTTCTTCGAGCCCTAGATACTTGGCCAACGCCGCCCTGGTGACGACTTTCCGTCTCGAGAGAAACTCCTTCTCTTCGTCGCACAGCTCCGATGAGACTCGAACAGCAGCAGAGTATTGGATCTCGGGGTTGACCGTAGGGTCATGAGCCTCCTGCCATATCTCTTCCGCTAGCGATCCTGGAGACGCAGAAAGCTCCCGCTGGAGCTTCCTCACGTAAAGAGGTATATTCTTCCACCACTCCGGGATGATGGCATCGACCAGCCGATCTGACAGGGCAGCCCATTCCAGCTCGGCCGCCGAAGAGAAGAACTCGAACTGCCGCGCAAAGTACGCCCATGCACCGTCGTCTGATTTTTCCGTCACGAGTCTATAAGACTCCTGATCGTCCGCCTCTTCCTCATCATCTTCGTCTTCTCTTCTCCTCCTCTTGGCTTTTTGGCTTTCGGACAGGCGAGCAAAGTCGTCTGTTGGGTACAACCACCACGTGAAGAGCCCTAGGGCAAGGACTGTAGCCGGCAAGCTTGTTGGCTGCTGTCTCTTTTGGCGTTTTGACTGCGTGAAGAAGCTGCGGTCCAGCTGAGCGGCCACTCCTGGAGGGCGTCGTGAAGCTCTCAGACACGACCTGAGCGATATCGATGGCCGCGGCAATTTCACGGGGTATCTCATGATGTCTCGACTGTAAGCCGCAGCTCACGAGAGCCAGCTTGTTGATCAAAGCAGGGGTGACATCAGTCCTAAAACAAAGAAAAAAAAAGCGGTTTGAAGATATGCTTCTGCGAGATGTCACTCCATGCAGGTCATGGTGGCAAATAGAGCAGCTTAAATATATATATAGAAATTGATGGTTACCTTAATTGCGACTTTTTGGCGTGATGAGACCATTTCCATGCTTGTGTTGGCGTAGGCGTTACGTCAATGCTGCGGTTAGCCAGGTACCTTGGCAGCTGCAGGCGGCGACACTCCACCAAGTCGTAGCAGCCTAGCATGTGGAAGCTTCCATGGGCGTTCCATGCTTGCTTAAGGTAGGTACCTTATTGCACACCTTAATCGCAAGATGCAAGAACGATGCCTCAATGCGAGGCTATTCCATACCTCATCCCATTGTCGTCGGAGAGAGGGCATGAGAAGGATGACTCGTGAAGATCTGGGGGTCAAGTCTGCCTGGAGTGGCCAGGGATGGATGACTCTTTTCTTGCCATGGGAATGAGGTAGTATGTTTGGCAGTGAGAGGGACAAGAGTACATCTGAGTTATCTCTAGGTACTTATCTATAACCCTGACAAGATACCTAAATCAAGATTGCCATCCAATAGCTGTCGCTCCAAAGCAATCCCAGGTCGAATTTCATGTGTACAGTAGCTTAAATGCCGGGTCCAACCAAGCACGCCGCCTGTAGTTGTAGCTGCCCATAAACCCGCTGCACATTGACGCCAGACAGTACCTTCCGAGTACTCCCATCCACCAGTCATCAGATAGATCATCCGGCCAAAAGCAGCAGCAAAGCATATCAGATAGCGGCTGACTCCGAGTGGCCAGCAGGTACCTCCCAGCGGGTGGGCGCTTGTCCAAGCAGGTGGTGGGGTTGCCGTCTTTCAGTGGGGCCCCAGCAGATCTCGCATAGATTTTTTGCGCCCCAAATATCTTTTTTTTTTTTTAAACAGTCGCGACGGAATTGCTGCACCTCCAACCTCTGCCCTTTCATCATCAATTTCGGGGTCCAACCATCGCGTTTCTCTGCCTTCATCTGTCTTTCATATAGCCAAGGAGGCGACACGCGAATTGAACTGACAGGTAAGCCTCAGGCGACTCCACTGGCGGTGCAGCTTGACAATTCGCAGGCGGGTTTCATCGCTTGTGCTGCGCCAGCCTCTTCCACAGCTGCCAGAATTACTCACAATTTGCAGGAACTTGCATCTATCGCACTACACGAACCGCGATACTCTTTCCTGATCGCCAATTCCTCGAATCTATCTAAGAAAGCATACTGAGCCTTTCGACCCCCAAACTCCAAAATGAGCGAAGCAGAGGCTGTCCAAAACCCTGTCGAGGTGAAGGAGGAGACGATGGAGCAGCCCGCGGCCGCTGAGACCAACGAGGCCAGCGAGACCAAGGCCGAGGAGACCAAGGCCGAGGAGACCAAGGCAGAGGAGCCCAAGGAGGCCGAGGAGCCCAAGGAGGCTGAAGAGACCAAGGAAGCCAGCGAGGCCAAGGAGACTGAAGAGACCAAGGAGGCTGGCGAGGCCGAAAAGAAGAATGGCGCCAACATCCTCAAGACCACGGCCAAGATTGACCGCGAGAACCTGCAAAGCAACCGCAAGTTTGACCCCTCTGTCAAACCGGTGACTGACGATCCCGAGGAGATCAGGAAGCAGGTAAGGCTACCCATAGGATACCAATAGCCACACCTCTCGAGTATATACTAACCAGACAATCAAACAGGTCGAGTTCTACTTTGGCGACTGGAACTTCCCCCAGGACAAGTTCATGTGGGAGACGTGCGGAGGATCAGAGAACAAGCCCATGTCGATCGCCACGATCCACTCATTCAAGCGCATGCGCTGCTTCCAGCCTTACAGTGCCGTTGTTGCCGCTCTGAGGGAAAGCAAGTTCCTGGAGGTGTCTGGAGAGGAGGGCAAGGAGGTGGTGAAGCGCAAGGTGCCCTACAAGCCCATGGCGACCTCCAAGGCCAAGGCCGAGGCTGCCACTGTCTACGCCAAGGGCTTTGGTGACGAGCAGCCCGACACCCAGTTCGAGCTGGAGAAGTTCTTTGCCCAGTTTGGCGAGGTCAACGGACTGAAGCTCCGCCGTACCAACGAGGGCCTGTTCAAGGGCTCCGTCTTCGTCACATTCGCCGACGAGGAGACGGCCAAGAAGTTCCTTGCCCTGGATCCCGCCCCCAAGTGGAAGGATCACGACCTCAAGATCATGTCCAAGCGTGACTACTGCGAGGAGAAGAGCGAGCTGATCAAGCAGGGAAAGCTGGCGCCCAACGGAACATCGCAGAAGAGGTTCTACGAGGGCAAGGATTACGGCAAGAGGACTCTGCGCAGCGGTGCCTCTGGCGACCAGGACGACTGGAAGAAGCGACGTGACCAGGACCAGAAGAATGGCTTCAAGGGAGGCCGCGGAGGCGGTCGTGGCCGCGGTGGACGGGGTCGAGGTGGTCGGGGCGGCCGTGGCGGCCGTGACCGCGACTCTGGCCGACAGGAGTAAGCATCCTCTGCTTGATATCATTTTGTCGGATTGTCAAACTAACGCAGTGACTAGGAAACGTGTGGATGCTGCCGCAACTAACCTCAAGAGGCCCCGGGACGAGGAGGAGTCTGCAGCCCCCGCTGCCAAGAAGGTCGATACCAAGGACGAGTGAAGAAACAAAAACAAAAGGGATACGGGCGAATGGGTTCACAATGCATTTCTTCGTCGCCTCAGCTTAAGGATGTGAGGCGACCCTCACTTTTGAGGCATATAATCAACATACGAGCGAGCCAATAACAGGGTGCTGGAATTGCACCCGGGCTTCAGGGTTTATGCGCGTCTATCTTTGCAGTTGATGGAACAATATTCGGCGGGAATCTTGCTATCTGATTTCGTGTATCGTGCATATTACCCAAGATTGGGTCGATTACATGGGAGATATCTCTGTCTCTGACCGATAGGGAGCTGCGGTTTTAGTTCAGGTTGTCCTTATATTAGCAGCTGGACACTATATGCAATGAAGCTCATGATGTCTCATTCACTCTGTGCCATTGGTCGTTTCGCCCAGGACATACATGAAGCAATGAATTTTAGATGAAATAATGAATGAATGTTCGGAGATTGGAGTTCGTCAGCCACATATGGACATGAAGGGGCGAACTCGACATCTCGTGCTTAGTTCGCTCATCGTCGTGCTTAAGTTCTGAATCGGGCTGTTTTCATTATTCGTAATACAAGCAGTGATATGTTTGTGACTGTGTGTGTGGTTTTAAGTCAGCTGGGTCTGAACATGCTTGGAATATCAAACAATACGTAAATCGTCGCAAGGCATCAATTTCCAAGAACTCACATCTTGGCAGCGGCGCGCAAAAGTCTTTGCTGCCCTATAGCTCCATCATCACTCAACATGGCGAAAACTACCTTCAACTTTCTCGACTCTTAAGAGAAACTCCTCGATATCTTCTCAACGGGTAGAGAAACAAGGGTCTTGAAGGTGCACTTTACCAGTTGCAGAATTGGCGCTGCTTCATACATCAGCGCCTTTCAGATGCATGAAGTTGACGACGATATTGCAGAGGGCTATGTGAGGTGAATTTCAATATAATAACAAATAAAAACTTTGGGCTGCCAGATCCAATCTCTTGTGGGTATTGTTGATTATGAACGAGAATCACTCAATAGCCGAAAGCATTGATTAATAGATTCCCAATCTCCCAAACTCCATGCTAACAATATGACCCCAGCAGAATTCGAAAAACAAATAGAAAAGAAAAAAGGGAACGACAATTAGATACTGATAGCATGCCCTCAGGCAACGCCAATGGTCCTTCGGCTGAGTTCATTGTATCCTGGCAACATGTTATCCTCCCGCGGCCCAGACTCCGGAATGTGAATCACACGAGGCTGCAAGTAAGCGTCCGCCTCTTCCTCTTCAGCCTGAGCGAGCGCGCTCTCAAAACTAGGAAGCTCGTGGCCCTGGGGCTCGTAAACCGTCTCGACGCCGATCTGAAGAGGCACAGCCAGCGAGATGGCGGTGTTTGTCGGTCCAACAGACAGACTCAGTTGCAGTGTGTAAGATCGAGAAATCAAACAAGAGTGGAAGCTGGGTAGGAAGAGCTTCTTGTTGGTGTTGGTTACCGTAAACGGGATTTCGATGTCGGTGGTGTGTTTAACAGTAGAGAGTTTGGGCTTTTTGGAGCCTTTCCCTTTGCTGCTTTGCCGCCTTCTTCTCTCAGACGCATCTGATTCGGAGGCATCTCCATCCACCACGGTGCTTGAGTAGCCCGAGTCACGCCGAGAACGCGATGACGCCTCTTGCTGCATCCATGAGACGGATTCCACAGGTAGAGTGAAGAGCGAGTGAGTCGTCGTATAATTCAAGCACGGGGTACTCTCGCAGTTCGTCCGGCTGCCCAGGTTTGGTAGATGATCCACCGGTACGGCGCTGAAGAATGTGGTCGACACGAGTTTGCCTGTGACCGAGTTGATCTTGGGAGGAGCCGTCTCTGCGGATGACGGAGCATACTCCAAGTTGATACGGACGCTCGTCATGGAGGATTTGTGACCATCCGCTGAGAGCATGACAGCACCGGGCTGAATGGCACTTGCAGTGAACTGACCAGTCTTGCTCGAGAATAAGCTCTTCCGGATGGTCTTGGTCTTGGATAGTTTGTACCACTCGTCCCGAAAGGTGATATCGAGAGGCGCGTCCTCAGGATGCGCCGGAAGCACCTTGAGGATGTGGTGGGCTTCCATCACCTTAGTGACAGTTCCGTTCCCGTGCTGGATAGCCTTGGCGTTAATTGCGTACTCAATCTGCGTCATATCGGGAGCTTGATCGTCGGCCGCCCAAGCGCCCAGGCTTGGGGGAAGTCGTAAGTGTCGCTCCCGAACGTTTTGTGACAAGCAGGTGTGATTGCAGGCCCCAATGGTGAGTTGATGGGGGACAACAAAATGGAACGGGATCTTGTATTCGCATCCGGCTCGAAAGATTCGGTCTCCGGGCAAGTCCGACTCCTGGATTGGCATGCGGATCTTCAAGAACGGCCTGAAAGAATGCGAAGGGTACTGCTGGACAAAGTCAAGCCGAGTGGCAGAGATACCGACAAAGACGATGTCCAGGCTGTTGAATGCAGTGTCCTTCAAGACGCGGACTGCAACATGGCCAGCGATAGTGGACCCGGAGGTATAGACCTTGGTGTTGAAATGCTGGTCTATTTTGACTTCCATGGCGGGATTCTGAGTAGAGCCGCTCTTGGACGCTTTGAAAGGGCGAGTCGTTCCCTGAGATGAGGCCGACATTTCCGGTCACGAAGACGGCGCTGCAGAAGAAAATAGGGTTGCGTGTCGAAGTGTGCAGGAAGTGAGGGAGTGTCTGGTTTGTCTGCCACGGGATACTCGGGATCGGGTGCAGAGAATGTTATCTCGGGGACTTAGAGATGATGTCGTCGTGAAAATGTTTCGGAGACTGATGGTTGATGGTCGAGGGCGGCTCTTTGACCTGAGATGCAGCCTTCGAGGTCTATTTAGATAGTTGAACCGTCGATTTTACGAAATGTCCAAGTGGTATTATGATGAGGAGAGCAAAGAAGCAGACAAAACGGGCAACAAACAGGAAACAACGGACGAGCGAGCAATCAAACAGCAGGTTGCAAGAATGGGATGAAGTCGAAATCGGAAGCACGTAAGTCTGGGGAGGGCCTCGCCCTTAAAGCTGAGTCAATTGGGCTCTTGTCGACATGACCAGGTCATCATGAGCTTGTCCGTGAGATGGATGGAGGGGTTGCTACCAAGCAGACAGTGGAAAGGAGCTCGACGGCGGCGGTAACGGTACTTGCGGCAACGGCATTGAAATCAGAGGTCCCGGGGAAGATGCTGGGGGCGTGTGAAGAAGCTGCGAGAATGGGGAGTGTGGCAATCATCGGGTGGTAGCCAGTAGGGAGCCTAGACGTACGTATTAAGTCAGTGCCGCCATTCCGCGTGGAGCTCGTTCATGGGTGGTTCCATCGTTCCGGCGCAGGTACTCGTGCGCTGTGCGATGATCCCGGAGCAAAATTGGCGAGAGGCTCTTTGTGTGTGTGAATCGAGAATGCCGTGATGTTGGGAGAGGAAAATGAAGCAGATATCGAGGGCTGTAGGATGGAGATGGAAGAAATTGAAGAGTCTCGATGGTCACAGTCGGAGTGCAAGAGTCACTGAGAGGGAACGTGGAGGTATAGGTACATCTTGGGCATCAGCGTTAGGGCGCACTCAACTGGAGCTGGCGGGTATCGTGCCCTGTAGCGGTCACAGTGGTGGATGCTGTGCAACATCGCAGCTTCCATTTTTGCGTTATTACCGTACGAGTATTAAGTATTCGAGGTAATGCCTGGAAATGAGGACAATCTCGAGATTCCTTCCTCTTCTCCGCAGCTTCATCATTCTCCTTCAATTCAGCGCTTTGGCGGCACAGATCCAGCGCCAGCGACTTCGTGTTGGTCCAGTGAAAAGCCAATCTCCTCGAGATCTCACAACCTGCAGTTATTCTTCAACAAGCAAAAGAGCCCCATCGGTTCGGTCTTCCCCGGGTCTGCCCCATGGCCTCGACTCCCATCTCCGTGTGCTAAAGCACAATGAATGGAGACGCATCACGAGGGTCAAAAGCTTTAAGCGCACAATGCAGCAAAAGGGACGCGATGGGAAAGGGAAAGGGAAAAAAATAGTAATTCAAGAAATCACGAGTCCCCATTAACGAGAGCCCCTGTCGTGGCGCCTGCGCACGAGTTGAAAAAACAACCCAAAAAGAACAAAGCTCGTGCCAGGACCCTTGAGTCGTGTGGATGGCTGCCTTATTAGACGACGTTCTGGCTCGGTCTGGACTCTTTCGCTACTCTGAATTTTTTTTTCCAGGCCCATCTGGTGGGCGCTCACGATGGTGGATTCGGTGCAGGATCGGAGGTTTGCGGACTGAATCATGCCCACCGTGTAGGTGGACGATGTATTGATTGCACTACTATGTACTAGGAAGCTCGCCTCGTTGGTTCAACTTTGCAGCGACAAAAAACTGAGCCGCGTTGCTACCGTTTGGGTCGGGCCATCCGGTGTGCCTGGAAGGCGGATGGATGGGATGGTAAGTTAGCGGTTTGCTAAAATCGTGATATATTGGAGAGATCAACTAATAACCATCCAATGAGGATTCCTCTGCTGGCCTGCCGCGCATCTCACACGTGTCCAGCGGGGATGCGACGTTTACATGAAGTCAACGAGATGGGACACCCAACTCCAATCGACTTCTCTCGCACCTCGTGCGTCTCCGTGGGAGAGACTAGGGCTGTTGCTTTTGTCAACCCACGAGGCCATCACCACCGTGAAAATTCCGATATCGCCTCTAATATCTCCAACGTCTTCTCCCATTTCGCACTCACGGGACATCAAAAAGCCACGGCCTAGAGCAAACTTTATCTAGTTGAGCCGCTACTTCAGCATCTCCACTACCTTAAACAAGTGCAGCTTGCATCGTGGGAGACGAGCCGAAGCAGAGACGCTGGTCAAGGTACATACAGACACTTTGCAGCTTCCTAGCGCCCGCTCTGCGTCTTCATGTCTTTAGCCACCCCTCAAAGGATCGGTATCTGGATACCTTGCTGAGCGAGTTAAACAGCCGTCAAAGACGGGTACTGTCGACCCCAGAGGAACGACCTCGATATCTAACGCAACACACGCCCCTGGCCCCGTTTTTCAATCCCAGACTGCTGCACGATTTGACAGACGATCTCCGTAAACGACCTAGCGCATCGTTCTATTCTTTGCCCAGCTTCACACGGTCCTCTTTTCCAATACTAACTTTTTTCTGCTTCGCGACTTGGCTTATTATACAGAGTCCTCCTTTGGAAAGCGCCTAACGGATTCCTCTGCTGACAATGGCAATTGGAAGTTTGCGCCCAATCCAGGTCAGCCAGGGGAAAAGCTTCGATGGTGGAAAAAGGGGGAAGGAGGGAGGAATGGCCAGAAAGGGCAGGCCACCACGTCGACGACTGACTCTTGGCCAGTGATATGCCTCTCCCATGCTCCTTGAAGGAAGTTTCAGTAGACGCCAATTCCCTGCAACGCTTGGATCTTCTGCGTATTTGCCATTTGTCTCTCCCAATGTTATGTGAGTTCTCCTGAAATCCCTAACGTCTATACAGTGCCGTTCCTATGAAATCACATGCAATCGCACACTGCATGCAATACCATATCCACAGATAATCCTTGTACGAGAAGCTTAATCAGAGTGATCGCCAACCCACATACTCAAACCGCAACGCCACTTTCTGCGCCGTTCACCTGTTCCCAGCATTGCGATGATTCATCGACTTGGCTCAGCTTGGCTTGATGCAACGGTTTTAAGCGATTACGCGTTTACCATGCGTAGCCACTTTTCATCTGTTCGATGGCCTCAGCCTGACATTATGAGATGAAAGTAGGATACACAATACAGGAGCCGGGCCATGAAATGAACGAAAGATGCTGATGGTAAAGCCTCACGCGACAAGTCATCAACGAGTACCGAGTCAACACACTGTTTCTTTTGTTTGTGCCGCTGACGTGAAATTAAGGGTCGTCTAGAAAGTAGGTACAGAGACATCGGTGTCATTCGGTCCAAAGACGACGGCATAATCCGCATGTTGTCCCAAGAACACACCTCGAAGGTTTTGAACACCATTTCTTACTGTGCGAATCACCGACCCGCCACTCTTCTCATGGCCTTGTTGTTCAGAGTCCACGACAGTCCGTTCTTGATAGCACCCGGCCCTTCCAACTTATCATCCAGTTTGCCCATCGCCATCTTGCACAGACAATCGCCAGCAATGTCTGTAGGCGCCAAACCCAACGGCATAACCGTCCTAATCACAGGATACAGAGCACTCCCCATAGCCCTGTACAGCGCGCCCGGGTCCGGGATGTACTTCTTTATAGCATCGTGTTGGGAGGCATCCACAGCGCCGAGTCGGACTGAGTAGGTTCGCATGCTGCGAGTCTCATTGCTCATCTCCGCAAGTGCGACTTCCGTTTCTCCCTTTACTCTGCCAAAAGTCGCAGTGCAATAACCCGGCTCTTGCGTCGCGCCCTCGCCGGAAACATAGACGAAGCGAAAGGGCTGGTCTTCCGAGTCTGAAAGCGAGGAGAATGCGCGTGCGGCTGCGAGGGGATAGTCTTTGGTGATTCTGATGTACTCGTCCTTGGTGACCTTGGTCTGACTGATGCCGAGAGCCCAGACGCAGCCATTGGCATCTTTGAGCTGTCCTAGCAGGGAGGAACTATACTGCTCGAAGTCTTTGTGGATGATGACGTTGATGCGTGGATCTTTGGCGTCGTCGGCCATGGGAACCGGACGGCGGCTGAGGATGGATATCTTGGCGATGCTGGTGTCTCTGATCATGGCGTCTAGGACGCCGGAGCCGACGAGGCCTGTTGCCCCTGTGAGGATGAGGTGCATATTGGCAGTGAGTGGTGATGCGTTTGACGATGTCGCTGCCGTCTCGTAAGACGCTGGAACTTCAAGGCTCGGCGTAAATGGCAACGCAGAATGAAAAGGAAGCCGAGTCACCAACTATCGCCGACAATACGGATATATATATATACTCGATGTCTCGAGGTTGAACTCCGCCAATCCGCCTCCGCCTCCCGCCATCTGATGCTCACGACTCCTGATGGGTGGCATAGCCTGACTGTCCACTTCAGCCTGCAACAAGGTAAAGGACCAATGACATCTTGCGATCTTGCCGAAATTCAAGTATTTCGGAAATACCGGCCAATAAGCATCGTGGAATGTGTAAGTCTCTCGGTACTCGAGGTGTCCCTGGATAGAGGTTTGTTCTTCTCCGTCCATATCATGATCAAATCCTGCAGTTGATAGATGTAAGATCCGGTGTGTAATGCCACTTTAGGCAAGGCGGGCTGACATCGGCAGATATATTGGGTCAGGGCGTATTGCCGGATGAGGACCAGCACAAGCCACTTGTAACGCTGGAATGGGGGTTGATAGGCGGTTCATATATCGTGGCTATTCATTGTCAGTACGCTGTCTCTTTTGTTGCACCATCAACGAGGCTTATTATCTGCTCGTATTATCTTGAAGGCTTCCTATGTACTTCGACTTCCAATATCAAGCTCCCTTCATCATTGTGAACCACGTGGGTCTCAGCTTGGATTGCCATGGGCCGGATCGTCGATCGCGATCGGCAAAAGAGCGGTTAATCATCTTTGTCCATCGGAATGCAGGTGCTGCCCTGAGTCCGTTCCTCCCTTAGCTTGTCGGCAGTGCTGTAGATTGATTCTAGCCCCTGGTCGTCACTTGAAGGTGTCCAGAATTCCGTCCCTCACCTGCATCTTCGTATCTGGCCCATTGCTCTGATGACGATATCCTCGAGAACCCAGCCGAAGCTTTGGTAACGACATTATATTAGTCCGAGTACGTCGAATCGATTGCGCCCGCCATTGGAACCCGTCATTTGCATATCCAGAGTCCCCATCCTCTTAGACGTCCAATCCCGTCGCATACTCGTACCGCAGCGCGAAGAATACGACAGCGTTGCTGCATCTGCAAGCACCAACTCGTCTCAACAACTCGATCGAATTGTGCAGTTAAACGTCGCAGCTCGAGCGTGCGAACTGAGTACATTTACAAAAGGGAGAGCTGGCGCCGGGCGCGATTCGCATGCCTTGATGGTGATGTCGCGAGGAGACCGAGGACCCAACCGAGCTATTCACGGCGCATCAGCATGATTGGCACACGCAAGACTGGCCTCCGCGGCCTGTTCCTGCTCTTGTTGGCATCCTCGTCAACGGCATTCTATATTCCTGGTATAGCCGCCAAGTCACCTGTTGTTCATGTGCTTGCCGCTGTGTTGACAAGCACTACCCACCCAACCAACTGGTCGCTAACGTACCCTCTCGCAGGCTGGTCAATCAAGACCTACAAGGATGGCGAGCTGGTGCCTCTGATGGTCAACAAGGTCTACTCAGACAACACACAGCTCCAATATGCCTACAACGACTTGCCATTCACCTGCTCCCCGACGGGGAACCACAAGGCTGGGGGCGGCTTACTGAGCGGCCAGAGCGTGCCCTTGAATCTGGGGGAGGTGCTGCGCGGCGACCGCATCATTACATCCGACATGGAGCTCGCCATGGCAAAAGATACACCGTGCACACTGCTCTGCAATAAGGAGCTATCACGTCGCGATATGCGCTGGACAAAAGAGCTGATTCGGGATGGGTACGTGGCTGAGTGGATCGTGGACAATCTGCCTGGCGCAACCAGCTTCGTCACTGCCGACAAGACGCGCAAGTATTACGCTGCAGGCTTCAAGTTGGGATATACAGAGGCTTCGCCAAAGACTGGAAAGCTTCACTACTATCTCAACAACCACCATACTATTGTCATCCGGTACCGCAGAGCACCGGGCCGAGCCGGCGATCGTGGTGAAAAGGTCGTTGTGGGGTTCGAGGTCTATCCCAAGAGCGTCGGAAACGGGAACAAAAAGGACAGTGCGGGATGCCCGGTGGACATTCAGAACGTCGACCAGCCCTTTGAGCTGTACATTGCCCCCAACAAGACGACTGATGCGTCGTTGAAGTATGATGGCTTGTCGTACCACCCTCATGAGGTGGAAGACGATGACAACAGCCCTGGCTCCCTGAACATTCCTTACACATACTCCGTCTACTTCCGCGAAGACGAGAGCATCGAATGGGGCCATCGCTGGGACCTCTACTTTGTGAACCAAGAGGAAGGCACACGCATTCACTGGATGGCCATCATTAACTCGCTAATTATCTGTGGGCTCCTGACGGGTATTGTCATGATTATCCTCGCCAGGACTATTCATAGCGATATCAACAAGGGCATTTCGGCGGAAGAGGGGAAAGCTAGGGGCAAGAGGGCGGCTAGGCCCAAGGGCGAGCAAACTACGGGCTTGTTAAGTCAGGGGCCCGACGACAAGAATGATGAGGACGACTTGTCCGACGAGGGCGGGGCGCTGGAAGAGGCCACGGGCTGGAAGCTGCTCCACGGAGACGTATTTCGGAAGCCGGCGCTGGGAACGCTTCTGGCGCCCCTTGTCGGGTCCGGGATGCAGCTGTTCTTCATGGCCATAGGACTGGTCTTGCTTGGTGCATTGGGGGTCTTGAATCCCAGCTTCCGAGGCGGCTTCATCAGCGTTGGAGTCGGCCTGTTCATATTTGCGGGACTCTTCTCCGGCTACTTTTCTGCTCGCGTCTTCAAGAGCTTCGACGGAGCTGATCATCGCGCAAACGCACTGGTCACAGCCTTGCTGTTTCCCGGCCTCACGTTTGGGCTTGTCTTTATCCTCAATCTCTTCGTATGGGCCCAGGCGTCCAGCACGGCGATACCCTTTGGAACACTGGTGGCCATTCTTGTTCTCTGGCTCTGCGTACAGGTGCCGCTTGTGTATGCAGGATCTCACTACGGGTTCCACAAGGCCGGTGCTTGGGAGCATCCTACTAAGACGACGACGATTCCTCGACAGGTGCCTCGGCAGGCCTGGTACAGCAAATCGATCCAGGCAGTGCTTCTCGCAGGCTTGATCCCGTTTGCCGTCATCTTCATCGAACTGCTATTCGTTTTTCAGTCGATCTGGCAGGACAAGAGCAGCTACTACTACGTCTTTGGCTTCCTGGCAGTGGTACTCGCCATTCTCATGGTCACCATTGCCGAAGTGACCATTGTGACCATCTATGCCCAGCTCTGCGCCGAAAACTACCACTGGTGGTGGCAGTCCTTCTTCGTTGGCGGCGGGAGCGCCTTTTGGGTGTTTCTCTATTCGATATGGTACTATTTCTTCAAGCTGCACATTAGCGGCTTTGTGAGCAGCATGCTCTTCTTTGCGTACAGTTTTATGGCGTGCTGTGTGTATGGATTGTTGACGGGCACCATTGGATTCTTGAGCGCATATGCCTTTGTGCGCAAGATATACAGGTATGTATTGCTTCCTCAAGATGAACCATGGGCGAAGACGTGCTGACAGGCGATCACAATTAGTGCCATCAAAGTAGATTGATTCACGAAACTAGCGAGTATTGATCTTTATGCTCAAGTTAGGCAAGCTTTTGATATTGATGATTATCCTTTGATCTTAAGTCGAGCGGCTTCTTCATTGACTTTGCTCGAGGCAATGTCAAGCCTCATGAGATGCTGTGAACTTGCACGTAATAAGCGCCTAGGTCCGCCCATGTGCCACAGGCATCTTTAACAAGGTTGACACTCGTTCTTCTGATAACTAATATGTGTTCGTGTTGTGTGATTAGAATATTCTGTTCTCTGCAATCAACATATGGATGCCGCTCCTTATCGCGCCGCCTCGCGGCCAAGTGCGTACACGAGCGGCATCAATGGAACCGTGGAATCGTTGGCATGTGTGACGGCGATCCGGAATGGCATCTGACATGCTGGGTCACTTGAATCCGTTCAAACGTGTCACGAAAAGGCGCCATGTCATCAAAGGGCGCGTTGAAGACAACTTATTTGACATTGAAATCCCTGCAAACGGACGCGAATTGGCCAACACCTTCTTGCAACATCCTCCAGCTCTTTGAACGGGCTTTGAGATCCCCGTCGATATAAGCGTCTCGTTCTGGGAACGATCGGAATCGGAAATCCAAGCCAGAAGATGCAAGGCACAACCTTTTGTCTCTGCAAGCCATGGAATAAAACGGGCGGGTTCCACTCATTCCGCTGCAGAGCCCGAGCTTTATTACCCCGATGAAGGATGGCCGGGTTCCGGGCCAGGAAGCGTTGCCGGGACCAAAGAGACAAAAGAGTGGAAGAGAAGGGCAGCCAGCGCTAATGAGATGGCGAGGAATCCGAAGTGGCTTCTCCACATGGACTGCTTATTGTGTGCCCGCCTTGCTGTTTTCTGACGGGGTGGGGGGGGGGGGGCAAAAGACAGTTGAAGACTTACTTGTCCGTGGGTGATCCAGTTGTCGTCGATGGTTTAAAGGGTCGATGGGAATCGCTTCGAGTCTTCAGGAGTTTTGGAACGTGTCAGGCAGGATTCTGTGACTGGTTTGGCAAGGGACTCTGTGAGAAGAAGCCCAGAGAAAAGAGACAAGACATGGCGAGCCCAATGAACACGGAGCAGTTTAGGGTGGCGGCCAAGGCGGCCATTGACGAGAGTGAGTTCTCTCTTCTTTCATCTTCCCCTGTCCAAGCAACAGCTGGCTAACAAGAAGCTTCACGAAAACCAACAGTCGCAAATTACCATGAGAGCGTCCCTGAGCGCCGGGTCGTCTCAGCTGTTGAGCCGGGCTACCTGAGGCCGCTCCTCCCCGCCTCGGCACCGCTCGACGGCGAGCCATGGGAGGCCATCCAGTCGGACATCCAGTCCAAGATCATGCCCGGCATCACCCACTGGGCGTCTCCCGGCTTCATGGCCTTCTTCCCCTGCTCGAGCAGCTACCCCGCGGCCATTGCGGAGATGTACTCCAACGCGTTCAACGGCGCGCACTTCAACTGGATCTGCTCCCCCGCGGTGACGGAGCTGGAGACGATCGTCATGGACTGGCTGGCGCAGGCGCTGGGGCTGCCGGAGTGCTTCCTGAGCGGCGGGCCGACGCACGGCGGCGGCGTGATCCACGGGAGCGCGAGCGAGGCCATCCTCACGGTTATGGTCGCGGCGAGGGACAAGTACATCAGCGAGGCGACGGCCCACCTGCCCGAGGGCGAGGACAAGGAGGAGGAGACGTGGCGGCTGCGCAGCAAGCTGGTGGCCCTGGGCAGCGCAGGCGCGCACTCGAGCACCAAGAAGGCGGCGCAGGTGCTGGGCGTGCGCTTCGCGACGGTGCCCGTCTCGCAGGACAACGGCTTCTCGATGACGGGCGAGGCGCTGGCCAAGACGCTCGACGAGCTCCGGGCCAAGGGGCTGGAGCCCTTTTATCTGACGGCGACGCTGGGCACGACGGACGTCTGCGCCGTCGACGACTTTGCCAGCATCGCCTCCGCGCTGGCGCCCCGAGCGGGCAAGCCGGGCGAGATCTGGGTGCACGTGGACGCGGCGTACGCGGGCGCGGCGCTGCTGCTGGACGAGAACAAGCCGCTGGCCGAGCCGATGGCGGCCTTCCACTCGTTCAACTTCAACCCGCACAAGTGGATGCTGACGACCTTCGATTGCTCGGCCGTGTGGGTGCGGCACAGGGGCCACCTCATCGCCGCGCTGAGCATCAAGCCGCCGTACCTGCGCAACCAGTACAGCGACAACGAGCTGGTGACGGACTACCGCGACTGGCAGATCCCGCTGGGCCGGCGCTTCCGCTCGCTGAAGCTGTGGTTCGTGCTGCGGAGCTACGGCATCAGGGGCTTGCAGGCGCACATCCGCAACGGGGTGTCGTTGGGCGAGTCCCTCGAGGAGAAGCTCGCTTCGAGGGAGGACTTGTTTAGCGTGTTTACGAGGGCGCGGTTTGGGCTCGTGACGTTTCGCGTGAGGGGGGATGGCGAGGAGGAGGTGAATCGGAGGACGGAGAGGCTGTATGAGGCGATTAATGCGGGCGGCAAGTTTTACCTGACGAGCACGGTTGTGAATGGGCATTTCGCGATACGGGTGTGTACGGGGACGGCGGCGGTGAGGGAGGAGCATGTCCGGGGGTTGTTTGAGCTGTTGGTTGAGACTGTTACGAAGCAGTTGAAGGAGTGATGGGGATTCTATGCATGTACACTTGTTGGCATCATCATAAGTCGTGGTTAGACAGAATGGATACATGAAGACAAAGATAGATTTCATCCCATTTGTCTAGTATAGTACATAGATCATATTCTCATAAACCCATCATTCGTAACATCATAGCTCCAACAGCATAATCACATTGCTCATAGTATCATTCATTCGTTTTTTTCACCGCTCGATATAGTCCTTCTTCCGCCTCCTCACAAGCGACCTCTCATGGTTAAACAGCGCCGCGGCCCCCAGCAGCGCGAGCACCACGCCGGGCGTCCAGTCGAAGCCCTCGCACTCTTTCTCTTTGCTCCGTCTGCGGTGGCGCTCGTCGGGGTCGGCTTGCGAGGGGCGGAAGTCGGGCGGGAGGATGCGTTCCCAGATGCGCCCGCTGCTACTAGTGCTAGCAGTACTGTTTCTCCTCGAATCTCCTCTTCTTTCTCTGTCTCTTGTTGTTCGGTTGTTGTTGTTTCTGTCTTGATGGCGACGGGAGGATTGGCTGCGATTCGCCTCTTTGCGCGGCTGAGAGTCGTCTCGACGAGAAAAGCCTTCGTTTCGGTCGTCGTGGCGAGGACGCCTACTTCGCGCACCGTCGCCGCCTCCATCCTCGGAATACCGGTAATCGCGATAATGATCGCTATTGCTATCGTGATCCCTTCGAGCAGAATATCCGCTGGAGATGTTGTCGTCGCTGCCGTAGCCAGATCGGTACGTCGACGATCCGACCTCGGGATACAGACTGCTCGGGTAGTCTCCTCGTCTTGAAGAAGGCATGGCTGTTTGTATGCAAGTTGTGTGTGTATGTGTGCGTTTCGATAAGCAGATAGAGACAACTCTTTCTTGGTATCATCACACCAAAAGACGTAAATGATAAAGTCGTCCATCAAAAGTGCACATCATCCGCCCCCCCTTTATAAGTGAACATCCCCCTTCTTCGCCGCGTCATTCCAAGGTCCCACGATCAACCAACCAGTTTCTCTCTTTCGCTTCAAATCGAGGCCCCCGGATGATGTCACAAATGCCACGGCTCGGGTTCCCACTGGCTGCAGCCAACCGGCAAAAAGAAACAGGCGGCTCGATTGCGAATCCCTGCATTTTCTCGCAATCGGCGCAACGCAGAAACTTGGAGCTAACCAGACAATCGAGGTTAGTCGTGGGATCGTCATTTTCGTCATAGCACGTCTGTGTGTCACTTGGTCACATGGCTGTGAATCAATGAATCAAATAGAGAAGATGGGCAACGGGATCAACTCATCTAGTATTTGGATTCCGTCACAAATGCAAAACAGCTCAATCAACGCTCTCTATTCGTGCAATCGTGCTCGGGTCTAAATGCTGGCTCGTCTAGGTGCCGTCGTCCTCCTCAAGGCCTTCTTCGCCTCCGTCTCCTCCGTCAGCGGCAGCTTGTTCTCTTCCTTGAGCTTCTGGAAAAACTCGCGTCCAAACTCGTATCCCATCTTGTAAATCTCGTCAAACTTGCCAAAGTCGAGCGTCCCGTACCCATCAACCGGCGGCCGCATGTAGATGCACCCTGGCATCGTCTTTGCTCGCTCCAGGGCATCCACGCTTGACACATATGCCAGCCTGCCTTGGATCTCCGCCAGCGTCGGCGGGTTTGGGTGTGTCGAAAACGGATTCCACCGGTTGAAGAACGCCCAGAAGCCGGACAGCGAGTCTCCGTAGGTCTGTGGCGTATCATCGTCCAGCGCCCCAACGTCTATAGCGAAAATCACGTCTACGCCCAAGTCCTTCATGTGTGATACCGTCAGATTGTCCACGTAGCCTCCGTCAAGCAGCATGCTGCCTTCGTCACAAAGCGGAGGCAACAAGCCGGCAAGCGACATCGACGCCCGAATATATCGCCACGCGTATCCGCTCGTGTGAAACTCGGCCCGGCTCTTGCTGATGTTGGTCGTGTTGCAGTAGTACTCGAGCCAAAAGTCCTCGATCTGCGTGTTGCCGAAAGTCTTGAAGATGCCTCGATTGAACTCGTGTCCCGTCGTGTAAGAAGCAGAGGGGTACGTCAGATCCAGAGCGAACCGCCAGAGACTGGCCATGCGACCTGCAAACTTCTTTGCGAAGCCAAACATGGGCACAACATCTGCATGCCGGGCGTAAAGTGCACCGACAAAGGCTCCAATCGAGGTTCCGCCGACAATGTCCACTGGGATGCCGGCCTCTTCCATTGCTCGGATGATTCCTATCTGGCTGATGCCTCGTGCACCACCGCCGCCGAGAACAAGGCCGATGGACTTTCCGCAGAGACGGCGAGCGAGGCGATGGAAATCCCCCTTGAACGGCGTGTCAGGCGAGTAATACTGAGTATGGTGCACGTTTCTCGAAGTGTACTTTTGAATCTCGGCCTGCAGCACCTGTACGCGTTCCTTGAGGGCTTGTCCCAGCTTCTTCGACGGAGGATGGACAGGCATTGCGTCTGTTCTGTAAGGCATCTGGATGTGATAATGGCCACCGTTGATCCACATACGATTTCGCAGCCACGACCGAGTGAGACCAGGCCGTGAGAATCGTTCGGTGTGGAGCAGAACCAGAGTCTTGCGTGCCGTGGACTTCATCCCCAGCATGAACCGTTCGTATTCTCCAATGGCCGGAGAGCCTTCAGCCAATCCCACCAACAGAATACTGTCGGCTTGCGTGATGCAGGTTTGCGTCCACGGTGAGTTGACATTGGTATCTTTTTACCACTCATGTTAGCTTGTGAATCTCAGACAAGAGTGGTAGCAACAAAGTGATGAGAAAAAGTTATGCGTTCAGGAAAAAATTAGAGTTTACATAGCCGTCAGAGAACGTGTCTCCGGTGTGAAAGCTTGTCATCATAAGAGCAAGGAGGTCTTGAAGACCGAGAGCAGAAAGCAAGGAGAGAGAAGAAATTAAAAGAGCTTACCTGCCACGTACACCACCAAACCATACTTCTCTTCCAGGTCGGCCAGATATTGCGACAACTTGAGCTTGCCCATCTTGTTGAACGCATGCTTGCCCAGATGGTTCAAAATACCAGACTGGTTGAGCGAGGTCGCGCCGTTCTGCGGCCCTACCTGGGCGAGCGCATTCATAAGACGGTGCCCGAATTCCACAACGGGAACCCCGGCAGTGACCGGTAGGATCGCCACTGTCCGGAGATTCAGTGTTGACTTGCGCTGGTTGGTCGCGGCTCCCGAGCCTGCTTCCTTGGCGATGTACTTTGTAGAGTCATCCACCGCTGCCCTCATCCTCGAGGCAATGATCTTGGAGATCTTGATGGTGATGTTGGGATGCTCCTGAGCAAGACTGTTGAACAGGGTACGAGGAAACTTGACGAGCTCGGTATCTCGAATGGCGTGCAAGGTTCCGGAACGCGCGGTTTCTGTTAACACCTCGAGCTCACCGATGCTCTCGCCTTGTCCAAACTCGGCTCGTGCCGACACTCCACCATCCTGCCTGTCTTCTACAAGGCGAAGACGACCGTTGAGGACAATGTATATGGCGTCGCTTTCATCATTGTCGTGGAAAATCACTTGACCAGCATTGACTTGAACCCACTCAAGAGCAAAGTCAATGTGCAGGATGAGCCGAGGCAGAATGTGCGTAAGCCTCTTTGCCATGGTCAAGAGGATGATGGGGTAACGGTCGACAATCCTTTCCAAGGATGCTCTCGGGAGGAAGCCCACGTACACGTCCGTCTTGGCCACCACGTCAATGAACGATCTATAAGAAGAGACACTCCCGATATACCCGGCCAATCCTCCGGGTTTGATGAGCGCAACGCTTCGGCGACGGCTCTGGTCCCGATGCGAGGAATGCGGTGTGCCCTGCTTTGAAGCCTTGGAGCCGGGGCTTTCAAATCGATGCTCTGCATGGAGCGACTCTGCGCTGAAAGACGCAGGGCCGGACTTTTGAAAGAGATTTGGCGCACCATCCGTGACCGTGGTACCGATGTCCAGAAAGCCGTCTACAACATAGTAGAGACCGGGGCTGCGCTCCCCTTGCTCCACGAGCACCGACCCTTTGGGGAAGAAGACGATTTCAACCTCGTCCATCATGTCGTGGGCCAAGGCATGGGCGTTTGGTGGAGAATGAGCGGCCAGGCCGTTTGAGGCCAATGACTCAGTCTCCCCATCAATGGACCCGTCGTATGGGCCAATGAATCCGAATGCATTGCTCGTGTACAACGTCTTTGCCCGTCGGTCTGTGGAGAACATCCTGGGAGATCCCGTCAACCTCGGGGAGCCTTCTACCGAGTCAACGTCTCTCGACGAGGTCCCACCTGCATCTAAACCAAGAGCTTTGAAGACACATTCGAGGATAGATGCCCTGAAGAGGTTATCCTCGTCCACCGAGTCACGATCCGCTGAGATGCGAGCGTGCCTTCCAGAGTCGAACGGGTTGAACGTCTTCTGCGTCAGGGGACTGAAGGGTCCGATGTCCTCATTGCCAACGTATGCTGGAGACCGGGCAAGGCTTGCCGGGAAAGGGCTCCTATTGGGTGCCCGACTGAGCTGCCCGCCCGCCAAAAGATCTCCAGGGTTGAGACCACGAGCCAAGCGGAGATCGCGTGCAGAAGAAGCCGCGTTGTTAATGCTAGATGACGTAGATCGATTCTTCGCAATAGCTTGCATGACCAACTCTTTGCGGAGAGCCGTGCTCGACCGTCGGCGTCTGTTAGCCGCTGAATTGTGCAGGGCGATTCCCTTGGTCTCTTGATCCTCGCCAATGCGCTCCCGCTCGCGGTTGAACTTTTCCTTCAGCCGGGTGAGGGCGTCTCCGCGAAGAATGTTGGGGAGCTGACACATGGTAAACTTGACCATGTCCTTCTCGGTCTGAAGGACCTCGGCTGTCAAGCCGAGATAGTTGAACGCCTGAGCGAGCGTCACCCTCTGGAATCGAGAAAGAATCACATGGACAATGTGTGCTGTGGCTTTGGGATAGATCTTGATCAGCCTTCGAAAGGCACTTGCAGGTATGATTGCGATGGTCGTATCAACCGTTGCCCTTGCTATGATGTCAGGGTGTGCCGAGGCTGACATTGACCTGCTGTGAAGCCCTGCTCTCTCCTTGCCAGGCGGAAAGCTAACAGAAGGATCCAGCGAGATAGGCGGTATCTTTGGGGTACTCGCTCCGTTTGACAGGATACTATCGCCATACCGGACGCTTGGGCGCTCCGCATTAGCTTCCAGATGCGGCGTGCTGGGCATCGACGTGGGACCGTGAGAGACCTGCGCGGCAGAATCTTTCAGAGAATCGCTTCGCGCATGCCGACTTCCGCCCGCCGGAAGAGGGGAATCTTCGTCGTGCGACTTCAGCTTCACATCTTCTGTGAACAAGGACATGATGGAGAAGAGCGACGACATTGGCGCCCCGTTGCGGACTTCGGTCAGCAGCTGATACTTTTGCTGACCAGGCAGTGCGTCTTCGTCCGAGGAAGAATCGAAGAGGTCGGTTCGCGACCCGCTCCTCACAGGCGCTCGGGGATTCCGACCCGACTTGACGAAGATCTCCACCAGGCCGTCGACAACAATGCAGAAGCCTTTTTCTTCTTCCAGGTTGATAGTCTCCCCGGCAATAAGCTTTCTAGTCTGCATACTCCGGGTCAGTTCGTGAAACACGGATCGTTCGAGGTAGCCGAAGATCTTGATCGCGCTCAGAAACTCGTCCAGGTAGTTGGACAGGCCGGACTTGATGCCACCCTCGTGGGTGTCGGGGAACAAGTCGATCTCGGGCTCTTTGCGCTGGGGCTCAGGCGGCAGTCTCGAGTACATGTTCAAGATGCGATACCTGACGACCCAGCTGACCGCCGACACGATGGCCACGACGATGAACATGCTAGGAAGGCTGTGAGTCTTGAGTGGCCCGGCAAAACCAAGGGACTGGCAGCATACAGCGTGGTGGCATTCATGGTCACTGTCCAGCTCGCGGAGAAGAGCGTGTACAGGAAGCTTGGGAAGGTGATGGTCACCGTGCGGATGATCCAGTACAGGATGGTGGTGGTGAGGTTGATGATGCTCAGCAGAAGCCACCCGATGAGGCCCAGCCAGCCGGGCGAGGCACGGGCAGCTTCCACCGTCGCGTAGCTCACGGGGAGCGAGCTGGAGGGCGAGTCCATGGCGTGGGAGACGCTGTGGGAGAGGCTCCCAGCCAACCGAGCAGCATTTGACACGTCAGATGCCATGGTTGGAGATGGTGCTGCACATTGTTGCCCAGCATTATGCAGAGCGACGAATGGCGGCCGTTTGCGCGGCGGAGCGGTGCCGAGGGGGGTGACTGAGAGTTTTATAAGGAAGAGGAAGAGAAGAAGAGAGAAAAGAGGGCAGCTTGTGATCAATTTTCATGTGGTTTTTGATAACGGAGCTTAGCTCTATAGCCGGGATTCTGCCGGCATAAGCAACCCCACCACCCCACCTGTTTTTCTCGAGCAGTGTGCCGAATTTGAGATGACATAACCACGAACCTCGAGGGAAGCTTGATAAAGAATGCTGTAGAATAGGTGAATATGTATCCATGAACAAGCAGAATTTCTCCAGCAGTCACGGCAGATTTCGACATTCTACTACTTTCAAATCCCTGCCCCATAGCATACGAGTACTCACGACCACTGATATCCGGACTTGGTGGGCTTGTTCATTGGACTGTTCGTGAGAGCTTCAAAGTCAATTACCGTAAGTATCGTCATTTCACTCCCAACAGCCCACTCGCTCTTCTCTCTTCTTCTCGCAACCCCGGCGCAATTCCTCAGATCGACCCTCGGACTAACCGATCATGCGACGTTGTCCCATTGAAACAGGAGCCTCCATATCCAGATGCCCTTTGCGCAGCTAGTACTCGGCAGCCCCGGCTCGGGCAAGAGTACCTACTGCGATGGCAGTATGTTTCAATCCCTGTGCCTGTCTCCCGACGGAGGCGATCCAGCAATGAATATGGGCTTTGGTATTGACACGAAGCGTTCATTCTCTTCCCAGTGCACCAGTTCATGGGCGCCATTGGGCGCGCGTGCTCCGTCGTGAACCTCGATCCCGCCAACGACCACACAAACTACCCCTGCGCTCTCGATATCCGCGACCTGGTCAAGCTGGAGGACATTATGCGCGAAGACCGCTTGGGGCCCAATGGCGGCATTCTATATGCTCTCGAAGAGCTCGAGAACAACTACGAATGGCTAGAGGAAGGCCTGAAAGAGCTTGGGGAAGACTACTTTCTGTTCGACTGTCCCGGTCAGGTCGAGCTCTACACGCACCACAACTCATTACGAAACATATTCTACAAGCTCCAAAAGGATCTTAAATTCAGAGTCAGTTTGCCCTGTCGGAAGCAACATGAGCACGGCTTGCTGACCATCCTGTGCTAGTTTGTCTGCGTACATCTCACGGATAGCTATTGCCTCACCCAGCCATCCCTCTATGTATCCAACGTCCTCCTCTCGCTCCGAGCCATGATTCAGATGGACATGCCGCACGTCAATGTGCTTTCCAAGATTGACAAAGTGGCCTCGTATGACGAGCTGCCGTTCAACCTGGAATATTATACCGATGTCGACGACCTCACATACCTGACGCCGTACCTCGAGGCTGAGTCCCCCGGAATGCGGAACGAGAAATTCGGCCGACTGCACGAGGCGATAGCGAAAATGATTGAGAACTACGGCCTGGTGCGGTACGAGGTCCTGGCAGTGGAGAATAAGAAGAGCATGATGCATCTGCTCCGTGTGATTGATCGCGCAGGAGGCTATGTCTTTGGCGGCGCTGAAGGCGCCAATGACACTGTATGGGCCGTCGCCATGAGAAATGAATCGTCGATGCTCGATGTGCAGGACGTGCAGGAGCGGTGGATCGACCACAAGGAAGAGTACGACCGTCTCGAGCAAGAAGCCGAAGAAGAGGAGCGGAGGAGGGTAGCCGAGGCGAACGGGATGGATGTGGACGAAGCCGAGGCAGACCCAGCTCCCCCTTCCAATCCAGAGGCAGAATTTGACCCTGATTTTGGCGATATGACGGTACCGGCGGACAGCGGTGTCAAGGTAGTTAGAAAGAAGAAGTAATCAAGATTGAAGAATCGGTAGGGTCCGCCACGTCAGCTGCCGTCTTCCATGTCGTCGTCGCTCATGGCAGTGTCCATGACATCCAGCATGGCGTCATCCTTGCCCAGAATGTCCACGGACAGCGAGGATTGCGGGTGAGAGCTGGCCTCTGCCTTTGCGGCCAGGATGAGCTTCCGAGCTCGATCGACGGCAATCTCCTCGATCTTGCGGATGGTGCCGCTGACACGGACAACGCGGAAGATGCAGGGCCGGCCGTCCTTGACGGGGACGCGGTCCATGAAGGTCAATGCGGACCAGAGCAGCTGATAATGAGCTCTGTTGCACCTGAGGATGAAGGTGGAGGTGGCCAAAGAGAGATATTTGACTATGAAACATGTTAATAAATCATGATTCTGTCCTTTCTCGCTATTGCTATACTAATGAAACCACCAAATGCTAGACTCGTCACGACTCACCTGAGAGATTGCCCTCGAGAGCTCCCGCGCCAAAGTCGCCATACAGCTCCGCCACCTCGGCCTTGATGGCTCTCACCAAAGCCTGCGGCGTCAGTTTGGCAACGGTCGGCTGATGCTGGGCAACAAGACCGGGAACACGAGCCCTGGAAGCCGCGGCGGCATCAGGAGGGTAGATGATGTTGACCAGCAGGTATCGCTCCTTGATGCGCACCATTGGCAGCGATTTTTGCGAGGAGATGCGTCAGATTCGGTGGAGTTTCGAATATGCGATGAAGGGAAGACAAGAAGAGAACCTCGGCAGAGAATGAGATGCCCGGGGGCCCCCGTAGAAGCAAGAAGATCGGCGCAAAGGGGCTAAAAGAAAGACGAGACAGAGATCCGTGCAAGGGTTCCGTGATGCAAGATGGCAGCGTTTGAAGGCAACCTGAAAGGAGATGAGATTCGAACAGGCGTCAAAAGCCGAAAAAAAGTCCATGGCGCGCCAACTCGGGTCTCGGGGGTATTGCAGCGTGGCATCGCAGCGCTGCAGCCACTGGACGGGGGGCTGTTTTCCAGTGGGGTATCGCTGTAACTGGAGCTGCAAGGCAGCGCCCGAGAGGCTTATCGTGCGCTAAACCCGGCGCTGCTGCAGCGGGCTTCGGGGGGGTCGGCTGGTCTGGTTTGCATGAGCACCCGTGAAATCCTCCGCATCGATGCTACATGCCGTTTTCTGCATCTTGACGCACATTTGCGCAGCAGCTGGGAGGTACTATCTATATATCTGTGCTTGATGGCTTCTTGCTCGATCAGGGCAAGTTGACTAAGTAGTAGCTGCACTAACACTGGCGAGCTGCCATCTGCCAGCTACTACTGAGGTATCGAGTCTCCATACCAATTGATAACCAGTTGGATGCTGGTTCTTGGGCTGCTCCAACACGTGCCCAACATACATGTACACTCAGCCCATCCTCTTCACTTACATCCTCCAACGAGACCTACCAAGTCTCACACCAAACACCTGTGCCGTCTCTGGAATATCTTGAAACCCATCACATCGACTGTATATACAAACCAACCGCCACCATGGACGGCCCGTTCAACGCCGCCATCCTCATCGTCTCAACCACAGCCGCGCGGGATCCCTCCGCCGATGCGTCCGCCACGGTCCTCCGGGAGGTGCTGATGCAGGACGGCGGCGGCCGGTGGGACGTCGTCGACGAGCGCATCGTCTCGGACAATGTCCTGGACATCCAGAGGAGCATCATGCCCTGGACAGACGGGCCGGATGCCGTCAACCTCATCGTCACCACCGGCGGCACCGGCTTCTCCGTCGCTGATGTCACGCCAGAGGTGAGCTGGATGGGTTTTATATCGTGATGTTGCTTCTCATTCTGACCGAATCTCACTCCGTCAGGCCGTTGCCCCAATGATACACAAGACGGCCCCTGGGCTGATTCACGCTATGCTATCTGCCTCTCTTGCGATAACTCCGTGTAAGTCCTTTCATCCCTCAACGGCAGACATAACCTTGTCCAGCTAACCACACTCATCTAAGTCGCCATGATGTCTCGTCCTACTGCTGGCGTAAGAAACAAGACAGTCATTGTCACCCTACCGGGCTCGCCCAAAGGGGCCAAGGAAAACCTCCAGGCCATCATCAAGACGCTGCCCCATGCCTGCCTGCAAGCAGCAGGCTCAAACTCGAGAGCTCTGCATGCCGGCGGCGTCAAGAAGCTGGAGGCAGACGCCGGCATCGACCGGTCCCCGACACAAGCATCGGCACAAACACCAGCAGCTGCCCAGGCGCACCATCACCATCACCATCATGGACACTCTCACGGCCACAGCCACGGCCCCGGCCACGCAAGCCTTCAGAGGTTCACCACCCCGAGCAGCTCTAGCAGCACAGCCCATCTATCCAACGACATCAGCCTGGGTCCCACGCGGCGCTATCGAGAATCCCCCTATCCCATGGTATCCGTAGATGACGCCCTCGCCTTGATCGCAGAGCACACGCCAGGCCCGCAGCCAGAAACCGTCAAGGTCGACGAGAACATTGTCGGGCTGGTGCTGGCCGAGGACGTCCAGGCAAGGGAAAACGTGCCGGCCTTCCGCGCCAGCATCGTGGACGGCTACGCCGTCGTCGTGCCCAAGGACGGCAAAGTCAGGGGCGTCTTCCCCGTCGCCGGCGTGTCCCATGCCGCACCCGGAGAGCTGCCGCCTCTCAAGGAGGGCGAAGTCGCCAGGATCACAACAGGCGCGCCTCTACCGCCGGGCGCCAACGCCGTCATCATGGTGGAGGACACGACGCTCAAGACCATGACGGACGACGGCAAGGAGGAGAAGGAAGTGGAGATCCAGGCCGAGGGCGTCACGGACGGCGCCAACGTGCGCGAAGTCGGCAGCGACATTGCGCGGGGCGCCGTGATCCTCAAGCAGGGCGAGCAGATCTCGGGCGTCGGCGGCGAGATCGGGCTCCTGGCGGCGGTCGGCGCGGCAGAGGCCCGCGTGTACCGGCGGCCCGTCATCGGCATCCTGTCGACGGGCGACGAGATCGTCGACCACGACCGGCCCGGCGGGCTCAAGCTGGGCGAGGTGCGCGACACGAACCGCGTCACGCTCATGTCGGCGGCGCGCGAATGGGGCTTCCCCGTCGTGGACCTGGGCATCGCCAGCGACAGGCCCGGCACGCTCGAGGAGACGCTGCGGGCCGGCCTCCGCGACGCCGACGTGCTCGTCACCACGGGCGGCGTGTCCATGGGCGAGCTGGACCTGCTCAAGCCCACGCTCGAGCGCGCCCTCGGCGGCACCATCCACTTTGGCCGCGTCGCCATGAAGCCCGGCAAGCCGACGACGTTCGCCACCGTCCGCGTCAAGGACAACGCCGGCCGGCGCCTGTCCAAGGTCGTCTTCTCGCTGCCCGGCAACCCGGCCTCGGCGCTCGTCACCTTCCACCTCTTCGTCCTGCCGTCGCTGCACAAGCAGGCGGGCGTCTCCCCCGTCGGGCTGCCCAAGGTGCCCGTCACGCTGGCCCACGACTTTGGCCTGGACCCCCGGCCAGAGTTCCATCGCGTCGTCGCGAGCATTGGGCAGGACGGGCGCCTGACGGCGAGCAGCACCGGAGGACAGCGCAGCTCCAAAGTGGGCAGCTTGAGGTCGGCCAACGCGCTGCTCTGCTTGCCTGGTGGGAGCGGGAAGCTGGAGAAGGGATCGAGGGTGGACGCTTTGCTCATGAGTTCTATACGCAGTGGATAGTGGTGGATGTAGTAGTTGGTTAAAATGAAACTTGATTCAGGAACTCATGATATACACATGACAAGGAGGGAAAGTTACAGGCAGTCGAGGTGCTGTGGCTATTTATCTGGCTCATGTGAAATGAGGGTAACAAAGGGGGAAATGGCGGGAAAAAAGCTCATTACTCTTTTGTTTCGACACCATTCATAGCCTCTTGAAAAAAGATGCTTCGATTTCGAGCATCAGCAGCTGTTCTCTGGCTAGTGTACACAGGGGGCTAGTCATACAGCTTCAGATTCGAGACACAAAAGAAGAACAACAAAAGTAAGATAAACATCGTCTACAGCCCAATCTTCCAAACGCCCAACCAACATTATCGTTGCAATGCATATAACGGGTTCCTCTCGTCTTCCCTTCCGGAGAGACAGAAGAGGCACAGAGAGAGAGAGAGGGAGAGGTGAGGAGGCCGTGATGGAAACTGTGCATATTCCATGTCTTCCAAGAGTCCCCCCCTTCTTGTCGAATTTGCTGTTTAGGACTTGGCGCCAAAAGCAGGAGCCTTTTCGGCAACCAAAAGGCCGATGATCAAACCAAAGAGACCCAGGACGGAGCTGAAGATTTCAATGACGAGAATCTTGACGAACCTGTTCGACACGTGGTTAATACAGAACAGCCAATGCAACGTGGGCCATCAGCCAATGGCCGCCCAAAAGGGAGTCCACATACAAAGACGCATCCGCCGCATCAGCCAACGCAGCACCACTCCCGTTAATCCCCACCGCCACACCGCAGACGAGGTTGCACGCGCCGACCGTCAGCCCGGCCCAGAAGAGGGCATAGCCCGTAAAGTACGAGTCGGCGGAGAAGAGCTCGGCGCCGCGCACGGAGTCGACCTTTGAGGAGAAGACAATGGCCATGATGACGCCGTAGATGGCGACGACCTCGCAGAAGATGATGGAGATGAGGTTCTTGGTGCGGATGCGGGGGGCGCGGACGCCGGCGCCGAGGATGGACGAGCCCGTGATGAAGATGCCCCAGGCGGCGCCGACGACGGACAGGCCGATGCAGAGGGAGATGCCCAGGCTGGCCCAGGCGTAGGGCGAGACGGACTCGAGGAAGGCGCCGACGTTGAAGGACTCGCCGCTGCCGGTGAAGAGCATGTCTGTGGGTAAGGTTATTAGCCTGGGGGTAAACTCATGGTGGACGGTGCTATATGAAGAGTTCGGTTTGGCGTGGTGGTGAAGACTTCAGGGTCGAGCAAGGTGGACGAGGATGATGCTGATGACGACAAAAGGTGGTGACGGCGACAAGATGGGCCAAAGAACATACAAGCTCCCACGACGGTCAGAAACGACCCGATTCCTCCGACGCCGTACTTGAGACTCATTGTTGCCGCTGGTTCTTTTCTTCTGTTGGTCGGGGTTGTCGAAGCAGCGCTGGCGGCTCGTCGTCGTCTCTTGTCGCTGAATGGGAAGCTTTCCAGGTGCTAGTTGAGCTCTCTCGGAGCACAGAGGCGCGACAATGGCCGACGTCACATGACAAGCATCCCGTCCTCCCCTTTGCTGCTGAGTCATCGCCGCTTCGCTCTGGGGTGCATCGACTTCGGAGGCTGATTTACGCTCCAGGCCGTTATTAAGCGCCAGTCGAGCGGTAACTGAGGTTCGCTAACGGTCACTGCGCTGAGGCTGGCTTAGCGTCAAGGCTGCCTATAACCATCAACCTCAACCGTTCATCTGTCAGCAGTCGCAGACTCTCCCCAGACATCAACGCCTCCCAGCCCTTTCCATTCCGCTTCCAGCACCAAACGCCGCAAAGAAGCCTCTCGCCTCCTATCGAATATCATACACCCCTTTCAGCCATGGCAAGCGGCGCGCAGTCCTTCTACGAGCTCTACCGCAGGAGCAGGTAAAATGCGCCCCCCCACCGCGACGCCGCAGTTGCTGCCTGCCTGCCGGACACAGACAACTGTTGGGGGATATTTGGTCGCTAACCTTTCGTTTGCGCGCAGCATCGGCCTCGCCCTGACGGACACGCTGGACGACCTCATCAGCGAGGAGCGCATCCACCCGCAGCTGGCCATGAAGATCCTCAGCAACTTTGACCAGGCCATCACCGAGGCGCTGCAGAAGAACGTCAAGAGCCGGCTCCAGTTCAAGGTAAAGCGGCCCTTTTTCTCTGGGGCGTGTGCTCGAGTTGGAGAGTGCGGCGAGCTGACTAGTGCTTTCGAAAAAATCGCAGGGAAGCTTGGACACATATCGATTCTGCGACGAAGTATGGACGTTCCTCATCAAAAACGTCACCTTCAAGATGGACAATGGCAGCGTCTCTGTTCAGGCGGACAAGGTCAAGATTGTTAGCTGCAATGCAAAGAGACCTGGCGAGGGACAGTGAAAAAGCGCGACAGGAGGATTTTTTTCTTTTTCGTTGATCGATTCGGAGTTTGGGCCATTTTTTTCACCGCGGGAAGTTGAGGGGGATATCGAAAGCAAGAAATAAGACGGCATTGAGGAGAGAGGGGGGCGGGCAAACAAGCATCAATATCGGCAACGGGACGGCGTTTTGGGTTTACGGTTACAGGGCCAGGGCATAGTGCTTGAATTTGTTGCTTTCTACAGCAGTTGATGCTTGTCAATTGGGGTCTGGCTGGGCCACCGATGGGATAGAAAAAGACGATGCTGCAAATGATAATCGCGTCTTTGTTCTCCGTACACGCGTATCGATCTCAAGGCCATGTGACGGGATGCCTTCAATGTGACGAGTCCATCCCCCTGTCCTGGAGCCACAGCCAGAGCGCGCCACTGTGGCGGTGGAAGCACCCCAGCCCAAGCCATAGGCAACTTGCCCACAGCACTGAATTCATCCATTGTTACAGCATGTCATGTCCTCAGCCAGGCCTTGAGTTGACAGAGCATCAACGTCGCCTGTTCTCACCCTCGACATCAAAACAAAGCAATTGGCCGTTGCAAATCGACACTCCTACTCTCCTTCATCTCAACACCTGTCCTCCCCCCTCCACCACAACAACAAAAATCCCCCAACCCAGAATTCCTTCCAAATGAAAAACGGCCAATTTGCCCCAATCCAGTAACACCCTCAATCAACCATGGACGCGCGCAAACGGCGGGCCACCAAACACATAATACCGACCTCTCCGGACTCCCGGCCTCATCAACGCTCCTCCTCCGCCACCAGCAGAAAATCCACTCTTCCTGCATCTGCCTCGTCGTCGAGAAAAAGCAGCAGCAAGGGCGACAAGATGGACGCGCTGCTCAGTTCTTCTTCTTCTTCTCCTTCGTCTTCGTGGAGGCAGCATTGGATGTTCTTTGCCGTGGCGAGCGGTGCTTGCGCGGCGTTCAACGGCGTGTTTGCCAAGCTGTATGTTTTTGTTTCTTTCTCTTGGTATCTACCTACTTCAATTGTATACATCATTCACATGGCAAATCCTCAATTTCATCGAACCTGGAGAAGAAAGAGTGTTAGTTGTATGAATCAGTCAAACTAACATCTAGTCAATTCGCCAGAACCACAACAGAGCTCACATCAAAGCTCTCAACCGCCATCGCCACATCACTCAACATCCAAACCCACTCCTCCATTGTCGAAATCATCATCCGCACCGCAAGTCTTTCCCCCCCGTTCAAACCAAAAGCTCACCAAACCCCTCAAAACTAACACAAAATACCAAGATCTTCTTCATCCTCAACCTAACCTTTAACGGCATCGTAAGCTACCTCCCTTTCCCATATCTCCCCTCTCTCCCTCTCAGTATACTTACAAAGACAAAAGATGTGGTCCCTCTTCACAACAGCCCTCAAGAGAGGAAAATCCGCAACCCAAGTCTCCATCATGAACACCTCCACAAACTTCCTCGTCACCGCATTCACAGGCCTCGTCATCTTCTCCGAGGCCCTGCCCCCGATGTGGTGGGCCGGCGCGGCTCTCCTCGTTGCCGGCAGCGTCGTTGCCGGGCGCAAGGATGAGGGCGAGGGCGAGGGCGAGGGCGAGGGCGAGGATGGACGGCCGGAAGATCAGGCTGTGCCTGTGCCTGTGGGTGGTGCTGGTGTGCTTGAGTTGGACGAGGATTTGGCTGTTGTGGGGGAGAGGTATCGCGATGAGGATGTTCCTGATCTGGGTGAGTTGCGCAGTTGAGGCAAGAGAAATCACATTGCTCATCAGAAAACAATGCTTCAAACGCTGTTTTATCTCATCGTATATATAGATATACAAGGCGCAAAGAACCAAGAAAAGGAAAGCGCAGCAAGAACACGAGGAAATGTCATGTATCCGCTCTATTCAAAATGCTAAACCGAAGCAAATCTACCTCCTTTCCAACTCAACACCCTCATCAACCCCATCCTCATCCCCATCCAAGATCCCCTCCCTCCTCCTCCTCCCCGCCGCCGCCGCCGCCCGCCGCTCGTCGTCAAACTGCCCACTAAGCCGAATATGACCCCGCGAGACCGTCGACACCGAGTTCGACACCCAAAAGCCCACCCTGCGGAGCGCGCTCCAGAGGTGCTCTTGCCCCTCGGTGATGTGGTGGTCGTCTTTCGGGTTCTCGGCCGCCTCCACCTTGAACTGGTACTTGAGGCAGTCCTTGACGGTGACGAGGCCGGACAGCTTGCCGTGATACTCAATGAGGATGACGCGAGGCCCAATCTTCTGGAACAGCTCCATGACCGTCTCCAGGGGCAGGCGAGGGTGCACCGTCACGGGCGTGGCGTCGATGTATCGGCTGAAATCGAGGGGCGAAGAGGCCGTCATGTCCGCGCGGAAGTGGGGGGTAATAGGCGTGATGGGCGCCTGGTTATTTGTCGTTGTCGGATGCGGCGAGAAGTAGCACTTTGCGTCTGGGGAAACGGGCCGCTCGCGCTTTGCCCGATCCACGGCATACCGCAGCTCCGTCCGGCCAATGTATCCCACCAGCGTCTTGGAGCTGCCGTCCAGCACAATGGGGAATCCCTGATACTTGGTCTCGGCCAGCAGCTGCTCGACGTCGGCCAGCGTCAGCCCGCTGACGGGCAGAGACACGACGGAGCTCCGCATGACTTGAGAGACCGGCACGCCGTAGTTGTGGTCTTCTTTGCTGTCGATGAATGGAAAGCCGTTGAACCAGATCATGCGGTCGGCGATGCCACCTTTTCCAAACATCTCGCTGACCATCTTGGTCACGCCAACGACAATCATGGTGGGCAAAATGTACGTGAGCGCCCCGGTCAGCTCGAACATGATGACGACGACGGTCAGCGTGAGGTGCATGATGCCGCTCAGGGCTGCCGCCGCGCCGAGAAAGGCGTACGTGCCCGGCGTGATGCATGGCTCGTCCGGTTTGCAGGCGGAGAAGAAGACGCTGCTCGGGTTCGCCTCGTGGATGGCCTGAACGATGATGCCGACGGTTCGCCCAAACGAGGCGCCGATGGCCATGGAGGGCACAAAGATGCCGGCGGGCACCTTGCAGCCGTATGAGATGATGACGAGGAACACTCTCAGCACCGTCGCGAGGACGAGCGACACGATGTTCCACGCCCTCTTGTCCTTGTCGCACAGCCCGTGGTAGTTCTCTGCCCCTTCGCACTCGAGAAAGAGTATCTCCATGCTCTCTGTCATGTCGATCCTCAGAAAGGCATTGGGATAGGCGATGATGGCGGTTCCGGCGGCGAGGAGCGTCGCCTCCAACACAGCGTACTTTGTCAGGTACTTTTTGCGGAACGCCTGCGCTCGAAGATTCCACTTCATGACAAAGGCGCCGTACAGGCCGCCAAAGATGCCAATGATGATGTAGAAGACGATTTCGAAAAAGTGCCAATCGCGATCGTACTTGACCTGGAACATAACCAGCTGTCCCGTGCGGAAGGGGTTCATCGTGGAGAGGACCGCCGTGGCCACCAGAGCGCAGAAATAGCTGCGCCACATGGTCTTGAGCGGAAAGTAGCTCGACATCTCCTCGAGCGAGAAGAGCACGCCTCCGATGGGGCTGCCAAAGGCGACGGCGACGCCCGCGGCGGCACAGGCGCTGAGGATCTCGCGCGTCTTGCCCGCGTTTCTCCTGTACTTGTCGAACAGCCTCGAGATGACATTGCCGGTGCAGACGGCGTAGTGAACGCTGGGTCCTTCCTTTCCGACGGACAAGCCGGAGGCAATGGCCAGGGGCAAGCAGATGGACTTGATCAGCAGGGTCCAGAATCCGAGGAAGCCCTTCATGACGAAGCCGGCAATGATGCACTTGATCTCCGATATGCCAGAACCGGCTGCATACGGAGCATATGACTTGACGAGCGTCGCAGATACGCAAGCGAACAAGGTCTACCGCAGAGTTAGGAAGTCCAAAAGCCAAGGAAGTAAAAAATCCATACCGCAAATACAAAGTAGATGAAGTAGTTGAGGGGGCCAAAGCCTGTCCAGCGATGCCACTGCTCGCAGCCTACAGCCATCAGTCAGTGACACACTCCAAATGTTCTCCCCCCCAAGAACATACCATTGTCCTCTCCCCAGCAGCAAAACTTTTCATTCAGATAAAACGCCGTCGTGCAGTGGCCCGTCTTGATGTCGGCCAGCCACTCCGTCACAATGTTGAGAAACGCGGCATTCAGGCCAATGGCCGCCCCGATGATGGTGACGACGATCCATCCCTGCGCGGCGTCGTACGACTCCCACAGCCGGTATCTCCAGCCGGGCTGGCCGAGCCTGTAAACGCCTGCGGTGCGTTTCCTGCGGGCTTTCCGCCGTGCCTGTTCCCGCGCAGCATCTTGTACCCAGTCTGTCCCTCCGAGCGTCAGCCCTGTTCGTACTCTTATCGCGGTGGTGACGTTTGGATGCGGGAGGGGACTATTCCAAGTCTATTCGCTCTCACCTATAGTTGTAAAGTCCTGTATTCCAGACCTGTCAGCACCAGAGCATACAACACGCCTATGGCGAAGCACACACTCGCTCACCTCATATCTCTTGATCTCGGCAATCTCCTCCTCGATCTGGCCCTCCCTCGGCGCCTGGCCCGCGGCCTCGCCCTGCTCTGCGTGGGACACGGCAAAGGACACGCGCGAGCTGATGGACGGGCGCCGCGAGATGGACGGGCTGAGGGCAGCCATGGAAGTCGTCGTCGAGTTCATGGCACCGACCTGCGCAGCATGGCGATTGGGGTCGACGCCCGGGTCTGCGTGCGACTGCTGGATGCGACTCGATGCGCCTTTATGCGATGCGATGCGACTTGACGATGTTTGATGTGACTTGTTGCGGTTCGAAGCGAATTGCAATGATGGCAGTAATGCGCTCGCTTGTTTCTGTGTGTACGGTGCGGCGGGAGCAAAGGGCGTTGAAGCAGGGCAGTTGTCGCAAACGAAGCTCTACCAGGTTGACATCAACTTGAACTGCCACAGTGACCATCGAGTTCAAGTATTACGAAGTACATTACACGCTCGGCAGATAAGATAAGCAGCACGCACGCACTCCATGCAGCACGAGCAGATCTCCAGGCCGTGGCTCCGTCCCAGTGCATGCGCTACAGCTGGGGGGACCGTCCACCAGAAGCCGCCGCCTCAGTGGGTGCAGCAGCCCCAGGCGCATCGCTGAACAAGTCGCGTCAGGGCGTCGCGTGTCACCCAACCCGCGGGAGGGCCTTCTGGAGCACCTTACCTGAGCCTGCGCCTATAAGACCAGAATAAGAGATATCAAAGAGACATTCACTTTCAACCCGTGCAGCTTCTTTTACCAAACTCTACTTTGGACCATCTCAGAACTACTCTAAATCTTCACTCATCTAGACTGAGCCATCTCCAGACCTCCATAAGCTGCCCAACCTCGACTTACAGCTGCTCGCCATCCTCCAGCAGCTCACCTACCTTAGGTTACCTAATTGTCTTGAGCCCACCTCAGTCTTCGACTTTGTCCTGCAAAACCGCCTCTAGCCCTCGACCTCGAACCCGGGCCATTTCCCACCAATTCCAACGAATCCCTTCAGCACAGCTCCCGTCCGCTCGTTTCTCCTTGCTCAGGCCATCAAACTCGACATCCACGAAGCCTTCAATCCTCCCTGCCAAAGCCCACCAGCAACAAGCGGGAGTCCGCAAAATCTCCTGCATCTTCACACCTCACGCGCGTGATCCACAGCTTTTCAACTCACATCATCAACCCAACTCACTCATCACCCATCATCCCCTCCAGCCAAACACATCTCAACAACACCTCTCTTACATCCCAACCACTCAAGTCGAAACCCCGCGACAATGCCTTACAACACCAACGCAATCCCTCCCCGAAAGGAGCCCACCGGCCAGACTCAGCTCCCATGTAAGTTTTTTTATTCTTCTCAACACAACATCCCCCCGACATCCTCCCTCCTCAGAAACAGATGCTCACTTGCCTCCCTCAGTATCAAGAGTCAAGAAAATCATCAGCCAAGATCCAGACGTGCAAATGTGCTCCAACAACGCCGCCTTCGTCATCACCCTCGCCGCCGTACGTCTTAACCCATTTTTACCTCTTCCCCTTTTCTTTCCTCTATAAGGGAACCCAAAAAGCTCACACATCATGCCCATTGTCAAGGAAATGTTCATCCAGCATCTCACCGAAGAAGCCCACACCCAAGCAAAACTAGAACGCAAACCCCGTCGCAACATCCAATACAAAGACGTCGGTAAGTCCAAAATCACACACACACACACATCTCAACCCCCCCTCTCTTTCCCTTTCCCCTTTCTCCCCTTTTCCCTCATCGTCTCTACACCATTACAATCTTTTCTTTACTGAATCCCAAAAAAAAAAAAAAAAAGCCAACGCAATCTCCCACCGCGACAACCTCGAATTCCTCGAAGACGTCGCCCCCAAAACAATCCCCTTCAAAAAGGCCAAAGCCATCAACCAGGCCCGCCTCCGCGGCGAGCCCCTCCCCGACTCTGTGGCCCCGACAAACGGCACATCATCAAAGGGCAAGTCCAAGGCGCACGCCAACGGCAAGGCCGCAGCCGGCACCAACCCCTTTACCCTGTCCCTCCGCAACGAGGAAAAGGACAACCACCACAACGACAACAGCAACAAGCACGGCGAGGGCAACGGTGTTGTTGTTGGGAACGGGAGCAGCAGCAGGACGGATGATGGCCCTAGTGATCAGCTTGAGCTGGAGATGAGGCAGGCGGCGCAGCCCGAGGATGATGATGCGGACGTGGACATGACGGGTTAGAAGCTCGCGGTGCGTCGGCGTTCGCGTCGTCGTCCTCGTCGGGGATGATTGTTGGATGATGACTTGTTACTTTTTGCTTGTTTGGTTTGTTTTCATACTGCGTTTGCTGCTGTCCATAGTTTTGAGAGAGTTTGCAATTCATGGCGATTTCTTTCCATCTATCATCATGTAACAACTTGTGGACCAAACCCAGTCCCTCTCATCTCCTTCTACGAAGAGTGTATTCTCAAAAAGCAACCATTGTAAATCAAATGACCAATAAACCTGTGCCAGACAACGAGTTATAACAAAGAAAAGAAACAAAAAGGAGTCATTCTTTCACTCCTCCATGGCATCGCCATACACCCCCGACGGTAACCGCCCCTCGTTGAGCTCCTTCTCCAGCGCAATAATCTCCTGCAGGCTCGTCGCCTTCTTGATCCGCTCCTGCAGCCGCTGCTTCTCTGCGTCGGTGAGCTTTATCCGCGAGAGCTTCGAGGGCGCGGCCGACGAGCCGTTGGCTGTGACGTCGAGCTTGGACTTTTTGCCCATGATCTGCGCGTCAAACGGTCAGTATATACCAATGTAACCATTATATTATTAGGGGAGATGGGGAGTGGGGGTGGGTGGTTTAACGTACCGATGTGGCCAGAGCCGTGGGCTCTTCTTCCGTGCCAAACAGCTCCCGGGCCTTGTCCCGCTCCGCCTGCTTGACCTTTTCATAGTCCAGGAAGCGGACGGAAGGACACCGCCAGATGACCCAATATCGGTAATGCTTCACACACACAAGTCAGTCCAACCCACTCGATACAACCCTCCCAAAGCTAGCCAAACAAAGCCACCACCCGTGGGAAAGGTGACAGAGGTGAACGAGAATGATGACGCACCTCCTTCTTCGTAACGGGATTATCAGCCAACACCAGATGCGTCAGCCTTGCCAACCCGCCCAGCGCATCCACGTCCGCCAGCTCGACGAGGCTGTTGGACGCCAGCACCAGGTTCCGCAGGTTCGGCACCGCGGCCGCCAGCGTGGGCTGGATGCTCGCGACGCGGTTGCGCGCGAGGAGCAGCGTCGTTATGCGCGGGGACAGCGGGAAGTTGCCCAGGACTTGGATGTCGTTGTCGGTGAAGTCGATGGCATCGTGGGGCTGCAACCGCCAGATATTTTCCGTTTAGCAAAAGAAGAAGAGGAGAGGAAGGGGGGGGAGAGAGAAAGACTCACGCCAGCGACACCTAGGTTTTCGATTGCAGGAATTCGATGTCCTGTTCCGTTGCGCCGCCATCAAGAAAAGCTTCAAATGTATCAAATATTCCTTTTTTTCACAAATTGGCAAAACAAAAAAAGAAGAAGCTCTCAAAAGCAGAACAGAAGAAAAAGAAAGGCGAGACCCAAGAAAAGAAGAGTCAAAGGAGAAGAAAAAGAGAGAGGGTCAAAGCAGAAGACCGAAAAGAAGCCAAGACGAAGAAAAGGTGTAGCATCTGCTCTTTTCAATCTCCCCCCTTGTTTCCCCTCCCCTCTCAATTCCCTTTCCATTCCTTTTTTCCCCTTTTGTATTCGGCAAGGAAGTTTTGGACGAAAAGAAGAAGACGGGAGAAAAAGACGTGGGAAGGTTTTCAAAACGCACCTCGGAGATCAAGCTCTCTCTCCTTCAAGGGATTCAGATAGGACAATGAATCCCGAATCAACTCGGCCGTAAGCCGCATCTTGGTATCTTTATGATTCGCAGAACACGAGGCGGGAAAATAATCGGTCGTCGTAGAGGAATCGCTCAAAACAAGCACGAGATGTTCCCGTCTTCGCTTTCGCTTTTCGCTTCGTTCGAAGGTTTCGAGGTGTTTCCCAGCAACAATTGGCTGACGAAATTGCCCGTACGTATCGATTGGCCAGTTTTCAATCTCAGATAGATCAAACTACAGGGTTCATCACGCAGAAGGCTTGTCGTTGCGACGCTGCAAAAGAAGTTGGTCAAGAAGAAGAGGAAGATGGATAGTGTCGCATGTCCGATGTCGAGAACTTGGGATGCGCGAGGCTGAAATGATTGGAGACGAGGCAGTGGAAATTTCCCACTGGGCAGAGGAAGCGCCACACTTTTGGGTGGCGCCACAATGAAGCTAGCGCCACGCTTCGACTTCACGCTTCAGCTTAAGCATTACTCACAAGTTCCAAGAGAAATAGAGCAAACAAGCACTCAAGATTCATAGCTCGAAGACGGGGCATTAATGTTCTTCGTTAGTCATTCATCTGAGCAGAACTTCTGCAAATGCTGCAAAGCAGACCCCGACTCTCCACCCATCTAAAGCAACGCAACACCAAGTGCTCTATCTCACCATCTAAATCCAGACATCATCAAGACTCCAAAACGCAGTTCCCTCTTTTAACCATAACCTTAACCCCAAAGCTCATCTTACCCCTCGTTTCCAAGTACAAAGTGAGAGCAATTCTATTGAAACACATACACCACCCCAGACCGATCCACAGACACGCTCATCGAATACGGATACTCCAGAATCGCCACGTCCATAATCAGATCCAGGTGCGACTTGAGCAGCTGCTGCTGCTGCATCGAAATCACCGTCGACCTCGGCGCCTTTTGCCTGGAGCCGGTTCCCGCATTCGGCGCAGACGCCGCGTTCCTTGCGAAGCGCTCCGTGTTCAGCGTTGTCGACGTCGTTGGGTGCGAGCTGGCATATGTTGGCGCCTGCTCATCCGGCTGGAGGCCGCTGTAGATGCAAGAGTTCTCGATCCGAGAAATGTCCCAGAATCGGAGCCGTTTGTCTGACCCTCCCGTGAGCATAAACGCATGGCGGACTTCGCGAGACTCCTCCGATGTCCCCGTGCCCACGACCATGGCTCGCACTCCTCTATCCGCGTTTGCCGCGTCGCTCATCTCGAGATTGGTCGCAAATCGGCCCAGCATCCCTTCGGGCTTGTCTTCGTCGACTTCCCACGCAGTATATCCCTTCGGGCCATCCTTACTGCCACCCGTTCGGTAAATCTCTCTGCACGTCGTCTTCTCCAAGTCCCATACCGTCACTTCTCCTTGCCCGGTTCCTCCGGCGACGCAGATCCATTTGCCTCTGCCCTTGGTAGGGTGCACGCAGAGCCGATAGATGGATCCCTTCCCGGGCACGCCCCATCCTTTCAGCCTCATCTTGAACCGGAGATCCCACAAGTCGACCACTCCATGGGAGGTCCCCACGCACAGCCAGTTCCTCTTCTTGTCGACGCAGAAACACGTAGGCGTCCCATGATGGACAGGATTCTCCAGCACGTATAGCATTGTCATGGTTCTCAAGTCCATGGCCAGAATCCTCGATAGGTTGGTGGCGATGACGAGAATGGAGCTTTGCTCTTGCTTGAAATGCTCGCACCACACTGCGTATTCGCCTTCCGGTAGCTGGTAGTCCCGCAACACCCGCAGCTTCGTATATCGAATGATACCGCTCGAGGGAACCGTATCGACCTTTACGACGTGAACGCTGCCGTCGGACGCACAGCTAACGAAGCAGTGCGAATTCTCGACAAAACAAAGGGCAACGACGCGAGCACCATCACCATGCTTGTAAGTCTGTCGGGACCGATTCGTAATGTTGCGCTCAAGCCGCTGCGTGTCCCACACCTTGACTGTCCCGTCGTTGCCGCCCGTGATGAAGAAGATGTGATCGGGAGACGCAATGACACGATTGATGGGCCCACGGTGTTCTGCAAACGTCGCCACGAGATTGCCTTGGGGCTTCCATGGAGGATCTGCGCCCGGGACGTTGACCGATCTGCTCTTGTCTCCAGAGATGGGCTGAACCATGGGCCCAAACTCCAGCACGTCGCGAGGGAAGTTTTCGACGTACATGTTGTCAAGCATGCGTCGGACGTGCGGATCCGTTCCTTCATAGCTGTGCCTCACCTGTCTCAGACCGGCCGTGTCGCCACCTTCTGTGGCCGGTCGAGAAATGGTCTGCACAGGCTCTGTCTGCGTAAATGGCCCCTCCACCTCTCCAAACGCATTGGCATCGCTAGTCCCAATCTCCGGGATCGACTTGTGGCCGTCTCTGCGATCCAAGAGGCTCAGAGCGCTCGATTGGTGCCGTATGCCTCTCCGTGAAGAATACGAGGCGGTGTCGTCTCCTGGCCCCAGGGGAGAGGTGAGGGCCCGAGAATCAATCGAGCTCGCCCTGTCGCTACCAGTGGGAGACAGCAGGCGTCCCGTACTGCGAGAAGGCAGGGGCCCAAGGCTCTGCATCCGTCTGTGCGAAGAGAGAGCAGCGCGCTTCTTCTTGGCGAGCGTATCGTCTATCGTCATGGAGGCGTCTAATAACGCATCGGCAATCGTATACGGCCCTGACACAGGCGGCGTAGGCTCCAGGTTTGGCATCGCAGCAGAGGGGTCCTTCAGGGGCGTGTCGTCGAAGAAGACCGTCTGGATCGTTACGCCCAGCTCCTTCAGCTGAACAAAGCCAGTAGGCATGTTCTCTTCTTCAGGGGCGGGCGACACCATGACGACGGCATCCCGCGCCTTGCTGGTGCTGAGTCGCGCAATGTACTCGCACAAGGCCAGAAACTTCATCTCGTCTTCGGCTTTGAGGCCAAAGTTCCTCAGCTTCTCGAGCCATTGCTCATCCTCTTCGTTGCGGCTAATCTTGCTTGTCGAGGAGGGTATCAGTGCAGCCGAAGTAAGCGCTCCCTGACTTGACGACATTCGCTTGCCCAGAACCGACTTCCAGAAGACGCCCTTATCCGTCTTCGATGCCCACGTCAGCGCCTGGTCAAAGACTGCCCGGGGAAGTGGCCGCTTCAGGGAGTCAAGTAGATTGAGCTCGGAAAAGTCCGATAGATGCTGTATCTTGAGGTATGGTCTGACCAGCGGCAGCAATATGCACTGAACATCGGCCTTGGATAGGAATTTGGCGGCCATGGAGAGAAATTCTGCTGATGATTCCCTGATCCACATGTTCGGGTGCATCGTCAGCCGCCCTACCAGGTCTGCCAGCTCCCAGATCTTTGACCTAGATAGCAAGCCCAAACCTGCCAGCTGAGCCAGCGAGTGCAAAGCCGAACGCACCACCGTCTCCTCCGGATCCGCCAGGGCCTGGATCATCAGAGGCAGGATGAACTCTTCAAGGCTCGTGCCGCCTATGAACGCGCCAATGCCCACAATGGTGTCCAGAAAGGCACTCTTCAACATCCAGTCCCTATCGTTCAGATACGTGATCAGGTGCGTGAGAAGAATGTCATTAGAGTTCTCCTGGAAATACATGCACAGCTCCGGCACCGACGTCAGGAACGCTCGTCGAACGTGAACATCCGGGTCTTCGACGAGCTGCTTCGTGTGGCTCTCCAGTATCTCAAAGAGCTGTCGGTTTGCGTTGTCAAACATGCTCTCAAAATTGGCCGCAGCGCCGTCCGTTCCTGGCTCAACCTCGGGGTCGGTGATGGGCATCGATCCATCCGCTCGAAGGCTGGATGCCATTTCCAGGAACCGCTGAGCGGTCGTAGCGAGACTGCCTATGCAAGACGCATACGTCGCCCGCACAAGCGAGTTGGGCGTCCACGACTTTGTCCCGAGGGCAATCTCCATCCGGGGCAAGACGTACTCCACCAGCACATGGGAGTTGATCGGCGTCGTCATCCGTACGAGCTGCAGCAGCTGGGTGACGGCGCGTATCACGGTTACGAGCACCATGTCCGTCTCCTCCTTGCGTAGCAGCGTCATCAGATACGGCAGCACTCTGTCCAGCTTTGCCTCGTCTGTAAGCCTCTCGGCAAACGCCAACAGCAAGTCGCACGCCCTGATCCTCGAAGCCGCCCGGGCCGTCGTCCTCATGGCCGAGACAACCAGCGTCAAGAAAATCAGCGTCCCGTCGTCCTCTGGCGGCTCGAGATCCGCAGAGACGGCATGTTCGTGACTCGGTATGCTCAGCCGTACAGGAAAATGGTCAAGCCCAAGCCTCGACTTTGGTATCATCGGCTCTGTCGTTTGCTTCTCCGTCTGATATCCCAGAAAGTACGAAATCTTGTCAAAGTCGTTGAAGATCCTGTCGATGCGGTTATCCGACTCCCCCAAGTTCCTCTCAGCGCCAGAGATGGGCCCGTTACCCGACGACGGATCCGTAATCACCTCCATATACTGATGCAGGAAGCTGTAGAAGTAGCCGGGAAACACCTTGTCCTTCCAGAAGTCGAGATACTGCTCGGCCGAGTACCGCCGCTCGGGATCGAGCTGGATCATGTGCGCAATCATGTCGCGGACGTCCTTGTCCGAGATGACGCTCAGGTGGGTGATGACGGGATCGTACTCGCCGCGGCGGTACTTGTACAGCTGGGCGAGGCTGAAGATTTCCGACTCGAGGAACAGCTGCGCGATGACGCATCCCGCGCTGAAGATGTCCATGGCCCACGTCATCTTGGGCTTCTGCGGCGGGGGCTCGGCGGAGGAGTAGAAGCGCTCGGGGGCAATGTAGCACGTGCGGCGGCCGGACGAGTCGAAGAAGTAGGAGAAGTCGCCCGGGTTGTCGTCGGGCAGCATGACGGGCTTGTAGGCGGAGGAGAAGTCGGTCAGGTAGAGCCAGTTCCACGAGGTGACGAGGACGTTCTGGGCCTTGATGTCGCCGTGGTAGACGTCGCGGGCGTGGCAGTCACGCAGGGCGCAGAGCAGCTGGAAGGCCAGCCACTTCTTCTCAATGTCCTCCAGGAAGGGCCGCGTGCTCATGCGGTCGTACAGCGAGCTGTACATAAACTGGCGCACCAGGTATCCGTTCGTCTCCGTCTCGATGATGCGCTGGAAGCCCAGGGCGTTTGGCACGCCCGCCAGCGCCTTGCGCTGCTCTGTTGGCACACACACACAGAGAGAGAGGTTAGACAAACTGTATGCAAACAGACTTGTTGCTCAGCGCGCGCCGGAAGCTCACCTATAATCTTCTTCTTGTACTTGTCCAGCTTCACTTCGGTGTAGGGCTTCACGAGCACCTTGACCAGAACCACGCCGTGCTCGTGCCTGCCGCGGATGCTCTTCATGAAGCGCGCATTTCCGATGCTCTTTTCGTACTGGATGTCCTGCAGCTGCGCAATGTCTATGCCCGCCGCGCCGGCGGACGGCGTGGCGAGAGAGAACCCTTGGCCCATGGCTTTCTAGTCAAACGACCAAAGACAAAGTAAGAAAGAGAGAGAGAGAGAGAGAGAGAGGTAGTCCTTCGTCCTTCGACCAGCGACACACAAACTGTCGTGACCCCAAGGATCGAGACGGGCGGCGAAAGGAGGGGGGGAATGTGGGATGTGGCGTCTATCGTTTGGCCAGGGAGGAAATCGCCGTCATTTTGACTTTGGCCGGACGAGCAGGAGCTGGTAGAGGCGATGATGGGAATTGCGAGATGTCGTCGTCAGTCGCGGCGTCGTTGCGTGTGGAGAGAAGGAGGTTGGAGTCCAGAGAGGTTCTCGTCTCTGGAGGTTGGATGAGGTAGCTGTTGGAGCAAGGTGGAGGGACGTCACCGGACCGCAATGCTAAGGTAAGGGTACCTGTAGCCTAAAGGCAGTGGAGTGCCGCAGCGGGCGGGTTTAGCGCCTCGTCCACTAACACCACTAAGGACGATGGAGGCTACATGTAGACTCACATCAGGATAAGCCACTTCAGATGAAGGCGTCTGGTTAATATACATGTATATTCCTTCAACGGCTACGGCCTATTATTACAGACACTCGATAGGCAATGTTCAAAGCCACTGCTCCTTGGGTTTGATTTCCACAGTCTGGCCTCAAAAGCACAATAAATCTCTAATGACCGCAGTAAAATATACCGTGTTTAGGTAGGTAGTTATCCTACCTAGTTAAACCAGTCACATGGTATTCAAAAGTCATATCCATACCTCTAGAGACAACGGCACCCAAGTGATGAGATGAAGCAGAGATAGGTTGTCTGTATTTCCCCCCCCCCCCCCCCCCAGTAAGCAATCAAGTCTCATATGAACTCACAACAAGCTAGAATCAAGGAGACAAAAGAGCAGAGAGTAGCGTGCGTAACAAATAGGAAGAGGGTCGGAGATCCAACACACGCCCTTTCCAACCACCTCATACCTAATACACGACACAATCCTCAAGGATGCAATTTCTGTAATTCAAGTCATGGTCCCAGTATAGAGGGTAGATATTTTGCGACCCCAATTCCCTGCTCCAGGGCAGCTACCTAGGTATATCAGAAGTAATGAACATAAAATAAAACCAAAGTACCGAGCAGTAGCCAAGGTAATCCAACTAAAGGAGGTATAAGTGAGTCCAAAGAAGATAACAAAGAGGGAATGATAGAGAATGAAGTAGAAAAGGGGGAATAAATAATGTTACTTTCGAAGAAAAGACAACAAGAAAAAAACGCCCATGTGCCCAGTTATCTCAACCCCCCATAGTGCGGCTATATGCGTTTGATGGACTCCCTTGAGAAAACGACTTTGGCTTTCAAGCTGTCAAAAGAACACCCCTTTGTTGTTTGTTGTGGAAATAGAAAATGCATGTGTTCAAGATAGTAGTAGCAAAGATAACCTCCCGTATGTCCCGAAACTCCCATGCATATACCAGGATCGTTAATGATAAGCAGACAAGAAAAAACAAGAGTGTTTCTTTTTCATTCCGTCATTGGCAAAAAGAAAAATGAGAAGTTGTGCGACAAAGTCCTGATCCCGCGCCGAACGACAATCGGCTATGCAAACAAAGAAATCCAAGAAAGACGTAAGAAAACAGAGACATCATCGGCGCTTCTCCCCTAATTCACCACGGCCCGCATGCGCATCTGCCTTGATGAGGTGTAGCGTATCCTGGCGAGCAGCGCCTCGGTGTCAAAGTCGTCGTCGCCAGCGTTGGGGTCCGCCTCGATGCGGTCAGCCATGTGCAGAGCAGCAGGCAGCCTCGGCGCGGCGGAGTCGGCCACCTCAAGCTTCCGCGAGTGGACATCGTCACCTTCCTTGTGGTGCGGCACCAATGTCCTGCTGACGGTGATGGGTTTCATGGTGCGCGGCTTTGGGTCCGCCGACTCCTTCATCGTCTCGGGCTCCTCGCGTTCGATGCGCTCCATCTCCTTCTTGGCCATCTCGAGCACCTCACCAATGCGCTGCTGGATCTTGGACACCTCTTCGCTGCACTTGGCGTCCCTGAGGAACTGGTGGGCGCCGTGCTCACACGTGCTCTGCACAAACTCGAGGGCCTTGTCCAGCTCGTCAAAGACATCCGGTGCCTGGCCCGCGAGGCTGGGGTGGCCCAGACGCATGGCAGTCGGTCCATACCGCCGACTGCTAATGTATCGTAATGAGGGGAGAGCCTCGGTAGCCTTGTCGTCGCCTTCCGCGTTCTCATCCTCAGGCACGTCCATCTCGGCCAGCTTCTTAATCTGGGCCACCTTTGCTGCCATCTTGGCCTTCCGCATCAGATTCCTACTTGATGAGATGAACCTGACGAGATCATCGAAGAAGCCCTGCACGTAGCTGTCGTAGTAGACAATAATCATGTTTCTGGTACGATATGTCTGGCGAGGCCCGTCGGCAGAGGCAATCGACGTCGTCCTGCTCTTCTTGACCATGCGGCTGCTGGATGCCCCGCTGGCGTCTGTTGACGACTGGGGGAACGCCGGCCGCTTCGCGACAGCCGGGCTCGGCGGTGAGGACCGGCGCTGCCTGTTGGGCTGTGGGGGGGTTGTGGCGAGATCTTGCTGCTGCTGGACTGGTGCTACATCCTCGGTGAAGAAAATGTGCATCGCGCCATCGTCCTTGGGCTTGAGGGACTCGACGGACCCCTTATTCCTCAGCGACCTGGTCTCGGGCTCCTTGGTGCTGTTTGCCTCGGCGAGGGCGGCGAGCTCCAGCTGGCGCTTGTCAACCTGGCTGCTCAGCTCATCGAGCCTCGTCTGCCAGCTGGGTATGTTGTTTACAAGGTTCTTTAGGGCGTCGATAGCCATGTGGCGGAAGTTGGTTTCCCGCGACGGGACTCTTGACGGAGCAATCGTGGCGGCGTTAGGTGACGCTGCACCTAACAGTGAATCGACGGGCGTCGGGTGGAGGGCGTCCCGTATATATCCCCACGCTGTCGGTGGACGCGGCTCTGATCGACCAGGAGAAGGGACTCCAGTCAAGTATAATCGTTCTCTGGCCGTCCGGTAGTATCCAATAGTAGACGATCGTTGTCTTTCGTCCTCGGTGTGAGATGTTTGGGTATGTCAAAGAAAATAGGTGCGAGCGGGCGATCCTGCCGTCCGATAGTCCGCTAGCGTCTGGCGAGGAAGACGAGGGAAAGGATATTGTCGCAGTCTGTGGAGACAGATAAGGTCGCAAGAGGGTGCTGTGTGTGTCTGTGTCTGTGTCTGCGTGTCGTGCCAGCTAGAGTTCTTCCTGTCGTCAACGGGAGCAAGCCGGCGATTGCTTCTTCCTCCGCTACTGAAGATGAGAGGGAGGCGGGCGCCGAAGATGATGATCCGGTTAGGCGAGATTCCGTTCGGTCGAGCAACAGCTCAACAGAGTGATGTGATTCGAAAAAAAGGAAGGAGAAGCAACCAGAGGGTTTTCGCTTGGTCGATCCGGGGGAGGAAGCAGCGGGCAGATGGGTTTGCAAAAGCGAGGACGCAAACAAGAGAGGTGAGAGGAGAGGCGCGCGGTAGATTGGGTATAGGGTGGTGTAATATTAATACGGCCGTCAATTGAGAGGCCCCGGTAGCTGTGCTGGGTGGTACTGGGAGTGCGTGCTGCAGAGGGTGCCGCGGGTACGAGGTATGGGGTACTACTACCATGTACGGACGCGCTCGCGCTCGCACTGGGCACCGGCACGCCGCTGGCTGCAGGGTTTCCAGCGGTGGAGTGCGAGGTGCGCTGCGACTGCTGTTGGGCGTCGGCGCACTGCTGGCCGCTGGAGCACGCAGTCGCCCCGTACCCCGTACAGGCACAGTGCAGGCTGGCTTCCCCTCGGGGGGGTGCAGTGCTCCGGGTGGTGTCCCCCTATGAGGCAAGGGTTGGCAGCACAGGGTCGCCGGCCCGCACGGTGTACTTTGCAGCCTGCGCCGCCTGCAGGTATGGGGTACAAGCGGACAGAGGCAGCGCACGGGCCGCCGGCTGCCACAGTGGGATGGGCACAGTGCGCATCCTGAGTCGCTGTGTCTCTTGGCGCTGCCGGCAGCACGAATCGACGCGCGGTTATTGCGGCCTTTAGTCCCGCACCCGCCCGCGTGCATATTGCGGAGGTACCTCAGCACCACACTGTGGGCGGGCCTGCAGACGGCAAGCCAGCGCATGTCTCGAGGCAGAGCGACGCTGTGGCTGCGTAGCCTGTACTTGGTGCGCGTTGTAGTCGTCCTCCGTACGACGCCGAGCAGACACTGATGCTGCCGTCGAGCTTTCGCATGAAGGGGGCGTCCAAGCTACAAACACTGGAGCAGCTTCACAAGAAGTCCGGACAGCGACAACATGCCGCATCTACCGCCCTCGTCCAATGGCGCGCATGCGCTACCCAAATCGGGTATTTGTACTCTGGCCTCGAGACTCGTAGCGAATACCTCTCATCTGCGGCGTCTGGCGGCAGAAGCAGGAGCCAGGGTGCTCGTAGCGAGGTAGTTGTACCTGCTCCGTGCTGCAGCTTCAGACAGCGGTACCTTGACCGGCTCAGCCGACCGCCTGCTGGGTCGAGGATCGCGACTGGCTGTGACAGAGGAAACGTACACAAGTACTGCTAGAGGTACATACCAGCATCGAGCTGCAGCAATTGCCTGAATGCTGTTCCTCCCTGCCTTGGTCGTTTCTCGTTCCACCTTGTCCGTCTGTCCGTCTAGAGCGGGAGAATCCGTCGCCTTTTGGCGAGCAAAAGGGTCAATCCGTCGTCAATCCCAGGTGGGGACAAAAGGCGGCCCCTCCTCCCCCAACTGAAGGAGAGGAAGACAGTGGCAGTTTAGCAGGGCTTGGTGGCACTGGCAGCAGGGCAATATAGAAGGCTCTCTCCGTGCGAAAGCCGCCGGAAAGGACACGGTGCCCCAATGCAGCGCAGTTCCGCGCTCCCGTGCTATCGCCGAAGCAGGCGTTGGTTCGACGGCGAGTCGAAATTAAATCGATCCAAATGGCGGATGCTCCCCTTGTTGCCTCGTCCGCCTCGAACGTGTATCGGAGCTGCTTTCTGCACGGAGCGACTCTCCTTGTCAGCACGGAGTACAGCCAACACTACTGTACGCCTCATACATACAGCCAGTCAATGCAAATGGAGACCAGCCGTAATACTAGCAGCATCTTGCACTTGTTCATACAAGACGATCCGTGACAGGCCTCATAAGCGTGCCTCTAGATCTGCACGGCCATGCTTCCGCGTGCCGCGCCATGTCGCCTCCGCGCCGTCGTTTTTCTTAGCATCACGGCCTGTCGAAGAGCTGCCACTGCTAGGCTCGAATCTGCCGAGAGGCCGATTGAGACGAGCGACACAATAGAGCTTCCCCGCGTCTTTGTCAGTTGCCGTGGATTGCCAACGACCACAAGGCTGCAGAGTTTGCACCAGCGCTTGGAGGCACGCCTCCTCAAGCCTGTTTTATGTCCAACATCTCTCGCCTTTTCAACAACCTCTCGAGCGCGACCCCGAGGTTCAGGCTCCAGCACTGGCTGCACTGTACAGACAGTCTCGTACTGCATGTGTGTAGCTTCGCCTTATGCTGCCATATTGCTACTACAGCAGCAGCAGGAGCGTCGCCTCGAATGTGGCCTCTTCGCAGCTCCAGCTCCGGCACCACCTCGCCATCCACACAGGTGCCATGCGCCGGCCTGTGCTGAAGGCGTCCTTGTGTCCAGCTGCAAGCTTTCGGCATCTTGTGCCCGCGGTAACACGTCCAGATCTCTGTAACACTCGGCCAGATGGCAATGTGGAAAGCCGCGGCATCAGCGTTCCTGTAGTACGTAGTAGTACCAACAAGTATGTACGATAGTGATATGATCCCACTGCGACTTTGTACGAGTCGTAGCACCTCCTGCTCGTGCTCCGTACGGGCCATCACGACGCCCTGTCCCACCCGCAGCTGCTGCCACTGCGACCTGCTGTGACGTGAAATGTGGCTCGCCTGGCGGGCCTGTCCGCGGCCGTCCAGAAGCTCAGGTGGAAGCAAGACAGCAGAAGCCCGTCCGTCATTGCCGCAGTCCATCAGTCACTCCCCCGGTGGGTTCGTCATGCCGTTGGGCGTCAGGTTGAGCTCGCCCGTAGGTGCTGGCTGGCCTTGGCACAGAGCACCCTGATAAACGCCTAATGGCCAGGTGACAGGCCCTCTGCCCGTCTCACGTCCTGCTCGACCGCAGCGCTCGACAGGGCCACTGATCCACTGAGCGGCTCACCACAGGCCTCTTGGTGCATTAAACCACATAAGGAGCAACATTGATCTTGACACGGACGCCGCGAGAAGAGGGCAATGGTCGGCGACCAGGGCGGCACGGTGCAGCAGCTCAGAGATCACAGACCAGACCAGGCCCGATGCCCCACGGCCGCGCCGCTCGCAAGGCTGGGGTCTCGCATTCCTCTTGGTTTTCCTTGCAGTCCCTTTTCTCTATTTTCCCCTCGCTCTCTGTGGCTTCCCGTTTAGCAGGACTGGCAGGGAAAAGGGCGTGCGTTGTCGGATCTGTTTCCCTCGTTGCCAAGTGCCGATCTCAAGATCCGAGGCGCGTAAGGGGACCAAGGGGACAGATGCCACGCTATTCCAGGGGAGTGCTGAATAGCCACTCCTATTCCCAAAAGGCACGGGGGCTCTCTGCTGGGTTCATTGGTTCTGTCAATCCACTTGTCATCAAACCCAAGGTGATTTCTCGTCGACTGCAATTCAGCCCTCTACCCCGGGTTTTCCCTGTCGTCTTCTTCTTGCTGTGCTCTTGTTTCATGCAAGATGCGTGCCGTCATCCTCGGACAAGTACGAGTATTACTCGTAGCATGTACGCCCAGAGGCAGCGTCTCATCATGAGTGGGAAAGGCCATCATGTCGTCATGCATCCATCCCACTCGGCGAGCACAGCTGCACGGAAGTGAGTCTTCCGGAGTGAACAGACAAATTTGTTGCCGAGCACCAGCGAGCAAGGAGTGTGAGCCCACACTTCTGTCTGAATCAATCACACGCTGTAGCTGTCTGACTGCATCCTCGAAATAGTGCCAGACATTCTTGGGAGTAACACAAGACGCAATTTTTCATGAGCCTCAATATGACAGGACATTGTGGAAGTTGTCTGTTCGGGGAACCACTCGTGCGCACCAGCCAATCGCTGTCCCCGGATGATCGCCGACCACGGGTTGACAATGAGACACAATGCGCAGCCCGCCAAGGAATGAGTATCACGCAACAAGTCCCGCAAGAGAGCCTCTGTTGTGCATCGCAGGGTATCCTTTGGATGACCTGTATCCTGCGTTTGGACGAAGGGAGAGAGTGAGTGAGAAAAGAAGAGCGAGATTTGGCCAGTCAGGACGCAGCAATCTTGTCCGGCGTCCAGTGTCCCATTGTGATACATCGCCGAACAGCAGCCCGTTGCCCTTTTTTCTGGGTACATGCTCAGCTCACTGCATATGCTGTTGCTCGTTGGGCGTGATTATTGCTCTTTTTCGTCGAACCGTCAGCCTCTTTTCTGCTGCCATCTTCCCACCCTGGGAAGATCGCTTTCCAGGATCGGAGCTAATCAAACGGAGCGCAACATGGAGGCACTGTGGCGTCAACACCAGACTCGCTAGGCGGCAAGCGAATCGTCCAGGCCAGATGAAGACGCCTTAGCACCTCTTTTTTTCTTTACTTTCCTCCGTAGGTGGCAGATGCTCACGCCTGGTGTGTCTGCCAGCCACGCGCGAGCCCTGGCCACGGGGCACGTCGACCAGAACAGGCAGCGTCCGTGGATGGTCGTGGGATGCTGGTCGTGTCGTCAACCGCTGGTTCGCAGCGATATCCGGACGAAACCCCACTGGATGCAGGCAGCGGACGAAACCTTGGCCCTAGCGGGAGAATTCCCACGCAGCTCACGCACACTGTGCCCGGTAGAAGGCCAGACGCAGGACAGCCAGCTCGAAGAAGGGGGCCCCCCGTTTGAGAAGATCTGGCCCGTGGCCTTAGCTGGTTGAGCTGGGGTTAGACTCGAGGGCCCGGGAGGGGATTCCGGCGGATACCCGCGCCGCCGCGGATATCCAACTTGACGAGAGAAGCTGCGTGAGCTTGCACTTGCTCAGGCTGATGACGGGTCGAGCCTTGTTGGCCGTTGGCTTGACATTAGGTAGGCGGCCTTCGGAGCCGACGGGCCAGAAAGAAGTTCGAATCAAGGCCGCGGCGATGATCAAACCTGGAGAAAGAGAAGAGGAGAACAACGGCCGTGGTTGCTGCTCCTGGCTCGTACATGGCTTTGCATGTCCATGTGCGCGTCCTAGCATGTAAGGACGCATGTGCGCGTACATGTACTTGGTACGTGTGATTGATGATGCGATGCCCGCATGCAAATCCAACACTCCAAAGGCCTCTTCTCTCTCGCTCTCACTCTTCTCTCATCTGTCGCTCTCCCACCTGCTCGAGGCCCGCAGCACCTCGCCTCGTCCTAATGCTCTGACTAGCCAGACTCCCAAACTCCGCAGGTCAACGGCTTCGTCCAACGACAGCGCAGAAAGACGGTCTGCGCAGCGTGCAGTTGGACGGATCCGAGGCGCGCGAATGTGACATTTTCGGAGCAATCAGATGGCAGCGTGTCCGTATAATAGAGTCGCTCTTCTTGGCCCTTGCTGCCAATCAGCCGAGCTCGATGGATTCCATTGTATGTACATACAAAGGTGGTCGTATTATTGTACACACGCTCACAGCTGCTGGATCAGGCGAGTCAGGCGTCGCGACGGGGGCTGATTTCGTCTTTGAAGGGGAAAAAGACCGCCGTCAACTTTGCATTGGCGGGAGATCCTTGTCCTTTGTCCCTGGATTTGTCTGGAGAGGGCTGGTTTATGTAAGCCAGGGTATCGTTTACCACATGCAGGTTACGTGCGGGTACTTACAAGCACCGAGTAGTGGTAGTACCTCGTCTGAGATGACTTTTGAGGCTGTCTGTCCCGGTCTCTACGGAGTACTAAGAAAAGAAAGAAAAAGGCCCTCTTTCGGGCCGCAAGATAGTGCTCACTCGCCTGAGCAAGAGACAGGGGTCGGAAAGAAAAAAGATATTCTAAGATCTACAGAGCACAGTATGAAGTGAAATCAAGCCCAGTAATGATACCTCGTAGGAAGAAGAAGAAGGAGGAGGAGGAGTGCATAATGCAGACCTGCAGAACCTGCATATCAAGCAGGACTGCTAAACGGTCAACAAGGCCGGTGATGGAGTCCTCAATCTCGACCGTTGTAACGCTGTTTGCATGACCACGAATCAGATTGACAGGAGCAAAGAGGCAAAATAAAATAAAATAGAAAACCAGTAAAAAAAAAGCAGGCATGGGTTTCTCCTCGATCCGATTTCACGAGGGCCATTTTATTCGATGCGAGGGCATGGGAACCTTGGCGGCTGGCGTGTCTTTGCCTTGAAGTTGGGCCCGAATCTATGCTGCTCCATGTCCTTGCATGCTTCACGTCGTTGCTTGTTGCGAATAAGGTGAGTCTAGAACGAGGATGAGGGTGACGGCCTCTTAAGAAGAATATCATGATTTCTAGTGTTGTGTTTGAAGGATGAAACGGCGGGGTCCAGTTCTGGAAGCCCTACCTGATGTTGTATCGTGTTGTGCCGAGATGCCTTCGTGATGGCGGTTGGCAGGCGACGTCCGGAGTGTGATTTCTTGTCTGGCGCATAAGGCATCTTTGCAGAGAACATGATGGAGAGTACTATGACCACAAGTTGTCAGCCAACAGAAAGCAACATTGTCTCCATATGCCAAGTCTAGACAATTCCTACGAACGGGGGACACTGCTGGCTAACAGGGGAAAGGGGGGAATCTCTCTCCCACAGGGCTGCTAGCAAACCATCAGCCATCAAAGTGCCGGCGCTTGTCATCAGTCTCCTAACCAGAATGAACCGAGGACGAACAAAAGTATCATAGTATTTCGTCAATATATCTCACCCGTTCGTCCGATTGATGTGTGCATCACTGACTCGAGACGCGAGCCGACAAGGCATTGATGCAACAGCGGATAGTAATGACAACCACTTCACTTGTCGCCTTGTGGATCAAAGCTGGCAAAACGAGAAGCCGAGGTCTTTGATGCACGGGATGTGCCGCCATCCCACCAACGATGCCCACATACGATAGTAGTAGTATTAGAATCCACCACAAAGGAGGCGTTTGATGCGGCCCTTGGATGCAGCAGCCCGGCAGACGCTGCCGAGGCCTCGCTTGTCGTCGTGACTGGGTATCTACAAGCCCCAACTGTAGAACCACAGTATCACGACCTCGAAGCACGTGTGGTGGTTGTAATGGATGACATTAACACCACGGAGCGCATGTTGGACGTGCTCGTTCAAAGCATCGTTACGGCTCGGAGTCGCACGTACATACACAGGGAAGAATTACCATGACTGGCAATTTCAGTCGCAACAAGCCTGCAGTAACATGTAGCACGGCTCCTATTGCTACGCTGGCCTGTACGTATTGTATTATTACTCGTATCAACTCGTAGTACGTGCGGTATTCACAATCAGCGAGCCATTGAGACAAGACACGTGCGAGGCAAATGACGGTCCGTTGCTGAAGCACGAGCCTGCAAAAGCGCCTGGATCATGACTTGTTCACAGCAAGTGCAGCGGCTTGCCCGTCTGTAACACTCGTAGTGCTCCATGCGATATACGAGTATGTAGAACGTCTAATAACACACGTCTCCGCAGGCCCATGGATGATCAAACCATGCCCGCTCCAAGATTGAGATTATCGCCGACTGTCCATCATGGTTTATCGCCGGTGCGGCTGTTGGTCCAGGAGGAACGGATGAGAGGGGAAAAAGGGACATACTATCATCATCATCATGCTTCTACGAGAAGTATTATACTGGAGCACTTGTAAAGTACAGCAAGTATGCAATATGGAGATGAAGCGGGTGAAGAAAAAGCCTTGGTGGTGTTGGGCTCCTGCGGCAGTTTCGCGCATGCAACTTGTCTTAAGCTGACGGGCATTGATCCGGCAGTTGAAGAATGCAGAAAAGAGATGGGAGGTGAAGCGCTAGCTGAAGCTGTGCCGAGTCCTTGCTCGATTGAGTTATACTAACTACTAGATAGCATTGACTGCAATTACTAGGTAATACATACGACTCGATGTATGTACCAGAGACAGATCATGATGAAACATGGAAAAGAAAATCTCCAGATTCTCGTGCTGCGGCAGCACAGCCCTGCAAGCGTATCTCTTGCCGCTTTGGACAAGTCGGAGGAGATGGAGCAACAAGGGGGGAGGCCGACTTGTCCAAAAGAGACAACATCCAGCAGAGCCAACAGCAGAGGATCAACTTGGGCGGCTGAATAGCAGAATTGATGTTACTGCTGCCATCATTCGCATGATATACATACATACATGCTGCATCCTACAGATGATGCTTCGTCCTGTAACAGGTCATCCGCCAAGTCTCTGCCCAGGCATTGGCCATCGGAGGTCATGGAGTATTTGATAGTACTACTATTCCTTTTTTCATCGAGGCCTTTCCCGCTTCGACTACGGACGTCTATGTGGGCTCTGGCGGGCGATCACGATGCTGCTAAACTGCTACTTACTTAGTGTAGAGCTACTACGATGTTCAAACGTTGGCGATGCGATGCCAACCGTCTCTCGCTTCGGAGAATATCGATGATGGATTGCTTCTGCTGAAGAGTGCCAAGCAACCAAAACTCGTTGCAACAACAGCCTCATCGTCATCATCATCATCGTCATCATCATCATACAAACACACAGCCCACGGCCAATATTATATCCCCCCTCCCTTGGAGTCGTCTTCGACACCATCCAGAAGGAAAACCAACAATCATCATGGGTTTTCGCAAGAAGAGAGAAAAAAAGGATTCAGCGCCACGTGCCAACAAAAATCCTTCCTCCAAGCAGATCCATCAATCAAACTCAGCCCTCGCAATTTGCTTCTTCATACGGAGTACTACTTTTTTGCTCACATCTTCCCTCAGCCACCCAATCACTTCCCCTGTCCACAAGCAGCAGCTCCTCCTACAATGCAACCCCTCCTAGAACTACGATTCCCATCCACACACACACAGCACACACCCTCTCTTTCTTTTTTCGCTCTTTACTCTTTTCCCATCCCGCACTCGCTGCAACGCTCAGAGATGGAGACTTAGTCTTTCTAAGCCCATTTCGTACTCTGATCCAACAAAGCAAAAGAAGCAGCTAAAGTAATATCCCAAGTACATTCCCCCGTGTTTCTCACATCAAATGCTACCTTGCGAGGTGTCATCCCCCATCGCGACAGCCCATGCCGCTCCCCCATTTCCGACGGCGGCGTCTGTTGGCGGCTCTTTTCGCTTTTTTTTGTGTGGTTTCTTTTTTACTATTCGCGAAAATACTTGATTCGAGTGAATGTACCTTGCTTTTTGTTTGGCAACCGGGATGATGGGGGGGACGGGAAGAAAAGAGTCATGTTTGTGCAATTTCGGGCTGGGCGTGGTGATGGTTCTATCATGCTCATTGATGATACATACCCTGCTTGCCTTGCCTTGACTTTGATGTGATGGCTAGTATTATCTTATTACCTACTTATTGCTACCCAGGTAATATACGCTCGTAGTCAACATTCAGCGCATCGCGATCCTCTGACATGGTACATACAAATTACCGTATCTACTCATCATCATCATCATCCATCACCCCCTCGTCCTCTCGATGCTACCCGCGAACTAATAATAAGCTGCCTGGATGCGCGGCAGCAGTGCAACTTCTCTCTTTTTCCTCCCCGTTTCTTACAAGGTGCGAAAACAGTACATCTTGTTATGCCTCTACACAGTTGACTGTACTTGTTGTTCTCACACAGAAAAATCTTGATTCTTCGCTATTCATTCATACGGGTTCAACTTTAAGCGCTCTCGATTGATACAAGAAGCTCCACAGGAATCACGATGGCTCTGCCCGTCAATCTCGATGAGAGCGAGCCAAGCCCCGGTCGATCCTTTCTTTGCCCTGCCAATACACCAGCCAGCCATCTTAGTCTGGACGATTCGGACATGTCATCACCAGTTTCACTCCTGGTCGTGTAGCAGTATCATGCACTTCCTCGACAGCTTCTTGCGACTCTGTATCGAAACGCGTCGCACTCAACGCATCTCCTATACCATCTGCTACTTTGTGATAATCCACATGAAGTTCGTTAGGAGCTTCCAGACATGCCCATTTCTGGATCGATGCCCATCTCTCCCTTCGTACACACGTCTACATACAATCCTCTTTCCACATCCAGCAAATACATGCATACATGCACATCTCTCATCCATCACGCTCACCATCACCCACTACCTCAACATCTCTTCCCATCTCTTCCCCTTTGACCTCTGCATCCCAGCACGACATACGGAGTACATAGATCAGGCTCTTTTCACGTCTAATTTCGCTCACGCCCCATGCCGAATTAACCTACATTCCCATACGTATCTCGTTCCCGCTGGCATACCTACCTTACGCATAGAATTCCGGGTCCGTACATGTAATATGACCGAACACACATGCAACTCTTCCAACAACAAACGCACTCAATACGTGGATTTACTTTCTTCAAACATATATAAATCAATGCACCTGTTACATTACGGTTCATTTAAAAAGTCACACGTCATAGGGTATACTAGCCACCACACACGTCCATTCGCCGTAGCATATTTCCATTCAATTTCCACGGTTACAATCCAGAGTCCCAAAACAGGAACCGACCCGGCGTATCAACAGAACTTGCTCCAATGGAAAGAAGGAGGAAGAAGGAAGAAGAAGTACTCGTAAATTGAAAAGAAAGGGCTCTCGGGTAACATACCTGAATCTTGCACATAGTATGACAACAAGGCACCAACTCTATAGGTAGGTGACAGCCTCTCGTCAAATCATCTCTGGAGACGAACTGTGTGCCTGGCGACACTTCATCCAAGCACAACACGAACCATCATTGCCATCCAAGACCTTGTCATCGTAGCATCAAAATTCCACCTCCCTCCCTCCCTGCCTCCTCCTTTGCGGCTGATATTCCCATGCTTTCGCTCTCCAATAAGAAGCAGACAAGAGTTACATGTAGTACAACCCTCGCACACAGGTAAGGCAGGCATTCAAATACTACCATCAACAAAGTTCCCTTTTGTGTTGTACGTACATGTAGCATCGAATTCAGCCCAGCGGAGCCTCAACACAAAACAACACAAATCTCCACCCCGTCGCAAAGACAGAATACGTACAGAGTACACAGTAAGAAGTAATACTTCATAGACGCTCATCCTTCATACACATACGCACATACACACACACACACACACATGTTATTGCATCTTCAAAAGGCCCGAGACACACACACACACAGTACTTTATTTCATGACTCCCAATAACGAACGACCCCAAATGGGCCGGGTGGCCGTGCGTGTCCTTCCTCTGTCCTCCAACACCGTGCTCTACCAACTGGAAATGAAAACGAGGAAAAGACGTCTTAATAAAGTTGCCGCGAGGCTAAAAACCTGTCCCTGACGCTTTAGACCAGAAACTGGCTCAGCACCTGCACCCTGGTCCGAGCCACCTCGGAGTCCTCGGCCATCTGTTGCATGATCTGAATCATCCGAGCTGCCGACGGTTCGTTAGCACAATGAATTGGACCGTTCCCGTGCGCGTAAACATGAGCTGATGGAAAGTCCATGGATGGGGGATTCCAAGATATACGATATGCCAGAAATGTAAAGTTGCACTTACTGATGTCTGCCTTGGCCCGAACAAACAACGGGTCTTTGGCCAGCAGCTCCTTGCCCAGTGGCTCCTTGGCCGCTTCTCGCAGGACGTTCCCTATACACAGAGCCTCGAGAAAAGCTCGGTGGTTGAACACCCACCAGACGCGAGCCTCGCTCTCCAGCAAGTTGAAGAGCAGGAAAAAGGAGCCGATGGCATCGTGAGCGGCCTCCAGCGTGCCCCGCACGTTGACCGGAACGTCCGGGCTCTCCGACGCGTGGACCAACATGAGGTTGTGAAAGTAGTTGCTCGTAAGAAACAGCGTTTGACGCACGACTCTCTTGTTTGTCCCCGCCAACGCCGTCAGGCTCTCAGTGTCCCACGAGCGAAAGACGTCCGGAAATGAGCGGTACACTGCTCGGAAATCGGCAATCAGCTTCGACTTGTGCCGCGCCGTCGCGCAAATGGGCACGTCGAGGGACCGAGGAGAGCATATCGTCTCCTGCACCAGGTTCGCCAGCGTCCACGAGCCCCGGATGTAGGCGTTGTCTGTTGGGTCGCTGCTGGCAATGGACGACCCGTGGTCGAGCAAGTCATCGACCGACACGTCAGTGTGCGTGGCGGACGGTGGCAAAGACAAAAGGACTGTCAGAAAAGTGTCCTGCAGTAAGACTGCCTGCCAGACCTTGCGTCTCTGCTGCTTCTCGAACGGACTAGCATCCGGCGTGACTGAGAGCAGAGTGCGGTTAGTTTGTGGCTTAGCACAGATGACAGGTAGACGACGGTGATGAATGGATGGATGAGGAGACGCGAGGGCCAAGGAAAAGGGGAACAGTTATCCCTTGCCTGGGGATGTGTGCGAATCTGACGTACCGATGTTGGGGTCACGATGCAAGCCCATGGCGTAGGCTTGCCGTATCAAGATTCCAGCAAATGCCCAGCCATCCGAAGCATGGTTGTCGTTGATGAGAAAGTACGTCATCAGAACCATGGCCTGGATGGACCGGATGGATGCCGTGCTGAGATAGGAGAACATCCGGAGGGCTTGGTTGCTGGCTGAAGCGTAAAACTCGGCCGTCTGCTTCCGCTCCTGCGCCGTTGTCGACGTGACAAACTGTGTGCCCAGCGCCAACATGACAAAGATTTGCGCGATAAACGCGGCATCGACCTGATGCTTCTCCGCCATGCTCATCTGCCAAAAGTGCTCGTAGTCGGCATAGAACGTCTGGCGGTGGATCATGGGATACACCGGATCGACGCATTCAAAGTACCGAGACAGCAGGATGTCGGCCTGGAGCTTCTCAGGAAGCACCGATATGACCTCGGGCAGGCCACCTTCGCATGTCCAGTAATTGGCAAAGGGATGCTCCGACCCTATGCCAAAGACATTGCTGGCAGTGGCCACAGAGTACGGGACGTTGGATAGCAAGCCGATGGAGAGGGCGACAGCGCCTCGGGACGGAGTGTCGCCGCTGCTGTTGGCGTTTCTGTCCGCGATGTTGGGGACGGGCAGCTGTCCATTCGCCCCGGCTTTCTTCTTCGGAGGCTTGGTCATGCGGCGCCCATTGGCCGCGGACCTCGACGTCTCCCTGCTCGAGAGGTTTCGTTAGAAATACAGTTGTGATTGTTCGTGGCGACGGCGTCAGACAACGGGTCAACTCACTCGATGACGTTGGCAACATGAGCATATATACATTCAGTCTGCCGCTTGATGCCTGCGAGGTTCAGCATTAGTCGGCAAGCCAAGTCGACATTCAAGGTTGGACCGACTTACATGCAAGACAATGTGGTCGCCCTCGATCGCACTGTCGGGGACAAGTCAGCCATGTTTCCCTTGTGTGACACACCCAGGTACGCCTTTGGGTGATTCCAAATAGCTGAGCTGGTGAACGTGGCCTGGAATCGGGGAACTGATACAGGAACAGGGCAGAGGGAGCAGACGAATGCAGGGGAACTCGTAGCACAGCGGACGGGCAGCGGCAGGTGAGGACACTCAAGAGTCGGTTCCACGGCCATTCATGACGCGGCAGGTACCCGAACTGGCTTGGTAGCTGGCACAAGATGCAGCTCGTGAGGAAGATGACGACAAGCGAATAGAAGGTACCTGTTGCAGACATGTAGTCGCAGTACTACCTAGTACCTAGTGGGAAGGGAGAAGTGTGAAAGGGGGGGGGGGAGAGGAACGGCCAGATCATGTCTCGCATCAACGGTAGAGCACGCACCTTTGTCTTTCGTTCGACGCACTCGTGGCACGACAGCGTGGGCTTGTTCCGCTTCTGCTTCTTCCTGGGCGGCCCACCCGCATGAGGCTCGGGCAGCGTGGCCTCGGCGTCGTGGGACACCATGCCGCGGTAGTCGAGCCCGCCGAGGCCTCCGGGATTGCCGCCGCCGATGACCGGCAGACGAAGGTTGCCCGGGACGGAGCCGGAGCCGGGCGACGCGACGGAGGCGTTGGACGCGGTCGCGGACGTCGGGGTCAGGGCCGCCGGCGGCATGGAGGCAGCGCCGCGTCCGACACCGCCGGCGACGGGCCTGCCGTGCTGCTGGAACAGCGACAGGTCCATCCTAGCACTGGCTGGACTCGCGCACTTCTGCAACTAACGTGCTCCCCCAGCAGGAACAAATAGCCGCCCCCTCCCAAGGCTCGTTCCGATGTCCGATGCCGATGCAGTGATCCCCCCCTATTTTGGGGGATGACGGCCGACGCTGGGAGAATAGCCGCGCGGGACTCTTCGCCTGGGGCCTGGCCTTGTTCCCGGCGAGCGAAGGCCTGCTTCTGCCGTCTGCTTCTCGTGCTCTCTCCTGTGCTGTGCGGTGCCTGCTCTGCTGCGTCAGCGGCTCTCGATCCGAGTCGCTCGCGCCACAGGACCCCCGGGAATAACAGCGTGGGAAAATCGGGGTCGTTGCTGTGCTTGGGGAGGGATTCAGTCTGGCGGTGGCCTCGTGGGTGTCGGATTTGAGCACTGGAAATAACCATTGTCTGTCAATGCTCAAAGGGGGGCGGATAGTCAAATAGGAGCGGGAAGGGTGGAGGAGACGCTTGGATTGGATGACGAGATGCAGATTCTATTTGGGGGCAAGGAAAAGTCCCGGTCAGTGGCCTCTCCAACCTCGCAGTCTCAGCCGCAGCGCACTAGTAGTAGTAGTTCATTCTTGCTGGGGTCTGCAGAGATGAGGGAGAGGAAGCGTGGATTCAACTTGATAGACTGGGGTATTAGAATAGGTGGTGAAGCAAAGGCTGGATTCCTGCGACTATCTTCGCGGCAACAGTTAATCCGCATGCGGTCGACAATCGAGGCATTGATTGCTCGGTGGCTGATGGGAGGGAAGGGAAATCTCGTCGGTATCCGGTACACGTTGTTGATATGGAGGCTACGCGTATTTGTTCGATCCGATCGAGTCCTCAGTACGCCATCGCCTGCCCTGGTGGCAGAATCGGCCCAATTAATGCGCCGCATAGGTAAGGTATTGGCTTCCCAGCCTGGACACAGTACAACCATAAGACACTTGACAACTGTTTACTCGAAAACAACCAAGGGAATAATAAAAAGAAATGTTAAAGTCGAGTGGACCGAGTTACACAACCGTGATATTCCCCTCTGGCCCAGATCAACAGATTGGACCGCCGATTGCTTGAGACGCGGACATTCTCAGCCTTGTTGCAGGGTAGCCATTTTGCCAGTTTATCGCGGCTTGGCGAGACAGGTCGCCAACAGAGTCACACTTGCTGCTGGGCAAAATAGTCCCAAAACTGCAAATCAAGCTAGATTCAACTGCTTCGAGCGCATATGATAGTTGTTGCTATTGCCATCAATTGCTATATCGTATACATTGTGTAACCTTGACGGGCCGAGGCAGCGAAATCAAGCCTATGACGAGCTCACCTGCTAACGAGCTCTGGTGGGGCTGGAGCTCCCCAGCTTCGATTAATCAGTGATAAGGTCCAGTAGCTCCGCCATCTTCATCTCCAACCTGTTCATACAGTCTCGCTTCATACGAGTACAAGAGATTGAGTCCAACACTCTCGCAGCGCTCGCAGCCCCATGAGCACCCTCACAGCGCCTGTCCGACGCACAACGCAGCTCCTCAACCACCTCACCCACACAATGGCCGCCCCGGAAGCGCCATGGCGCTCTGCCTTCCTGGCCCACGCCCAGCAGGCCGGCACGGCGACCTTTACCCTGAGCACGCTGCATCCGCTCGACAGCAACCAGTTCGTGCCCAGGGCGAGGACCGTCGTCTTTCGCGGCATGTGGGCGTCCCTGCCGGAGAATCCAAGAAACCCGGCGCCGCTCAACCCGGCCGCCTTCACCAGCGACATGCCGACCATCACGACGGATGTGCGCATGGAAAAGGTGCCGGAGCTGATGGCCAGCACACAGGAGCCGTCCGCGTCGTCAGGGGCACAGTCTGCTGCGGGAGGCCCCGTCGAAGCCGTCTTCTGGATGGAAAAGGCCAACGTGCAATGGCGCATCCGCGGCCGTGCCTACATCATCGGGCCGGACATCGACTCGGAGGCTGCCGCGCCCGTGAGAGCTGCTCTGCAGCCCTGGATGCGGGTTGTCGATGAAGGGAGGAAGGATGGCTGGAGCTGGAGCAGAGAGCTTACCGCCAGCTTTGGCAACCTGAGTCCCTTGATGAGAGGGTCCTTCCGGAATCCACTGCCCGGAACGCCTCTGACGCAGAAGCCAGAGCCAGGCCAGGGCTTGGGGCAGGAAGTGGACGATCTCCATGATGAGCTGGCGCGGAACAACTTTCGAGTGTTGGTCATCATGCCGGAAGAGATTGACCAGATAGACTTGTCAGACCCAAAGAGAGGTCGGAGGTGGAACCACAAGGTTGAGGTGTCCGGATCTGACATCTCTTGGAGAACGACGGAGCTTTGGCCATGAGGTGGAAATGCTTGACAAAAAGGAGTACGCAGCTGTGGCGGGCTTTCATCTTACCGTTCCTTAGGATACAACGACAGGGCATGACTTTAAGAGGCGCTTACACTCGATTGGGTTGCAACTTTGATGACACTAGACTATGGTTGAGTGGCAACTCTAATGACATTTGACTGCAGAAGCTCTCAAAAAATCAAAGGGGCTCCGTGGAGCATGATGTGACAGAATAAGCACGGCATCTGAATTCGGGACCTCGGCTCTTCTAGCATGCAGCCCAGCGCAGTTTCGGCATAGCACAGCAAAGAAAGGCCCGGATCAAGACGTCGTTGCTGTTGCATTGCATGGCTAGCAAGTGTGGCTATGGCAGAGCATTACTCGCTAGTTGATACAGCTCGCCGACCCGACAAGAGAAGTCGAGGACATAAGTTGAAACTGGCTAAACAAGTGCCCGAGTGACGGGAGCCATGGCGGAGATGACAAGCTCGTATAATCTCCTAAGGGCCTGCCAGATCGGTCCTGGGAAGAAGCTTGTTTTTTTCGGTGCCTGTGCCTTGGGATGCTGAGGCTGAGATGGAGTGTTGCCGGGACTTGGGAAGAGTCTAGAACGCTGATCATCACGGAGATGGAGGGGGACGATGGCCGATGTCTTATCATGTGGCATCATATCGAGCAGGTACGGAGGCAAGGAGGGTTGTACTATCGCCAAACTTTGGTTATCAATCGTCTGACTTGCCCAATTGGACATGCAGTATTGTGCTTGAAGCCATCATGACGGGTTCAGCCCGTCCATAGGCCCCTCCCTCACGCACTGGTCCGTTCCAAAGGACCTTGCATGCAAGATACTTGACCTGGCTGTATGCAAGGAGCTCGATCAGATGCGTACCTCGGATAGGTAGACGCACAGGCAAACCCTCCTCGGCGGCACATGCTTTCCGAATATTCGCTTCTCTTCGTTCCCATATAGGAGAGGAGAAGAAGTGGATGCTCTCACATGAACATTGTCGGTCCAGCCCTTGCAGAAGACAACAGTGGATGCTCTTACATGATCATCGTCGGTCCAGCCGGCGCCGTTACAAATCCGACAAGACTTGCTTCGTGGAGGCGGCGGAGCAGGACGGTGGTTCGTTGGCCATACCTTACCGTATTCCGTATCATTCTTCATTCTCTGCGGCCGGGCCGAGATGGGATGTTTATCCCAGGGTTCAAGCAAGGCTACCTGTCCCTATGCTCTTTGCCTTACACCGACATGCTCGACTGCCTTATCTTGTTTGAAAAGTTACACTGGAATTGGTAGCTCATGTCATACTTTTGGCTGTTGAAGGATGATATTGAGTTGGGGTAAAGTACGACATGATTTGATACGATATACGAGGGTTGGTAGACGCCGGGCATCAAAGACGCGCTCACTGATTGGTCCTTTTGCGAGACGGAGCGGGGGGGCAATCTGGGAAAACGGCGACTGCTGCAAGGTCGGAGATACTCGATCGTCGGCATACAACGGTAATGGGAGAAAAGGCTAAGCTTTTTCTTCTAGAGCTGCAGGGAAGACGATTTTTCTTTCTAGAGCTGCAGGGAAGCGGCACCGTTTTCCGTCCAGGGGGGGGAGTTGCGATTGTTGCCTCCTCTTTCGGCCTCGTTTGACGGGTCTGGACGTCCTCCCCCCTCCCATCCTGGCAGAGGCGAGTAAGTAATAGAGAAAGCAGAGAGAGAGAGAGCGAGAGCTGAAAAGTTGCGGCGAGGGAGAAGGAGAAGAAGTAGTAAGTAATGTAAGTAAAGTAATATCAGCGGACGTTGGCCGAAAGAATGGAGAAAAAAAAGAGGGAGCGGAAAATGAATCCCTCTTTTTCCGTCTTTTTCCTTGTTGTTGCATGTTGCGGCATTGAATTTTTGGGCAATTGGCCCGGATTTGACGGATAGGCACAGGATGGAACACTACGGAAGTAGGACAGTCGGACAGGACACGCGATCTTTTGGTAGGTGGTTAGCAAAGAGTCGGTATGGAATTGCATTTTCGCTGGCTGGATACTACATATATTGGGGGCTTGTTATTTTTGTTTTTCAATTGGGGGGGAGCTTCTTGTGAGACACTGGTTCAGGCGTGTCCATTTCAGCTGTGAGACAAGTAGGAGCCGGAATCCGACGAGGACTTGAATGCTGCTTTGTGTCTGAGAGTGGGATGCCAGGGGGGGTTGGGAGAGGAATGAGAGGTGCGGCGGAAATAGAAAAGATGGATAGGCTTCAATGGACTCGGGCAGACGAGGTCGATAGCCTAATCGAAACCATGGCCTCCCCATCTGGACATCTTGAGCCTCTTCTTTTTCTCTTTCTTTTCTGTTTTACTTTCCAGGGCACTTACACGGCCATACCCGCCCTATGAGAGAGACCCCGGTCACTTCGCACAACCGCCTCCGCTCTGAACGAGAACGAGGAAGCTCGGCCGCTGGCCCCCCTCCTGGTCCCCGTTTCTCAATTCCAAGGGAGGGTCCCCCGGATCACGGAATGCCAACGGCCTTTACTAGGTAGCGTTAGTGTAAGTGATGTTGCTCTATTATCGCATTACGAGAAAAAAGAGACAACAAGGCAGACACACACAAAGGAATTATTCCGCCAAAGATACGTGGACAGGCTTGTATGGAGAAACATGTACATTGTCTCCCAATGATGCTGCTGCTTCCAGTAAGGCGCCCATTTCGTGCTTTTCTGAGTCAAAGGAGAATTGGAGCGGCCGCACCATTATAGCATGGGGGAGCATCTTACTGGCCTGGTGTTGTGTAAGGTAAGGCATGTAGTATGTATGTATGTGTGTTGTGTGTAGCCCAGCCCGTTGCAATGCGGCACTCAGTATTAAAGGGCACGACAGAGAAAGAGAGAGGACTCTTCTTCTTCTTTATCTTTCTGGGGTTTTCCTTTTCTTCTCGTCTTCATTCCCCTCATTCCTTCTCTCCCTTTGCCTCTTTTACAGAAAAGTCTCTCTCTCTCTGTCATCTCTCTCTCTCTCATACGTACTCTGACGCGCGGCTCTCGTTGCATGTCGTACAGCTTTATTGAATACTTTGTTTAATACCTGCATTCTTTCTGCGCGGGCCAATTCTAGGCTTCTTTATTAAGCTTAATCATTCTTTTTCTCTTACGCAATCCTTCCTTATTCTCATTTTTTTTTGCCATCGAGCGTGTTGCCTGCGCTGCTTTTGTTTCTTGGGTCCCTCGAGTGAACGGGGGTTCTCTTTTTGGCGCATCACGAGTTACACTTACACACGAACCGGCGGGCGGTTATTTCGGCTGCCTAGAAATCGAAAGAGGGCCACAGCCACAGCGATGCGCGGCCTCAGCAAGGCGGCGACGCTCGTGTTGGCGCCAGCGGCGGTGTTGACGAGGCCTGTGCCGACGAATCCTTCATCACGAGGTGTGTAGATATTGCAAGTTGAGATGAGGGAGAAAGGAGGGAAGCATGAGAGAGAGAGTGAGCGGGAGAGCGAGAGAGCGGCTGGGTACACCATCCGGACGCTGGGAGCATCACTTACAAACGTTCATCTGCCGACAGTTTACTGACCTGTTCCATTTCCTTTCCACTCAAACAGATGTCCCGACCGAATCTGCCTTTTCCGTTGCCGTCTATGTAGACACGAGCGCCTCCGGACACACAGGGACGACTGACCAGACTCTGGTAAGAATGACACCAGAAATCCCCCGTGGCCGCGATGAGATGCAAACTGACACCCAAAAAGGTCTTCAACCTCGACATCCAGGAAGCCCCCGAAGCCTGCGCCCCCGCCAACGTCCGTATCGACGGCTTCCTCCTCGCGCAGGATGACACCGGCGCCGGCCAGGGCACCTTCGCCTCCCTGGACGGCCACACCGTCACCGCGAGCTGGAACTTTTCCTGCAGCGAGCGCACCAAGACGCGCCGCCGCCTGCCGCCGTGGGACCAGGACCTCGCCTTCACCATCATGTCGCTCGACGGCGAGGCCGTCCCCGCGACGGCGTCCTTTGTGACGAGCTTCCGGCAGCAGGCGCCCGTCAAGGTGTACGACATTGGGGGCGACGCCGTGGTGTACACGACGGAGGGGCATGCGCCTTCTCGGCAGCACCAGAGGAGGCTCTTGGACCGCATCAAGAGCATCACCGGCTTGCCCGAGGTGGACTGCGAGACGAGGGCGGACGTGGGCGACATCGTTTCGCTCGAGACCCAGATGCGTGACCTCGGCGAGCGCATCAAGGTCAAGCAGAGCAGGATCCTGGACAGGCTGGGCATCAGGGTGCCGACGCCGACGCCGGCGTTGAACATGCAGGGCTTTTACCAGACGGCCAAGCTGGCGTCTTCGACGTTGCGGGGGACGATGGAGCACTGGCTGGGTTCGGTGCTGGGCTTTCCGGTGTTGCGGTATGATGATTACCGGCATCGTCATCAGCCAGGGCAGCAGCTTGCCCATCCGGAACACAGGGACGATGGGCTTGTGGTGAGCATGCAGGTGGACGGCCAGGGGGGACAGCACTTCTACTACTACCGGGACGAGGCCGATTCCAGCTCTACGCGACTTACACCCACGCCTCCTCCAAGGGTAAAAAAAAAAAAAATACCAGACTTGTCCTATCTCTCCTATCGAATGGTAAAGAGTGCTAATTGTGTGTGGGAAAACAGAACGTCAGCTACCTCCCCCTCTTCGCAATCATCTTCACCTTCCACCTCGCCCTCTACTTCGTCCTCCGCTCCATCCGCCAGCGAACGCCCTCCCGCTGCTCTTCACAACAGACCCCCAGCAGCCATCACCATCGCCGCAGCACGCAACGACAACAACGCTCCAGCAGCAGCAGCGGCAGCAGCAACGAAGAACAACAACAACAAAGCACCGCGAGTCTCCTCCGCGAGAGCGTCAGAGACCTCTTTCGCTCGAGACGCAATGAGTTTGAGGAGGTGGTTGACGAAAAGATGCGCCTGAGGATGATGTATGAAGACGAGTATAATAATGCTGCAACAACAACAACTTCGATGGAGGACGAGCTGGCGTCTTTCCAGGAGGCTGCTGAGCTGTTTGGCGGCGTGGTGGCTGCTCAGGCGAGGCCAAGGGAGGAGGAAGGGGGCGGTGATGACGACGATGATGAAGATGGGCGGCTGCCGCCGAGGTTTGCGGAGAATGTGAGTCCGCCTGCGTATGACGAGGTGCACAAGGGGGGCGTGTGGTGAGGAGAAGGCGCCTGGTGGCTGTTGATTGTTGCGTTTGTGTGTCTTGTGTGTGTGTGTGGTTTTGGCGAGGCGGTGATTTTGGTCTTTGGAGGGAGGAGACTCGAGAAGGGGTTTCTTTGATGAGCAGTGCAATACTAGTACTTCTCTGAGTCAACCCGTGGCGAAACATGTCCTGCTCGGACAAGGACGTTTATACACCATTCCGAGGGACAACATGAAGCGAGCATACGATAGAGCAAGCTTTCCGAAACCTCTTTAATACATAGAATAACTTTAATCGACAAAAGGCTCGCAGTATTTCACCAACGCTATATTACACCATCCTCTCAAGACAAAGTTGATTCATATACACCCCAAATCCAGTGTGTCTACCCATGTATAAACCTGCAAAAGTTCCTCCCTATCCTCTCCACCCCCTCGTCCAACCCCCACCCCTTGACCTCGCACACGAACCGATACATGTCCTCCAGCAGCGCCTCCGCCTCCTCGCCCGCGGCGTGCATGTCGCTCTCCACGAGGACCCTGTCGTCGGGCACCGCCCGCACGACGCCCGCCAGCTTGTCCTTGCCGCCGCCGCCGCTCATGTTGACGCCCGTGGAGAAGGAGGCGAAGATGGTCGAGGGCACGGCCGGGTGGAACCACTGCTTGAGCATGTCTGCGCTGCCGCTGTACGAGTGGAGGCATATCCGTGGGGGAAAAGGTTTGCCACCGACGCTCTTCTCCTCCTTCTTCTTCTTTGCTTTGCTGCCGTCGTTGTTGTCTGAAGCGGTTTCATCATCATCATCGTCGTCGTCGTCGTCTGAGCTTTCTTCGGCGCCGGGAGCTATCCTCTTGTTGTCCCTTCGAGACAAGACCTTCTTCTCATGGCCCTTCCAGCAGGCCGCTATCGTGTCGTACAGGACGCCGTGAGCCTGCACGCCATGGACGCTGACGGCCCTCCCCATCTCCCCCGCCAGCCGCAGCTGCGCCTGCAGGACGGCCTGCTGGTGCTGCATCCGCACCCGGAAGGGACTGAGGAGGCGGCCCTCGCGCCCGCCAGGGGTGAGATTCTCGTCGCGGGAGTAGTCATCATCGCCGGGGGGTCGCTGTTGAGGCAGGCGAAAGCCCTTGTCGAGCCCGACTTCGCCCACTAGGGCGAGAGGGAACGAGGTGAGATACTCCCGGGTAGATGCGATGAGGGATGAGAGGGGGGTCGGTGTCGGGAGGGAGGAGAGAAAGGATCGATCCTCTGGCTTTGGAGAGAGAACGGCCATGTAATGGTTGATTTTGGCATCTTCTTCTTGCTCTGCAGAGGCGTCGTGACCCTCGGTGCTGCTGCTGGAGGGTCTGTAGTTGTACGTGGGGTTCTGGACGGTGTCGTCGTAGAGCTGGTAGGAGAACCAGGGGTGCCAGCCAAACGCCGGGACGACTTTGCATGCTTTGGGTGCTGAAGAATCCGACTCCGAGTCTGGATCTGTAGCTTTTACGCCGTGCTCGGCTGCTACGTCGGCGACGAGCTGCTGGTCCTGCGAGCGGGTGGCCATGATGGCGAGGACGCGCGTGCGGAGAGCGGCGACGGACGACGGGGAGAGGGAGGCCATGGTGTCGGTTGGGTGGCAGTGGGCGTCGTAGGCGCCGAGGTGCCAGGGGAAGGGGTCATTGCGGGCTGCTGGTTTGGGTGGTGGTGGCGAGGCGGTGTCTTGATCTTGCTGGCACATGGTGCTTGATGATGATGTGCTGGGGTGTATGTATCACGATGAGATGCCGGTGGTGGTTTGTCAAGGTGAAGAAGTTGGCGAATAGTGTGATGGGGTGTATCAAAGATGGGGAAGTCGATGAGGTGTTTTGCTGGTGTTGTCAAGATCGAGGTGAGGCCATCGCGAGTCTCGTCTTTTCACCCGGACGGATATGAGGCGGTGTTTTATCAGGTCATGATTTTCATCCAGTTGCATCATCAATCCATCAATCAACAACTCCAGTCCAGACGTCGTCAAACAGAAACTTGTGGAGAAAGCGGGGAGAAGCTGCCGTCTGCCGGCGATCCACATCCGTAACCGCAAATCTCATCTCATCTCGTCCGATCTCGTTCAAGGCTGTTATCGATTGTCATCATCTAGTCTGCCTTATACTCAACTCACAATTTCGTACAAGACTTCATATCGTCAACTGCATCGTCTCGCCCATCTTCATGTATCCGAATTGACCACTCTTCACAAGTCTCGGTAACTGCTTATCCTGACTGACGCAAAAGCTTCGATCCCACCCCCCCTGGAATATTAAGCTCCAGGCCGCCACGCCGCTTCCCCGCACCGGCCATTGAATCATGGGCGATGCCGACGCTCTGAGCTTTTGGATGGATCATGATAGAGCTACATCTACATACTGTGCATATCGGCTGTGACAAGGTTCTTCTGTAGAGATTTCATCTCGTTCCGGCCAGTTCGCTCTTTCAATAAGTTTCAACTCTTGAATAAAACAATTAGTGTGCCCAGAAGCATGTGATATTCACACATTCCAGCCTCATCATCAGTAATCCCCATCTCAGCCATCTCTCACCACCGCAATCTGCCCCAGTTTGGCGGTCCAGCCCCCCCTTATCCCAGCAGATGCCACACCTTGACGCCTCCAAAACTTCGACTAATCCAACATCTTTGAAGCAGCCACAAATTCATGCCTCCCCCCCTTCCCTCCTTTCCGCATCCATCCTTCAGCACAATCCCCGGCCTGTTCCTTATCTTGCTCCCTGATTGACTGAACTGACCCACTACTTAATCCGTGCTGCCGGTTGCTCATCGTTTTCGTTCCTCTCGCCTTTGTTTCAACGCCATGTCCCCGGATTTTCTGTGCTACAACTGTGCTGCATACATCTCGTTTCAGTTCCCTTTCTATTTCTTCTTGTCTTCTCTTCTTCTTCTTCTCTTATCTCCATCCCGTCTTTCTTTGCTTGTGTCTTTGTTGTCACTCATCAGCAATTCTCTGTCCCTGGCGTGTCGCGTTCTGTGTTAAAAGCACCGTCCACGTCTACATTCCTATTTACTTCGACATCAACATCAGCATCGACGTCAACATCAGCATCAATACAACAACCTCAGCTTCACCACGTCAAACCCGCCATGTCATGATCCGCCAACTCCTCGCCCGCCTCACGTCCATCCTCCTGCACCCCATGGCCCTCCTCAACCCCCTCTACGCCTTCGTCGTGCCCTTCCTCCTCGTCACCACCATCCCGCTCGCCGTCTTCGCCGGCATCACCACCACCTTCGCCTTCTCCATCCTCATCCTGCGCGTTTTCGTCGTCTACCTCGACATCGCCCTCTCCCTCGTCTCCCAGTCCCTCTCCCACCTGACCGAGAGCAGCGCCGCCAAGTTCCACCACCCGCGCCGGCCCTCGTCCTCCTCGCCCTCGTCCTCCTCCTCCGTCCACAGCCGCACCAACAGCGTCAGCCCCTCCGCCTCGTCCACGCTGCTCAAGCGGCAGCACAACAGCCGCCGCCGCCGCCTCAGCTCCTCCGTCTACTCCGCCGGCTCCGCCACCCCCGCCAGCGACATCGGGCTCGGCCTCATCCCCAGCGTCGGCGCCGAGCGCGACTTTGAAGGCGTCGGCGGCTGGCGTCTGGGCGGCGGCGACGACGACGACGATGACGACGATGCCTGGACCACCATCAACTCCCGCCTCGAGCTGCACGACCGCAATCACCGCCGCAGCCTGTCCGGGGGCCCGGCGGCCGCAGCAGCGGCGGACACCGGCTTCCTCATGATGAAGGGCCGCGCCAGGAGCCCCGAGCAGAGGCTGACGCCGGCGTCTCCGAATAGCTCCAAGGCGCGAGCGCCCTCGGCTCCGCGTCTGATGGGCGGCTCCAGCCAGACCGACAGCTATTTCCCCATGATTACGTCTTCCAAGGCAATCAAGCGGAGCACCAACTAGCTGCGTGTTGATGGGACGATGACTGACTGGCACGAGAAAAATGATCAAAAATGGACCGTGAAATGGGCCGGGATCCAGATGTGGTCTGAGGTTTCACAGCAGCTATGGCTGTTGTGTACCCAGTCTGCTTGGACGATGGATTTGCTTTTGAATGCTTTTCGGCACGCGGAATGGATGGTTATGCAATTTGGCGTTTACAAGGGAGCGCATGGCGTACATTTCATGTTGTACATCAGACTGTGAGGATACTGCTGCCTCCAACTCTTCTTTGTTCGCCATGATGAGATTAATACATACACGACCATCTCATATGTGATATTCATTGATTTCAAATACCGTAGCCACCTTCGATCGTATAAAAAGACCTCAACGCCGTGTCCAGACAATGCCCTTCCAACTCCCCAAGACGAATGGTATCTTCCCAAAAGCAAAACACAACAAATTCAAAATCCAACAATCAAATGCCAAATCCCACCACCCCTCACAGCGTCTGCCAAAAGTAATTCGCGTAAAAGTACCGCGAAAACTTCTTATCCAGATTCACCACATGCACATCCCCCTTGCGATCATTCCTCACCACCGCCCTCGCCCACTCCCCATCCTTGTCATCCCTCTCAATCTCAATCCCCAGGCTCCGATACACCTTCAGCCTCAACAGCACCTCGTCATCCACGGGATCCCTCCTCCGCCCCTCCTCGGACCCGTCCACGCCCTGCAGCTCCAGCTCCTGCAGCCGCGCCGAGAGGTCGGCCGCCTGCTGCGCCAGCCGCTCCGCCTCCATCTCCGCGTCCGAGGCGGCCTTGGCGACGCGGAACTTGTGCGTGTCGAGGCGCGCAATGGTGGACGCGTGGTCGGCGGACGAGTGCGAGGCGGCCAGCTCGTCGTGCTGCGCGTTGATGGCGTTGAGCTGCCGGGCGAGCCTCTTGAGCGTGGCGTCGCTGTCGCGGACGTGCAGCTCGCGGGCCTGCTGGAGCGTCGACAGGGACTCGGCGATGCGGCTGACGGCGAGCTTGTCGGGCTGGATGTTGAAGTTGTTGATGGTGTGGTGGATGAGCTGGGGGGCAGCGTCAGTCAGCATGTGCTTGCATGTTGTCTGCAAAAGAAACCGATTCCGTCGAAACGTACCGTGGCTGGGTCCTCGGCGAGAAGCATCGTGGCGGCGTTGCAGTGCAATCAGCAGGTTGTTATGTGTAGGTTTCTCCAAGAAAGAAAAAAAGATTGATCTCCAATGTTCGTGATTCAACTCGTCAGGGTCTTGGTGAATCCTCTTCCAGATCTAAATCAATCTTGACCCAAAAAGTATACGAACCTTCTCCCCAGTTCCGTCGCCCGGGACAACCCCCCTTCCGCCCCAATCAAAGCCACACCTCTCGCCTCCCCCCAAAGATCAACGTCATCCCCAGCCACACCTCGAACACCCAGCCACAATACGGTAGCTTGCCTTTGCCTTGCGAAAAAGAAGGGCAACTTATGACCTTCTGATTTCCCTTTGACAACAAAGCCAAACCGCATTCGCAAAATCTCACGAGACCTCCGGCAAATCATACTTCTTTTCGCTTTTGCTCCTTTAGCTGACTTTTGCACACCTTTGCTCCTTTGCACATTTGTTCCTCTTCACTCGAATCTTCGACCTTGCTGAGGTTTGGCACGAGCGAAAGCGAACTACGACCGACATCGTCATCTTGCGCCTCTACCTCGGCTCCCCCCATCCTTCAGCTCGAAACAAACCCGACGACTCCCTTTTGCGCCGCCTCCATCCACAACATAACCAAACCGCCCAGCATGGTCACAGAACTTCCCTGTAAGTCGACCTCTCCCTGTCCTGCTTCTAGCAATCTGCAGCTACGGCATTCCTTCTGCCATGCCGAAAAGCGCAAATACAACTCTAGACCCAAGTCGGAAGAGACAAGTCAGCTAACTGCCTTTGCTTCTTCCAAACAACAGACGCCCTCGACGCAGAGACGTTCGTTTCTCCCTCCCCCGTCGCAACCATACTCAATCACAACCCAAGCTAAAAACGCCATATAGGCCTCTGAACCCCTCAGAGCTCAGCGTCCTGCGCGCCCAATTCGAGAAGGAAGGCGAAATGGTCGGCGTCCAGACCAAGTTCAACTACGCTTGGGTACACATCCCTCTCTCTCTCTCTCTCTCCCTCCCCTTCTCCAGTCATCCTCCACTCCTCAAACACTCAATATCAAATCCAACACTTCAGCTGACGCAAATGGCAAACGCAAAAAAGGGCCTTGTCAAATCAAACAACCGCAACGACCAACAGCTCGGCGTCCGCCTCCTCTCCGACATCTTCCGCGTCTCCCCCGAGCGCCGCCGCGAGTGCCTCTACTACCTCGCCCTCGGCAACTACAAGCTCGGCAACTACGGCGAGGCCCGCCGCTACAACGACCTCCTCCTCGACAAGGAGCCCGCCAACCTCCAGGCCACCGACCTGCGCCAGCTCATCGACGACAAGGTCGCCAAGGAGGGGCTGCTCGGCGTCGCCATTATTAGCGGCATTGGCATCGCGGCCGGTGTTGTCGGTGCGTTTCTGTTGAGGAATGCCAAGAGGAGGTGAAACCTGAAATGGACCAGAACAGACAAGGACCGTCCTGCCGAGGAGCGTTTAATATGGCGATGACGCAGATTGTTATGATATAAGAAACAAAACTCAGAGAGAAAAAAAAACTGTAAACACGACGAAACAGAAATGTCGAACGAAGAGAGGGAGTAAGGTGGTACGGAGATTAACTGATTTAGTCACTTTCAGTACCTAAGAAGATTGTCATGGCGGGATCGCAAAGGACTCTGGGAAACACTCTTCTCTTTTGTTTGTCACTTCAAACCACATACTTATACATGAGCGATTCGCACTTGGATGTACAAAGAACACAACTACTCCTCAATACGCACACGATGCCTAACATTACGAAACGATCAAGCATGCCTACTCTTCACAGCGCATGGGCACGCATCTTTAGTAAAAATGAAAATACAGACACAAAATCAAAACTAGCTAGGAAATTACGACAAACAAGCCTAGACATACCATCGCGTGTTGAGACGTCAAGCACACGACTAAAATACAACAGTTGCTGATTCAACCCTCCTCCAGCCATCCATTTGCTCCAGTCAAATTCAAATCCGCAGTCCGCTGCTCCATCCAGACAGGCAACCAGGGGGGCTATCCGAAGGCATGGCGAGTGGAAAAGACGGAGACGCAGGGTATTTTCGGCCTTATCTTGCCCGACATAGATTTCAAAGGAAAGCGTAAGTGTGACGATCGTAGGAAATGAATAATGAGTGACTTTTCGCACGGCGGCCCCAACCCTCCCAACAACTGTGCCAAAGGCAGGGGGGCAACCCAGCACTGCTTGCGGCCTCTCCTCCCCAGAGCATCCGCCCTGTCCGATCCTGCAAGACTCATGGGACGCCAACAGGTAAAGGTCCAAAGACCGAGAGGAGCTACCCAGCTGTACTTGGCCGCGACCACCATACCAAGTCAAGATTTGAAATGCTTCATAGTCCTGCACTTCTCCATGCTGCATGACCAGTTATCATTAACAAGGTTCTTTTCCTTGCCCACCCTTCCGGAAGACAAAGCTTTTCTTGGCGGCGATTATACGAGTTTATGATTAAAATAAAGTGACGAGAAGGAGGCGACAAAAAGAAACAAAGAATCGAAAAGGGGAAAAGGAAAGGCGTCGAGCAGATATTGTATGGACATCATGGATATTCTGATATGGATCGTGCGGGTGGTGATTCGCAACTCGGGGGAGGGGGGCAATCGGGCGGAGGACCACTGGCCGTCCGTTTATCGCAGTGAGAATCCCTTTCGCTTGCCCTCCTTCTCTATCGGCCGCCCGCTCTCGATGCGCTGCTTCTTGTCCTCGAGCTCCAGGCGCTGGCGGTCGAGCTGCTCCTTCATCTCCCGGTGGCGTGCGTAGAGCTCCTCCTCTGACTGCTTGAGCTTGCTCTCCTTCTCCGCCACCTTCTGCTGGAAGACCATCTTCATCTCGGCCTCCATCTTGGCGAGCTTCTGCTCGTGCAGGGCGCGCTCCTCCTCCTGCTTGACGGCAGGGTTGACCTCCTTGAAGACACTAGGATCTTGCGAAACACCCATGGCCAGCAGCTTGTCGGTTCTGTAGTTCTCGTACAGGTTGTTGTTGGTGTGCTCCTTGAGCTCCTCCATGTGCGTGCGGATGAGCATCTGGCGGAGCTTGACAAAGTCGCAGTGCTCCTCGTTGTCGACCTCGATGATACCCCAGGGGTACTCACGTCCGCGGACCTTGCGGCCGTCGGCAGTCTTGATCTCGTTCGTGGCGCCAACAACGGCGAAGGGGACCTTGGACATGATCTCGTTGTTCTCGGCAATCGTCTCCTCGTCGTCGAGCTCATATCGGGGACCCTCGAAAATCTGGATGCCGTGGTACTTGATGTCGGCCAAGATCTGGAGGTCGAGTCAGCAACGCCATTCACCACACAGACGTGTAGAGGGGACCATCTTCACTTACTCGTGCCTTGAAGCTGACAATCTCCTCGTCCGTCAGGGTGTCGGACTTGGCAATGACAGGGATCAAGTTGACCTTGGTGTGGAGACGGCGCATAACCTCAATGTCGAGAGGCTTGAGGGAGTGGCCGGTGGGCTGGATGAAGAAGACACAGGCGTGAATTCGGTTGTCAACAATGTTCATTCGGTTGACCTTGTTCTCGGCATCCAGGTAGGCGTCGAAACGCTGCTCAATGTTGTCGACAATGGGTCGCCAAGACTCATCGTTGTTAACGAAGTCGCCAAAGCCGGGGGTGTCAACAACGGTCAGACGCAGACGAACGCCGGCCTCCTCGATATCGGCGCTGATGGACTGGATGGTGACAGTCTTGGGGATGATGTCCAGGCTGGGCGCCTTGCGCTCCTTGGGAGGGTACAGGGAGGTGTTGAAGAGAGTGTTGACCAGGGTCGACTTGCCCAGACCAGACTCGCCAACAACCATCACGTTGAAGTTGAAGCCCTTTCGCACACTCTTACGGTGCCACTGGTTGGGGAGGTTGGCGAATCCAACATAGCCGGTCAGCTTTCGTCGAACGATGTTCTTGTTGTCAGAAGCAGCCGCGCCTGCTGCGAGCATGTTAGAATTACGACCAGCAGTAGGTAACCGCGTCAGAACATACCGGGAGCTGGCGAGGCAACGCCCTGTGGTGAATCGGCACCGTTGGAAGCTATTCAGACCAAACGTTAGCTGCTGGATCTCCAATGCTGAAAGATGTAAAAACAGGGCATGGCAACGAGGCAGGAGGGCTAGGCGCTGGCTTCTGACTGGAGAACTCAGTTGCTTGGCTCTCAACCGTGTTTGGCGGGTTGGTGTTCCAAGAACATGATCTCGTCGACCGGTCAGAGCTCCGAATGTCCCCGTCCGACACCACGGCCGATTTTATTGGACCCGAGTACAGCTCTTCGAAAGACATGGGGCTCCAGGGTCCAAGTCTGGGCGGCTCTTCAACCTCCAGCATGCTGCGATAGCGGCGAATGGCGGCAGTAACAGAGGCAGGCACCGAGAAATGGACAGTGGGAGTTTGCCCGTCTGGCAAGCTGCTCAGCCGCTTCGTCGCTTGGGCTTGGGCTGCAACCTGCTCCAGGGCAACCATTGCGGGCGTCATGGCTGTCTTGTCGAGCTGGAGGCTGCGAGCCCGCGCCCTGACGTGGTGGACCAGATCGAACGTCATGACGGGTTGCCAAAGTCGGATATAAGGAATTTGTACTTGAAGCAACGGAAATGTTGTTTTGCCCAAAAAAAAGCGACCCAAGAAACAGTAGATGGCGAGCAACGGATGTGATTACGGGAGGGAACACGCGAAGGACTGGTTGTGCGTGGGATGAAGAAGAGAGGACAAGAGGCGCTCGTGTTTTGTGTTGCTCAGGCCCGCTGCCGTGGTGAAGTGCCTCGTGGCACGCCCAGAATGCCTCCTGCCCCCTCCTCGCGTCGCGGAGACGGACCACGCAGCGCCATGCAGAGCTTCAGAAGAGAGAATTATCTTACCCATATCGATGTATAAGGAGCGGCCGAAGGAAGGTTAATAAAGAATGGTAAGAAGGCTGGAGATTCTGCGCGATTGGTTAGCTGTGATGGTCGTCTCGGAGAGGAGAGCGAGCAGGAGAGGAGAAGAGGGCGCCGCCAAACGGCCAGGAGCCACGAGTCGAGAGAGCAGCTTCGTGTGGCTCTCAGGGCACATGGCAGCTGGCGCGCGCAGCAGGTGGAAGCAGGCGGACGCAGCTGGCAGCAGGCAGAGGGACGCTCCTCCGGGCTTCCTGCTCCGGCAAACGCCCTGAAGGCATCGTGCGGCGGGATCTCGACTCGACTCGGACAGGCAGAACAGCGGGAGACGACCTACCAAAGGAGAAAATGCGCTGCGACCCTAGCAGATAACGACGCGTGTCAATGGGTTCGAAGAAACGGGATCAAGAGGCAGAAACGACCGCGATGAAGAGAAGGGTAAATGTCAAAGACGCTCAACCAGCCGGAGAGGAAGTAGCAATGACGGAGGAAGTGAAGAAGTGAAGTGAAGTGCAAATGAGGCCAGTTGAGGACGAGCAGGAGGAAGGTAATTTCGGGGGTGATGACGGGGAGGAATTTGTGCTGGGCTTCTCTGGCTCTGGCCAGCGTGGTGCAGCAGCTGCTGGCAGCGACCGTTCCAGGGGGCGATGCTCCACCGCGGGCAGTACCCGGTACCTGAGGGGCCGCTGCGGCCGTCACTGACCGCGGCTGTCACTCGTACTGCGCGCTGCCACTGCGTCGGGCCATCGTACAGCGCTGCTCCAGGCACCTTTCAGTGGAGGACATTGGCACTCGACCGCTAGCAGCTGGTTCCTCGCTTCAATCTGGCGTGGTCAATCTGGCAAAAGGGGGTGCATGAGCGGGCTAGACCGCAGCGGGACTAGCGCAGTCAGGGGTCCGATTGGCCTGCTGCGCTGGTCAATTAGCAGAGGAGCTTCACGACAGGGCCTGCCTTCGCCGTTGGCCGCCGCTGATTGGCCGCAGCCGTTGGTTTCCTACGAGCCACAGCACACCCGCGCTGTGGCGCTGTACCGCATCGGGCTTGGCCCAGGTACCGGGTACTTTTCTGGAGCAGACGCGGTGCTGAGGAGCTCGTAGTGAATCAAGGTAGGTAGACCTCGAAAGCACAGTAGGACCTTGGACCAATTGAGCTCTTGGTGAAGAAAGAGACTGCAGATTGATTGCGGATCGGGCTGGAGGCGGATTCAGGTGCGGTACCGGGCGGGCAAATTTGCGTCGTCTCGGAATGTCGAGTCAAATCTCAAGGGTCGCATGACGGACGGCTTGGGGTATCTCGCTGAGACGACCCGACCGGACACGACAGGCATGGCATGGCATGGCACGAGTACAAGTACCGCTACACGCCGTCTTGGTAGTAGCAGTCGATGGACATGACTTAATTTCAGGAGCTCCAGGCAGTTTCTCTTTAGATTGCCCTGCACTCTCGCTACTCCTGTGTTCATTGTTCGTATCACCGCGCTGTTGAGCATCTACGCAGTACTTGTACCAGCGGTACCTGTACGAGCACTCGTGCGTGTCGGCTTCGTGCCCAAACTGATGGGCTCTATTAATAGGCTGGCGAGGAGCTCATCTTCATTTGCCGCGAAAGGTGAGATTGCTCTGTTTGCATCGCTCCTGGGACTCGAGTCGACACGAAACGACACGACACGACACGACACGCCGCAACGGGTATCGACAGCTGCGGTTGTACAAACACCGGAAGAATTCTTTGGCCAGCGGCTTGACGCTCCGAAAAGCAGGGGACAATTCATCCCGAAGGCTTGTGCAGGCTGAGACAAACCTCAAGTCTCCCTGCTTGGTGTAGGCATTTCACGGCGTTCGCGCCGGAGCAGGTAATGGAGAACAGAGACAGCGTTCCCGAAGCGTCGCTGCCGGCGTGACTTGGATAGTACTCAGATAAAGCAATGCAGCTGCTGTGAAACAATCAAAACGGCGCGCTGGCAAGGCCGGTCGCTGTCTGCATCCTTGTCGAGGCTAATATCCGACACGGTGCCTAATAAGACGAAGGGGGCAGGACATTGCCCATTTTAGAATTGTAGGGTAATTCATCTCGTCAGCTGGAGGATGGCAATTCCAGGATAAAGGCTGGGGATTGTCAAACATTGTTTTGAAACTCTACAGTTCATGGCTATTCAAGGTTCCTGTAGACGTCTGTATGTGGCTAACGCGAGCCCACTCAACCACCAAGCTCCAGATTTGCTTCACAGCTGCTTGAACCACAGACACGCAAACAGATGGCATCAACCGCGGTGACAAACTCCATCCAAGCCATTGAGCAGGTTCACACCTGGTTCATAGGTATGTATACATACAGATAAGCATACATATAGCCGACAGGGCAGTACATGACACCTGCAGCAATACACGCGTACGATATCCATCCAATACGAACATCACCAGCCACTGACAGTCGAGTTCCCTCGACCCTCGACTCCCGTTCTCTGGTGGTGAGACACACACACATGATCGACACGCAAAATTAGAGCTGTCTGGGAAATGCCCCACACGACAAACAATGTCATTCCCCCCACATGTCGATGAACAAGAGAAGATTCTGGGCATTTGTGGGTTGGAGAGGAGCCAAGGGAGCCTCGACGACTTCTTCTCTGCCTCTCTGCAAGTAGTACCTCTGCCTCGGTCTCATGCCTTTTCCCGCCAAGGCACTTCACAGTATCATCATCTCACGAGCAGTGCGGTATCGAGCAAAGGTGATGACAAGTGGATGAACCCTCTGACCTCCCCATTTCACAAACATCACCGGAGCATTCTAGACATGACCGCGGCCCGCCATGACTGGCCAGCGTCGCCCGTCGTATCTGCAGCCAGACGTCAGCCAGACCAACCGCCGGAACATGATGGGCTAGTTTCGCCTGTTGCTTCACCCCGTCCGCTGCAGGCCGCCCTGGTACAACTACCAGCCTCCCCATCACAAAATAATCACCAATTCGCACCGGTAGAAACCAGACTGATGCTCTCACATGGCACCAATTTAATACGGCACCCGCATCATGCTCCGTAAGTCGTGCTCTGAATGCATGTATGGAACCTTTCGCCAGTGGGTCTGGGTCAGGGTGTCCACAACTGAAGCATGACGATAGCCGAACCTGACTGTTCCTCTCCCCGGCTTCTCCAGATCTGCTCCGAGTGATCCTCACCGTGATAACGAGGCCTGGACGGGGCTTGCCATGCGTACTCGTGGTTATGTAACTGGTGAGTGTCGAATGATTAGTCTATACAAGTCTCCTTCGTATGCCGCCTGGAATTCTTGCCACTCCGCTCTATTTACACGTAATGAAGCTGTTTCGGAGGAGTGTTTTGCGGTCTATATATACGAACTGAATTACCTATATGGTGCCAGAAAGTAAGGTAGGCTGGCGAAATATACTACAGGTGCCACGCTCTCCCAGAGTCCCAATGCATGCCCATTTTCCCGTTCCGTAACCATGGTCTCAAACTAAGCCGATGATAGCGCAGCTTGTTGGCTGGCAAAGAATTTCTTTGATTCAGCACACCTCTCGCTCTTGCACGCGGGGCACCGGAGACCCATCTGCAGCGAACACGCCTGGCCAGAGCCGAGATGTGACTTTGCGAGGTCGGCGAGTGCCTGGATGAACACCGGGCTGCCGTTTAAGCTGTCCACCCGCTTGACAGTATCTGCGTGGCCGCTCTCGCCGATAACTTCAATGTCGAGTTCGTACAGCGTTTCGATGTGATCTGATGTGAAGGCAATTGGGATGAGAACGAGGTCCTTTTGACCCTTCTCGATGTAGTTCTCCACCGTGTCGGACGTCTGCGGCCCCAGCCAAGCCTTTGGGCCGACCTGCGACTGCCAGCATAACCTGTAAGGGTTGGAGAACTTGAGTCGCTCCATCACGGCTTGAACGGTGGCGGCAACTTCGCCGGGATACGGATCGCCTATTTGGTGGTTAGCTTGCAATGTCCACGCATCAAGAAGCAATTGGATACCGTACCTCTGTTGACCACGTCCATGGGCAAGCTGTGCGCTGAAAAGAGCAGAATGGCATTGCGTCTTCGTTCCTCCGGATACTCGGCCAACTTTGCCTCAATGTTCTGAGCAAAAGCCTCCACGAGGCCGGGATGCGTGGGCCATCGATCAATGACACTCCAAGTGATGGTGCCGTTGCCAGATTCCGACGCCGTCTTGCCCTCCAGCCTATGCCGCCACTTCCACAGCTCGTTTAGACTGCTGCCCGTTGTGGAACAGGAGTACTGCGGGTATTGGGTGAATGCGACTGCTCTGCCTCCCTTGCCGTTTCCGAAGCCGTCTGCCAACAGCTTGTGGTACATCTCCTCGGTCAATGGGTTGGCGTAGCGAAAGGCGACGTATGGCTTGTGCGGCGCCGTTTCGGGACTGATCTTGTCTAGGATCTTGCACATCTCCTCGCTCTGGTATTCCGACCATTTTCGAATCGGAGAGCCGCCTCCAATGGCGCCGTACTGCTTCTGGATCTTTGGTGTTCGTCGAGCGGAGATCAATGGCCCGAGATAGGACTGGAGTCTGCCCAAGGGAATCAGGTCACCGTCGGCCTTTCATGGTCAGCCCACCTTGTAACTAGCACAATGCATATCGGGCAAGGCAATAATGTTCAACATACAAAGAGTCGACTCAAAAAGTCTCCAACCTCAGGGAGCGTCGAGGGCCCGCCCATGTTAAGGAAGACCATGGCGGTTGGACCCTTGGAGCCAGTCGCATCTTGCGTCACAGGATGGACGGGCGTCGCCAGGTGTCTGGCATGGCTGGCAAGCTGCGACAGCGCAACAGGCGATGCTGCGCTTCTTGACAATCCCTTGGAGAATTGCTGTGTGGTGAGCCGTAACGCCATGGTGAGATGCCGGGTGCGGGAGGATGAGAGGATTAGAGAGAGAAAAGACCGGGCATTGCGGGAAACCAGAGGCAAACAATTACCCGTCGAGGCTGTCAGACACCGATGCGCCGAGATCACAGAGACAAGCTCCGAGAGTGGCAATCGAGCAAAGCGGGAGGTGACGGAGAGATAGGACAGTACTCCCTGGCTGGGTCGGTTGCTCACTCGGCGCATGCTCGGCAGCAGGTACCTCGCTATCGGACCCTGAACGGGCGCCGGCCAATAAGACTGTCCGCAATCGTGATGAGCTTCACGTGACTTCGCGGATCCCTGTCGCATTCTGCCTAGGCTCGTCGCGTTTGCGGGAGCTTGGCGGCGCATCCACTTGCGATGCTGAGCTGAGCGGTTGCCTGGCATTGATTCTCTCTTATTGCAGTGAATGAACGCTGGGTTTGTCACTTTTTTATCATCTCGAAGGGGGAATAAACAAGTCGGATTTTACACAACGTCAGGGAACAATGGCGGATACACAAAAGGATTGGAGGAGGGATGAACACGACGAGGATGATGAAGCAGAGCAGGAGCTCGATGAGGCTGTAAGTCGCCGCGAGGCGCATCTGGGCTGACAAGCGCCATCTGACACTCATTCTCCCATCCAGGGCCTCAAGGCGCAGAAAGATGCAATTATCCTGGCCATTGAAGTCAGTCCGTCGATGCTTGAGCCTCCGCCAGTCTCCGGCTCTAGAAAAGCTGATCGGGACAGCCCCGTTCAAGCTGCGCTGAAATGCGCCCGCCATCTGATGGAGCAGCGCATCATCTCCAATCCCAAGGACATGATGGGAATCCTCCTCTTTGGCACAGAGAAGACCAAGTTTCGGGAAGACAATGGCCGTAGTGGGCTTGGATACCCGAACTGCTACCTCTTTATGGACCTGGACATTCCGGCTGCTGAGGACGTCAAAGCGTTGAAGGCGCTGACTGAGGATGAAGACGAAGACGAAGTGCTGAAGCCAGCCACCACTGATACAGTTTCCATGTCAAACGTGCTGTTTTGCGCCAACCAGATATTCACCACAAAGGCAGCCAACTTTGGTAGCCGCCGGCTATTCATTGTCACGGACAATGATGACCCGCACGCGTCGGACAAGGCGGCGAGGTCTGCTGCTGCTGTTCGAGCAAAGGACCTGTACGATTTGGGCATTACGATTGACTTGTTCCCAATCACCACAGGTGACTCCAAGTTTGATCTCACCAAATTCTATGATGTAGGCCTCGTCTCTTCACTTTATCATCACCTCCTCTGCCATGACATGGGCTAACGACGAAACAAGGACATTGTCTATCGCGACCCGAATGCCGAGGCCAATCGCACCGAAGTGCGGACCTCTAAATCGGGCGATGGATTGTCTCTCCTCAACTCACTCATTTCAAACATTAATTCTAAGCAGACGCCGAAGCGGGCATTATTTCATCTGCCATTCGAAATTGCGCCTGGACTCCGGATAACCGTCAAGGGCTACAACATTGTGCATCGGCAAACGCCGGCGAGGACGTGCTACATCTGGCTTGACGGAGAAAAAGCTCAGATTGCGACAGGCGAAACGACAAGAGTCGCAGAGGATTCGGCCAGAACGGTCGAGAAACAAGAGATCAAGAAGGCCTACAAGTTTGGTGGCGAATATGTATACTTTACGCCCGAGGAGCAGAAGAAGCTCCGGGATTTTGGGGCGCCCACGATCCGGATCATCGGTTTCAAGAAGCGCAGCAATATTCCTGTCTGGGCAAGCGTCAAGAAGTCGACCTTTATCTTTCCAAGCGAAGAGGACTACATCGGATCGACCCGCGTGTTTTCAGCCCTTTGGCAGAAGCTCCTGAAGGACGACAAGATTGGCCTCGCTTGGTGCGTGCTTCGATCCAACGCACAGCCCATGTTTGCCGCTCTGATCCCATCAAGAGAGCAATCTGAGGACGATGCCGGAACGCCATACCTGCCAGCTGGCCTGTGGCTGTATCCTCTCCCCACCGCCGACGACCTGCGAGACATCAGCGTCGAACGAAAGCTAGACTGCTCAGAGGATCTCAAGACCAAAATGAGGGTGATTGTTCAACAGCTCAATCTTCCCAAGGGCGTATATAACCCACTCAAGTACCCGAACCCGGCTCTTCAATGGCACTATAAGATCCTTCAGACCCTCGCCTTGGAAGAGGAGATGCCGGAGGAGCCCGAAGACTTGACGGAGCCTAAAAGCAAAGCAATAAGCAAGCGGGCCGGAGGTTATCTGGAGGAATGGTCCGAGACGTTGAGAGATGAGGCGGAAAGGGCCACTCGATCCAGGTCCTTGAAACGAGAGATTGAAGATGATGCCCCAGAGCGCCCCGCAAAGCAGAGAAAGGCAGCCGCAGAGAAGCCCAGCGGGTCGACTTTCAGCATGGCGCAACTCAGGGATGCCATTGAGAACGGGAGCATCTCGAAGATGACAGTGGTACAGCTCAAGGACGTTGCCGGCGCCAGGGGGCTCAGCACAAGTGGTAAGAAGGCTGACTTGTTGGAACGGATAGAGCAATGGGTTGAGGAGAACAGCTGAGGAGATGAATTCTGAATATTGTATGAGCGTACTGTGTGATTTATGCTTCTTGTACTAGCCACAGGCGAGAATGGGGCTTTTGTCTGCTATTCTGATTGTATACTACATGGAATCAAAATTGATGACTGAATGATGCTTGTATCGAAGTTCTCACCGCATACTCACTTACATGACGACATGGACGCTCTTTGTTCCTGTCTGCGCATAGGGATGGATGGCTGGGTGATTGATTGGTCTCCTACAAGAATTCACTACCTTACTGTGGCCCTGTTCAATGTGACTATTGCCCGACGAAGATACTATTTGCAGCATTTCAAAACATCAAATATCACGAGCAGTGATGTAGTAGGCGAAATGCGTCATGAAGCGGAAACAAATCCATGTACCAGCATGGCGGCTGTGCCAGCGAAAACGCGAGGCGAGGGCGTGTACATGTACCTGACGCGTGATAGCGCTGGGCGCACGCCCCCTCCGGCTTGGGGCACCCCCGTCACTTTCTTCCAGGATCGCAATCCGGCATCACCACCAAATCCGCCATGGTTGCCAACGCCAGCATACCCCGACTTTGAGGATACGTGCACATATCCAAACCCGCCCTCGCCGCCATCGAATTGCCGGCTGTCGCTCTCGCCTCAGCAGCAGCTGCTCGACCCGGCCACGTACCTGCAGAGCCTCCGCAGCGCGCAATCGCCCACGGCCTGGGGCAGACGGTCCATGGATTTCCTCTCCAGCTTCAACTTCCGCGACGAGGAACCGGCCAGGCTCGACAGCCAACTGTGCGGCTCCGTCGAGGAGCTGCAGTCGCGGCTGCGGAATGCCTTTGACGGCAAGGTCAGCGAGACCCGGGCGGAGCGAGTTGCGACACGGCTGGAGCTCGCGGCGTCGGTCGAGCTCACGATTGGGACTGCGGCGGAGGGGGACGGCGGCCGGGGGCTGGAGGGGCTGAGCAGCAACCTGGATCCGTCGTTGGGGGGAGCGCCTTCGACGGGCGCCTTCGGGACCGCGGACGGGGGGCAGGCGGGCCGCGTGGTGGTCGTGAGCGAGGCGCTGATGAACCAGCCGGCCGACGATCCAGTGCTGCAGCGGTCCATTGCCAACCAGCTCGTGGCGGGCGTCGGGCAGGTCGACGGGAGCGAGTGGGCGGTGCGCGAGATGTCGCGGGCGACTCGGGACTGGGTCTTTTCGTATGTGTGCAAGGGCTCGATGCAGCATTGGCAACGACAGCACAAGAGCCAGGCCAAGCCGCTGGTTGCCGACTACTCACAGAGGGAGATTGACCCTCTGCTCGCAAGTGAGCATCTCCCCCATCACGCAACAGTCCTGGGGGAGGGCTGTTCTTTTTTGATTGCGCTGCTAACATGGCATGCAGGTCGGCCTGCGTTTCACTGTCGGGGGTCACTCGTCATTTCCTTTTCTCGAAATACTAGGACCATTTCCATAGACTATGACCACATCCCACTCCATCGCACAGTCTCTGAGCTCGCGACCCTCTTCAAGCCCCCGCCCCCACGGCGTCCCCTCCCCAACCCAGAGAAGCAGCCCAAGCAGCCAAAAGCGCCCAAGACGCCAAAGCAGCCAGGCTCGTCGAGGAAGAAGAAGAAGGATGCTGCCGACCAGACACCGGGAGGCGAGGGTGCCAGCAAGCCGAGGAAATGGAAGCGAAAGACGGACGACGTCGGGGCTGCGGGAGAGCAGTCTCAGTCTCGGGGCGTTGACGGCACTCAGCCGGGAGGGGATGGTAGCGCTACTGGCCAGCAGCAGAATGGTCCAGATGGTCAAGCTGGTCAAGCGGCTGCCCCGAATTCGGCTGCAGGGCTGCTCATTATCAATGTCTCGCCCGAGGAGGCGGAGCGACGACGAAACGTTGCCATGCTCATGCTTCAGGGTGCGGGCGTCGACCCAGATTCGCTCTCTCCAGAGCAGTTCAACATCTTTGCGAACCAGTCCCCAGAGCTGCAAAAGGAGTCGCTTAACATGCTCGTTAAGTATGGCGCAGAGCGTCTCCGCATTGTACATCCTGGGAACAAGGAAGGGTCTGCTCCGCCGTCGGCCTCGAACGCGTCCTCTACCCCTGCGACTCAGAGCAACATACAAGGGAGCTCGTCTGGCCCCGTCACTACGAATGAGCTGGTGCTACAGACTTCCACGAAGAAGAGCCGAAAGAAGAATCAGGCTGCGAATAACGATGTCGAAGAAGAGGAGAATGCCGATTCAACCGCCAAGAAGTCGAGACGCAAGGGGCCGAGCAAGTCAAGAACTGCCTGTGCTCAGTGTAAACAGCGCAGAGTCAAGGTAAGCAGCAACATTTGTGGTCTCATCTGCTTTCGGAAACCGTGCTGATGCTAACGGGTGATGTTCAGTGTCCGAGAGAATTGCCACTATGTAGCGGTTGCCGTGAGGCAGGCTTAATATGCGAATATGCAGCCCCTAAGCCAAAGAAGCAAAAATCCAACGCCATCATCACGACAGAGGATGAGCAAGAGGAAAACGAAGAAGACGAAACGGGGGTAGAAGAACAGGACGAGCCGCAGCTGGTAGACCAGCAGCTGCAGGAGGATGCAGAGGGCTACCCTGATCTGGCCGATGACTCTGTGGCCGACTGGGAACATGGCAGTGCTCCGCCGAGCTTTTTCCACACCACGACCATGGGAGTATCCGAGGCGGACGCCTCGCAGCCTCCACACCAGACCACCAGCGTTCCGCTATCGAATCTCATCTTGCCCACGGGACGCACGTTTTATCCCAACATCTCAACGCCAGAAATGCAGGAGCAGACGTTGACGCAGCCAGTAGCTCAGGAACCGAGAAAAAAGCCAGCCAAGGCCGCGGCAAAGGGATCCGGGCGTAACGTGAGGACAGCTCTACCAAACGAAAGCCACAGCTCCTTGCACTCCTCCACAGGAGCCTCAGAATGGAATGGCAGCGCCAATCCCGTCACGCAGGCGGCAGCGGTTGTAGCAGCAGTCGTGACATCTATGCAGGACCAACCGCACCGTGAGCCAACCTATCAGATGGCAGACTCTAGCCGGAACAATTCCTGGCGTCCCTCTGCAATTCCCCAGACACTGGATCATGCACAGCAACAGACTGTGGCCGGAGCATCAGTGCAGCGCACCAAGACGGCATCGCCGATGAATGACAGACCGCGCTCCCGGACGGCCAAGCACCCGAAACAAGGCATGGTTCACAAGACGTCGCCCGCGAATGCCTACCAGAGCCCAAACATGGGGGATCAGCATCAACCGCCGCAACAACAACAACAGCAGCAACAGCAACAGCAGCAGAGCACCCACGGATCAGGGCTGCAGGCGCCGAGCGGCATGGCTGGCTCGGGGTCGTACAACAGCTACGATCGGTATTCCAGCTCCAGAGCACCGGATACCTCCTCGAGCGATAGAATCACGTATGAGCCGTACTCGTACCAGAGAGACACGACTGGCACTACTTCGTATACCAGCTATAACCACAACTCTCACTCGACCTCGACAACGACGACGGCCGCCAACATGTCCTCGGCGACGATGTCGTCTGCAGATCGGACGGGCTCGCAGTCATACGGCTCCTATTCGAACCCCCAGTCTCGGAACATCTCGCACGCCAACCAGACATCGCATGTGGGATCGAGGGGACCTGCACAAGCTCAAGACTATGGCAACAACAGCTCGGACTTGGGACGCAGCTCCCGACAGACCTTTAACATGCGACCGGGTCAGAAATCGATGAAGCAGGACCGCGGCTATTCGGCATATCCATCGCAGATTCAGCACCAGCAACAGCACACTCAACAGCAGCAGCAGCACACCCAGCAGCAGCATACTCAGCAGCACACGCAGCAAGCGAGCCAGCATCAGGCGTGGTATGGCTTCAATAGCCAGTCTGGAGGCGCCTTTGCGTCGAATGGTGGGCACGGATCAAACTACAGCTGGAACATGCCAGGTGATTCATAGCGTGGAAACGGCGGCTGCATATCTCTCTTTTGCCTTCTTCTCTCTCACCTTGCTAGAGGGGAGCACTTTCTCGCACATCTTTCTTCAGCCTCTGTTCTTCTTTGGGTGGAAGCAGAAAGGAGAAGCAGGGATTGTATGCCTGAGGGGTTTCTCTTTTCCCCCCCATTTGGTTGACGGCGCAACGGGTGACTTTGTCTCGAAGAACAAGTTCTTTTTCCATCTTTCGCTCTGTTTTTTCTTCTCGCTGGCATGACCTGACTCTTATCGCTCTGTTGAGAGGTTGTATGAGTTGTCGGTCTTCAAGGTTGGGGGGGGGGGGGTTCAAGCACTTTGCTTGCCCGTTTGCCCCCGTTTGCCCTCTTTTTCTTTTTGTGTGGTGTGAAAGGGACGTCGAGTTCAATACCTATTTGTATGTATGTACGTTCATGTCAGGTCTATGGAGGGCCGAGGTCATTAAGGATCACAATAGGTAGGAACGATAGCCGTTGCGAAATGCGAAGCCAATGGCATATAGCTCTATGATGACGCCTGCACCTCTCTGGTTTCTTTCTTATTTGCAGTGGAGAGAAGTCGCTTTGTCGTGACATTACTATAGTACTCATGAAAGTCTAGCTATGAATTAACATGACTTGTTGAAGCCATTCAGATGATGAATGAAGTTTCCCCTCCTCCCCCCATCCCAATATAAACGCAGACTCAAAACCAACCAAAAGCCGTGGGTATTCATGAATCCCTTGCCCCCCATCACCTCCCCCCCCCCTATCCTCCCCATCCCAAAACCCATTGTTGAAAAACAAAAAACCCTCCTCCTTCTCTCAACTCACCCAGTCTTCTCCTCCGCAACAGGCTCCTCCACCGGCTCCCCATGATCCGCAAACTTACTCAACTTCCTCAGCCTAGCACCATAAAAGTACAGCAACCAAATGCCAATGATGCCAATGACGCTCAACCCGCCCAGCAAGCTCACGCCGCGCCCGACGCCGAGGTTGTGGAACAGCGGATGCGCAAAGAGCACGCTCCCGCACGCGAGCGCGCTCCTGAAGAAGTCGTTGGCGGCGAACAGGCTCGCCGCGTAGCGCGGGTAGCTCAGCGGGATGTAGACGAAGATGGCCTGCATGACGATGAAGACGGTGGCGCCGTAGATGGTGATGCCGATGGTGGGCACGATCCAGTGGATGCTGGCGCGGGCGGTCCAGGCGAAGAGGAAGAGGCCGATGGTCGGGCCGACGGAGGCGGGCAGGGCGGGGATGAGGCGGTCTTCCTGGACCGGCCAGCCGAACTTTTCGATGCGCGGGTTCATGTAGAAGTAGATGTAGGCGGTGTAGATGACGATGCCGATGATGCAGGAGACGAGGATGCAGAGGAAGACGAGGCCGACTTCGCCGAGGTTCATGCCGTAGAAGACGGGGTAGACGAGGGGGAAGACTTCGAAGACTGTTGGGTGGGTGTGTGTGTTAGAGGTTGTTTTGCTTCTACTACAAGAGATCAAAGTTGATAATAGGGGTGAAGAGGGAACGTACATGAATAGTAGATGCCGTAGATGATGGCGGTATACACCTGCACAAACAGCACGGCCGGGTCCTTCATGGTAATCTCCATCGGCTTGATGAGCGCATCGAGGAAGATGTCCTTGGGGTGGATGTTGCGCTGGTCAATCTCGCTCTGGGACATGAAGCGCGCGCTGCCGGTGAGCCTGCGCAGGCGGCGGGCGCGGCGGAGCAGGATGTTGGCGCTGCTCGTCTCGGGGAGGAAGAGGAACATGGCGACGAAGACGGGGGCCGAGGCCCAGAGGGACTCGAAGAGGGACCAGCGCCAGGACTCGGCGGGGACGGCGAAGCCGCTGAGGAGAGGGCCGAGGGCGGCTGTTGAGGATGAGAGTCAGCATACTATCTGTAAATGCGAGAATAGGGGGGCAGGGAAGGGGGAAGTCTTACGTCCACAGTATGCGGCGGCGACCCAGGACATCATGGCATACGGCAGCGCCATCAGGGTATACATGTCTCCCAGCGAAGCACCTCCCGACGCCAGACACGGCGACCCAAAGAAGCCCTGCAGGAACCGCAGCACCATCAAGCCGGGGTAATTGGGCGCAAACGCCGTCGGGATGGAGATGATGACGAAGAGGAACATGGTGACGATGTACACGGGGTTCCGGCCAATGATGGGAATCTCGCTCAGGGGCGAGAAGATGAGCGGCCCCATGCCGTAGCCGAGGACGTAGATGGACAGGCCGAGCGTGGCCTTGAGCTCGCTGACGTGGAAGCGGTTCTCGATGCCGCCCTCGGAGGTGGTGTAGATGGCCGAGGTGGTGTAGACGACAAAGGTGTAGAGGCAGATGATGACGTTGACGGCGAGGCGCTTGTTGCGCGTCCAGTTGTAGGGGTTGTCCGGGTCGTCGGTGTAGTACCAGTCGACGAGGATGGCGCCGTCCTTTGTCGTCTGCGGGACGATGGGCAGCGACTGCGACTTCTCCAGGCTGTGCTCCTCGTCCTCCTCCAGCCGGCGGGCCGTCATGTCGCCCAGCTCCGAGCGCTGGGCGTGCTCGTGCGAGACGAGGTGCTCGTGGTGGTGGTGCTCGTGGTCCTGCGAGTGCGCCCGGCCCCTTGGTTGGCCCCGGCCCGAGTCTTCTGCTGGGAACTCTTCTTCATCTTTGGGGGCACGAGATGGAGGCGGGGATGAGGCCCGGCGGGTGCTGCTGCCGTCGGATGGGGCGCGCAGGACGCCGCCGGTTTCTTCCTTGTCCTCGGCGGCGGCCGTGGAGGCGTCGGAGCCGGAGCCGTTGTGGCTGTGGGAGTCGGTGACGGACTCGCCGTTGAGGAGCTGGATCCAGGGCTCCGGGAGCTGGAAGTCGGCTCGCTCTTCCGGGTACTTGAAGTACTTGTTCTTGGTGACCCAGCGGATGACTTGCCCGATGGGGGCGTCGCGGATGATGTCCGCCATGGTTAGGGGGGGGAGGAGTGTGCTTTTGGTTTTGCTCAGGACGATATGTGTGTTGATGGAGTATGTCCTCTCTATATATGTATAAAGGACGGTCTTGTAACCGTTATTGTGATCGTTATGGTTATCAGAGCTGGCGAGACTGAAGCAAAGCTTGTATGATGGCGTATAAGTCGATGCTGTATACCTTATGCTGTGTTGCTGTATACCAAGAGACTCGTGTAAGTAAAGCAACCTGGGGGTCGAATAGGCTATCTCCTCACGAGGAACAAGAAAGCCCAAAGTTTCTGGAATGTCTTGTTCTACCCTTTCCTTGCCAGCCTCCCCGGGAACCCAAACGGCCACAAAGCCTCGTTCTTATATCTCACAGCAAGCCAAGCTCTCACTCCCTCCAGCTCCTGACACTAGCCAACTCAAAGCTTTCTCTTGCTGTGTAATCCAAAAACCTCTCCCCCCCCCGGACTAGGTTAAAGATTCGGATAGATTCGTACAGCCATTCTCCATCTATTTGGGTCCCACGGGTAATCGTAGACCTACCTTATTCCCTTTGGCCTTTTGCGTTTTTGCTCCATCAGCCCTAGGACCAACGAGGCGGGACTGCACTCCCCCCTTGTCAATGCAACACATACATGTACATAGCACACTTGCCAACTTACTAGATACGAGTTCAACTTCACCTTCGGACGCGAGTCCAGTAGGAGCCGAAAAGCTGGGCGGCGTAAGCACAAGCACCGCATAACCCCGAGGAAGGCGTGGAATGTGGGCGTATTTTTTCCATGTTTTTCTTTACAAAGCAATGCACGCATCATAACATCATGGCTAACAGCCATCCGTGTCTGTGCCCCCTTTAGTGTAGACGCCGCGTCCACCGAAGAAAGCCATATAGCTATCCTCCGAGAAGGGAGGAGTTTTTGATAGCCAGATACTTGGTACTAGTGGTATGTAAGGTAGGTAGTTTAGCTATTACAAGATATACACCCCCCCCTTCGGCACACGGAGTTTTGGGGGTTAAGCTTAGTAAAGCCCGGCATTTGATCGGACGCCGGAGGTATGTACTACTGTATCTGGTAGTCGTAGTGCCCGGTGCGTGAGGCTGTGGAGTTGACGATGAGTTGATGTGCGGTTTGCGAGCCGTGCAGATTCGGCGATTTTTTTGATGCGACGGATCTTGCTTGTTAAGCCCGATGTGGTTCTTGATTCGGACCCTTTTGTGTAGCATTATTAAGGTAGAGATGGCATCTTGTTGTGCGAATCCTTTGGCATGCATGGCGTGTACCTGTTGATTGGTTGGTTGGCATGTGTCTTAGATGGACGGGGCAAGGCTACTACTACTGTACTATCTTGGAAGCTTTAGCTCGACAAGTGCCGGACTTGGAGCATCACTAGTAATCGGAATAATGGTCCATGAAAAGAAGAAGGAAAAGGAACCGTCAACCGCTTACCAACCAGATCCTTCACAATAAAGGCCCTATACTGATACGCATTCTGGTTTAGAGCAGCCCTTCTTTTTGCCAAATGGGGGCAATAGTCGGCATGCTCAGTTACACAACCTAGAGATTTCGGAGTAAGGCGACTGGACGTTTGCAGATTCACCTCTTTTTATCATGCAGGATGACGTTGCCGCTGGTCTAGAACCGCTGGAATCTTGCTGCACATCTACTATCGAATCTGCAGACCCTGGTCACTGTTGCATCCGCCCTGGTTGTATTGTATTGTATTGTATTGATAACCAAGACGATCTGTTTCACTCTAACAGTTATTAGAAGCCCGTGAAAAGACGAAACAAGAGGAAAAATGATCGAATCCTTCATGACAAATTGTTGATGCATCTTTCCGTGTCTCGCTGTTTCTTTCCCCTTTCCATCTCGTAATCCCCTCCTCTCTCTTCTCGTCAAGGCATTGCAGCGTAATTAGTCCAACCCCACGAAAGGTAAATCATTGTGTCAGATTTTGAAGCCTCGCCAGCTTTGCATCCGGCCAAACTCTGTTTCCTTCTCCGCGATCTTCATACGAAGCAGAAACAATGAGATACATAGCCGTCGTTTGAATAACGGTTCATTTGCCCCATTTGGAAAATGCTCGTTGCCAATCCCTCGGGTTCAGCTCATTTTGACTTCTTACCCTCGCTTTCTCTTTCTCACTCAAACCAACTCGCACTCGCTTCCGTCTGTCCTTTTCCTCCTCTTCATCATCATCATCATCAGCTTCATGATCATCATTTGCTCCGCCTCATAAAATCCACAAGCCGTTGAACTTAACAAGTCCCCTAAGCACAGTAGCCTCGTAAAAAAAACTTCACTTACACCTCACGCAAAACCTCACATAAATCCGAACCCATTCTCTCTCTCTCTCTCTCTCTCTCTCATTCTGTCCCTCTCTACCGTCCTCATGTTACCTCCTAAACCCGCAAGCCATCTTCACATCATCCCGCTAGTAGTACCGACTGTAAGATAACGAGCCCGTTTCCTCTCCAACAAGCCCCAGAATCAGCAGCCACCCACGCATTAATAATTGCCTTGCGGCCCATCACAGTTCACCACTTGTCAGCGCCACCGTGTGCCGCTTCGCTTCGTTCTTGTTCTTTTTCAAATCTTCAATCAACTATCTATCTAGACTATGATGTGCCGCGAATCCTTCCAACCTTGGTTTTTTTATTTCTTGATTACTATTCATTCACCTCGGAATTGCGAGCCCTCTATGCAGCCTAACATACATACATACATAGGTCAGTTGTTAAGGGGTCTGAGCCGGTGAGTCACCTCGGAGTGACGATACGCCGCCTCTCTGTCATCCTGCCCATCCTTTCGAACTGCATCTTTCCCAACATGTCGCCATGATCCCTGTCCCGTTTACACGTTGCCGGGCCCCAGCCCAGCTACCCAAGGCGCCGGCTCCCCGTGCCGCCCGACTGTCCCGGGAAGAAGACGCAAAACCAAACCCTACTTCTCTCGGCGGTGCATCGCAATTGGCTGCTTCGTTTTTGTTTTTTTTTTTTTTTTTTTTTTTTTTTTTTTTTTTTTTTTTTTTTTTTT